GACCATACACCGTAGTCACCAGGGCTTCAGCCAAATTAGGCGAACAGGTGAAGGTGATGGAATCTCGCATACCGGTCTTGAAGACCAGGGTAAATATTCCCTGCGTGGACAGATTGCCCATGTCGCCGCAGTCCCACAGTGAAACTGTGAAAAGTCAACTAAGCGGATGTGGCTCCATCCCCGTTAACACGACTAGGTTAATAGAGCCGAGTAGTAAATCTGCACAAAGTGAGAATAGTATAACACCCATATCCACAGTAGGCCTTGAAGCAAACAGGGAGGCCAATAAGAAACGTTCACGACGTCGCAAGACGACGAAAACGTTCCCCAAAAAGGCAGACGGTTGCAAGGTCTGCAATTCTGTTGTCGAACAAGTAGACTCTGCTTTCGAATGCAACTTTTGCATTGTAGATGTGACACCGGGGTACCAAAAGTATATTACGATTTTATGCGTAAGAACCCATGCCCATGGTTCTGGTACACATGCCCAAGTTGCCGTCCTGATGCAGCCTCGTGTAGTTCCTCGAAAGCTAAAGATGTCATAGAGGTATAAGGGAAAAACCTGAAACGTTCTACTCCCACTAACTCAGAAAACAGCACAATTGCATGTAAATCGGGGATACCAAAATCCACACCGGTTATACTTGCAATTCCTGCCATAACTGCCCCAGACACAGAGGTTGAAGCACCAAGGGTACCTGTCGCTGGGAAAAGACACTTACCGTCCACCAGTAATAGTGGCCACGGCACTGTGACACACAGTAATACCCAGTTGCACCAGACGAAACAAAACGGTCTTAAGGGGGATGACAAATGTGCGAGGACCGAACCTAAATCCACGGTTAGTCGATCAAACTGCGTTATCCTCTTTAATGTACCAGACTGTAGCAGTAGTCTGCTGGAAAACAGGGCCCTGTTTGATCAGGAACAGTGGTCCAACTTATGTAGCACACTGGGTCTGAACATCCAACCAGTAAAACTATGCAGATTGTATAGGGGCACTGCTGCTCTTCAAGGCAAACCATCCCCACTGAGGGTAACACTAGGCTCTACCGAGGATGCCGAAAAAGTCTTACTGACTTCCCAAGTCCTTTCTATAGGGAGGACCTGCAATATACGTGTCAGGCCAGATAGGCCATGGAAGGAAAGACAGATGGCGAGGGAGTCGCCAGAACTTATTCTTTCTGCCTCCATGGTTGTTCACGGCATTCCCGAACTGGTAACTGGGAACGCTTGTGAGAAGCACTGTCACGATGTACAGCAATGGAGATGGTTGGCATCCCAGATGGCTCTGGGAAGTTCAGGGGCTGTCTCTATTTATAGACTGCCTCGACCCACTCACCCTATGTCAGTTAACACGCCACGTCTGTTAGCTGTCAAGTTCAGCTCCCGAGACCACTCAACTACTGCTCTCCAGAGATGGTACGAGACCAAGGACAAGGTCAGCAGACACATCCGCTGCTGCGAGAGCCGGCCTTGTATCCAAAGGAGAGAACAAAACGTTGTCATAGAACATCCCCAACCCCTAGTCACAATACAGCGGTGCAGCACGGACGATGATAGCCAGTGTCATCCGAGTGCTCCGATTGAACCAGAAGAAAAAAACGCCAACAGGTTCCCGGGGAATTGGCCAACTAGTTCGTAGGATAACTCCTCAACCGACAGCCCACATCACGTCAACCACCCCCGAATACGGGGGCGTGGTGAGACTGAATACCAGTTGCCTGTACAGTAATGTGAGAGGGCTAAGAGGCAAAATAGCGGAACTTAGATACCTACAATCACAACTGAACTCCAAAATCATAGTACTGACGGAAACCTGGCTAACCCCTACGGTGGCAGACAGCGAAGTCAGTATAAATGATATGGTCCTAGTCAGGCGAGATAGGGATCTGAAAGAAGGAGGTGGAGTCGCCATATACGTCGACAAACAGCTCAGATGTGTCCATGCAATCGACCCTCCCCTCATTGAGCTCCCTGACTCCATATGGTGCCATTTCACCGTTGGGTACTGTAAATATCTAGTGGGCAGCATTTATAGATCACCTTCATGTGGAGCAGACCACAACCAGGTACTGCTGAATACAATCTCAGCGACACAAGACATGGGTTATGATCAGATTGTCATAGCTGGAGACTTCAATGCCCCATCTCTTAACTTGATGACGGGATGTGCCCAGGACAGATTTGATCGAAATCTGCTGCATACCATCACGGAGGCAGGATTCACCGAAAATGTCAGAATGGATACTAGATGGGGCCCAGATGGGAAGTCTTCTAGACTGGATTACGTGCTCACTAGTGACCAGCTACTAGTGGAAAACGTTCAGATCACGACTCCCATAGGTAGTAGTGACCACGCGGTCATAACATTCGACATAGTCCTCCGCGAGCGTTTACAGTGGGACAATACACAGCCCTATCTGTGTTATAACAAAGCCAATTACACCGAAATGCGAAGACTTGTCTGAAGCAAATTGGCCAAAAAATTGGACAGAGCTAACAGTAGAAGAGCACTGGGAAGTGGTAAAGGAGATCATTCACCAGGCGGTCTCAGACACTGTTCCTTTAGTCACACCAATAGCTAGAAAGCAACGTTCATGGCTAAAAAGGGGGACACAACGCCTTCTACAGGCGAAGCGAAAAGCCTGGTTTGTGTGGCGAGTATCGAAGAGTCAACCCGAACATGAAGTGTACCTCGAACTCAGGAATCGATGTAACATATGAGTCCGGAGTGATAGAAGGACATTTCAGAGAAACGTCGCCAATACGCTTCTCGTGAACCCCAAAAGCCTATATAGGTTTATGTCTGAAAGAAAACCGACCAACCAGGGAGCTTGCAATCTAGTGGGTTCTGATGGGAAATCTCTTACTAGTCTTGAAATGGCAGAGACATTCAGTCTAGCCTTTCACAGGCAACTGAACAGTAATGAGGATTTTACCCCTACAAAACATCAAGATTACAATGCAAGACCAACGTGCGAAAACCTGCTGGGTACATTTCAAATTACCCCGGCTATGGTACTCGTAAAATTGGGAAAGTTGGCTTCGGGAAAGTTTGCAGGCTGCGATGACATAAGACCATCCGTCCTGAAGCAGTGTTCAGAAAGTCTCTGCCAACCCCTAAGTGATCTGTTTCAACACTCCTTTGATGTAGGGAAACTTCCATGTGAATGGAAACGAGCGATCCTATCCCCTATCTTCAAGGGTGGTGACCGGCAGAACGCGACCAGTTACAGATCAGTTGCGCTACTCCCAGTGATATCGAAGATATTGGAAAGTCTCATTGACGACCACATGAGAAAATACTTCGACGGGACTAACCTACTCCATGAAGCACAGCACGGTTTCAGGAGGGGAAGATCCTGTGTGACGAATCTTCTACTAGCTTGGAACGATTGGACACTATCCTGGGACGTAAAGGTACCAGTCCATGTGATCTTTCTCGACTTTGCGGAAGCATTCGACACAGTTCACCATGGTCTGCTCCTTCACAAAATAAGCAAAGCGGGTGTTTCTGGAGCACTTCTCGCATGGCTGAAAGATTATTTAGGCGAGAGAGAATTCTGCACCAAAGTCAACCGCATCCGATCATCCTGGCACACCTCGGCATCAGGGGTTCCTCAGGGTTCTATCTTAGGGCCGTTGATGTTTTTGATTTTTATCAACGACCTGCCCTGTCAACTGAACTGCTCTGCGCTTCTTAACGCTGACGATGTAAAGATTTAGAGAGCAATAAACTCATCGGAAGACTCCGACAGATTGCAGGCTGACCTGCAAACTCTGGGAGACTGGGATCTGGCTAACGGAATGCCTTTCAACCTAAAGAAGTGCAAAGTAGTGCAACTTCATTCCGGCAGGTCACAGAGTGCAAATTACACCCTTGGTGGCCAGAACTTGAGTTGTGTGCCATCAGAACGCGACCTAGGTCTTATTTTAACAGAAAAGCTAGACACCAGTGTAAATTACACGAGGGACGTCGCCAAAGCTTACGCAACTTTACATTTTATGCATAGGCAGCTGGGAGCTCTTACTCCCGAACTATTCTTAAGGTTGTATACGACATACGTGAGGCCACTCCTTGAGGTGCATAATATCATTGCTCCTCCGCTACTCAAAAGGGATGCTAACATTCTAGAAAGTGTCAAGAGACGAGCGAAAAAATGGGTGATCGGCCTCCGCAACAAATAATATGAGGAAAGACTGAAGAAATTAAGTCTTTTCACACTTAGTTACCGTAGTCACAGGGGAGACCTCATCACCGTCTATAAGATCTTAAATGACCAGGCCCACCCTAATAAAAGCATCCTGCCATTAAGTGATTATAGGCTTCCACGAGGTAACCCGCTAAGGATAGCACACCAGAGACCAAAGACTCGAGTGCGTTCACATTTCTTTTCGCTTCGAGTTTGCCGTCTCTGGAACGCTTTACCGGCGACCGTAACTACAACGCCATCTGTGGAGACTTTTAAGCGGAAGCTGGACAATCATGCAGAAGTGCATGGTTTGTGTCTCAATGGCTTATCCTCTTAAAATTTGAAACCACACTGTCAATGGATAGGCATACAAGCTAAATCCTCACGACCCTTCCTGTCTTCTCTCACTGTACCGACTACTCTATCTTTCCTTTGGTCACCTTTGTTATTTCACTTATCTCAACCTATATTATCTACACAACAACCTATTATTATTATTACAATTCTGTTTTTATGACTATATCGAATGACCAACGGGTGTTAGGTCAAACTCCATTCACGGCAGCAGCTGAGTCCTAACATACTGCACACTACAAACCACAATCTTGACCAATCCTCGCACCACTCCTCTTGGAGTCTACCAGAGCTAAAGCAGTCGAGTGGCGGGATTTACTACGCATAAGTTCACCGAAGATCTGGAACCTCTACATTACAATCAAGAAGCGAGCTCCAAGAAATCACTGGTTCATACTAGTTCGTAATCAGGATATTGGATATCGGATACCAATATTGGAACATTGTCTTATGTCGCAAAATTTATGTAGCCGGCGCTACAGTAAGAAACCTGGAGTATCTGGACTTCGCCGATGATATGTGTCTGATTTCCCACAAACTGGAAAATATGCAAGTGAAAAGCAACAAGTTGGCAGAAGAAGCATCCAGATAAGATAGAACTTCAGGTGAACATAGAGAAAGCACAGCTGATGAATATTCCCCGTGAACAGCAATAGCAACAACAACAACGACAGACAACAATCAGCATAAATGGGGGAAATCGGAATCGGAATCTACGACGCCCTCAAGACAATCTCATCTCCGCCCATTACAACCAACTGAAACCGCATCATCCCACAGCCGTCAAGGAGTCGCCGAACCCCTCATAACCGCCGCCTGCCACTAGCTTCGTCGAGGTGCCGTCTGACAGAGGCACGGCATACCCTATACCACCGTCAGCCACTGAGGACAGTGTCTACAGAAGGGAGGAGGCAATGTAATGGAACAAAAACTAGTATAATACCACGAAATAAGTTTTCTTTTGCAGAAACGAATGCCAGTATAAACTCGTTGATATGATTATGAGCAATAGTCTATGCTCGAAACGTCATCAGTTAATATTACTGTACAACACTGTGTGATTATCAAAATAAAATCTTATCCATAATGGAGCAGATGAGAAAACGGCGGATGAATTTTGTGCTGCTGAACCCTGCAGCATCGGCACGTGCATAGGCATCCTCCGAGAGGGCATTGAGGACATGGAGGAAATGGTGAGCTGGTGGAGAGATGCTGAAGAGTGCCCGGATGCGTTTCTTCCATCGGAGGTAGTCTGATGACAGCTGCAGCGTTGGGGGACGGGGCAACGCAGGCACAGTGGGCGTGGTGATGGCACTTTCTTCTGGGAATAGCTTGGAGAGGCCATAATCTGATGATATGTCCATGTTGACTGCAGAATTGAACACTTTCGACACCAATTTGTAACAGAAGATCACGCACAGTCACAGACAGAGAAGGAAGAACGCAGAGTGCCGTGAAAGATGTATATTGTGATCAAGCAAGGTTTAAAGTGTGCAGGTACAAGTTAATTAATCATCCGTTAGAGCAAGCCTGGCCAAACGCTCCTCTTCTTGCTCCAATGAGTTTATACTGGCATTCGTTTCTGCAAAAGAAGAAAGAAAACTTATTTAGTGGTATTATACTAGTTTTTGTTCCATTACATTGCCTCCTCCCTTCTGTAGACACTGTCCTCAGTGGCTGACGGTGGTATAGGGTATGCCGTGCCTCTGTCAGACGGCACCTCGACGAAGCTAGTGGCAGGCGGCGGTTATGAGGGGTTCGGCGACTCCTTGACGGCTGTGGGATGATGCGGTTTCAGTTGGTTGTAATGGGCGGAGATGAGATTGTCTTGAGGGCGTCGTAGATTCCGATTCCGATTTCCCCCATTTATGCTGATTGTTGTCTGTCGTTGTTGTTGTTGCTATTGCTGTTCACGGGGAATATTCATCAGCTGTGCTTTCTCTATGTTCACCTGAAGTTCTATCTTATCTGGATGCTTCTTCTGCCAACTTGTTGCTTTTCACTTGCATATTTTCCAGTTTGTGGGAAATCAGACACATATCATCGGCGAAGTCCAGATCCTCCAAGTTTTTTGTGTGGCTCCATTTAATGCCTGTTTCCTCGTTGCCCGTCGCTGTCTGTGTACCACCATTAGGATATTAATCTTTGGAGATAGTAGGCAGCCAGCTTGTCTTACTCCCGTCTTCACTTCTTCGGAGGATTGCGTGAGTTTCCCGTTGTGGATTACTTGGCATGCAGCATTGTCGTTTAGCTGTTGGGTGAGGTGTATAATTGTTGGTGGCACCCCGTAGTGTTAAGTAAGGGTTGGTCAGGTTGTGGATCTTCACCGGTTGATTTCTATGGGAAAAAGTTACACATGCCGACCCACTTTGTTTCCTGATAAACAGTGTTAACTAGGTTTAGGTTACAGAGTAGTTAGGGATGGTTAGACCAAAATAGGAGAAGTCCTTGAAGTACGTGTTTGTTGATGTAGGCTGTTTAGAAACTCTTGAATTCACCGTGGTAAATATACATTGTGGGAGTTTCACAGACAACACACATTGAAACAAATCTGCTAAGTGTTAAAGAACTGTCGGATCCAAATGCCTGTTGATCCTTTTGGGACTCTTCATTTCGTTTCAAATTGATCATGAATAATAGAAATATGGGCTCTAATTTACCTTAAACATTGTTCACTCTTATGTTTTGTTTTTATATCCTTATTAAAGTTCATTTTCTTATGTTTACAGATTTTGGGATGAAATTCGATTGGAAAGGAGTAAACAAGTACGTCGCAAAGTATCATACAGATACAGTTGAATTTTGTCCAAATGCGTCAATGATGTTATCTGGTAGTTATGAATTAAATAGTGTACGTTAAACCCCTTTTTGTCTGTAAAAAAATTTATAAAACACAAAATAATTTGAGCAAAGAATATCTCTTTCGATAGTTTCATCTTCTGGCTTACAATTATATGTATCTATGTTTATATACATCGAATATTCTAGATTAGTAGTCAATAACAATGTTAGTGTTTTTTAATAATATCGATTTGTAAATTAAGATCAATGGAATTGCAGTTCATTAAAGATGCTTAAATTAAAATAATAATATAATAGGAAATAGAATATCAACTAAAATTAAGGAAATTTCTACAAAAAACTGAGGATCATTCGAACCTAGATGGCCAGTGGGGTAAGGACAGTGTCTGAACCAACTAGCTTCTTTTGGACACATAAGTTAGGCTTCTCAATGTGGACCTCAACGACCTCAACAATATTCAGTAAACGAACTCTTCAGACGAAGTTAAGATTTGTTGGTATGCGGTAAATGACTTTGAAAGCCGCCTCGTTGACATCAATCTTGTGTTGTGTATCCACAAAATGAGATGGAATAGCGATACGAATAGATTTTGTTTGCCCTTTACTTAACCAACAACTCAGGATGATGTTCGGAAATCCGACGAGAAACACGCCTAATTGTACGGCCTATGTAACTAACTGGCTCCACAGGAGCAGTTGAATTGGTGACTTTAATGGTTCACTGACATACACACACACAAAGTTTGTCCGTTTCTCATATAAGCTAAGAGCTGCATTAAGGTGTGAGGCATAATAAGCACCATTCTCACAGATTTACAGTCTGCTAACAGTAGGGTTGATATGTAGAAAATAAAATCTAATTGTTACAGAAGTCCCATCCTCTACTTAACTTTAAAATGTGTAGATATCTTGCTTTATGAACAGATAAAAGAGGAAAATCTGCTAGAAATCACAGTCACTGAGCTTTATCTTTATCCTGATATCAGAAACGTCAGGCATGTATGGTCTTAAAATCAAACAGAATTCGGAACTTGGTTTTACTTATCTAGCTGCCTATTTAATAAAATTAACCGAGGTGCATATTACTGTGAGTAGAACTGAGAGTCGGTTTAAAGTAAGTTGTAGAGGTATCCTGTTTAGAACTCCCTGTTGTGAAGCATCGCCTAATTATACAGTATGCCGGAAAAGCTGTATTTCGTAGATGAATCAACTATTGTCCGTGTATCGGGAAGAGTTTCGCTGAAGATGGTATTCTGGATTAATTCACCAAGTCCATTATGGATAAGATTTTATTTCGATAAATCACACAGAGGTGTTATACAGTAATATTAACTGATGACGTTTCGAGCACAAACTATTGCTGCTCATAACCATATCAAGTCACTCACACAACTTTTTACTTCATTTATATACATGAGTGAAATTGAATAGACATTTGAATAAAAATCAATATAAGGTAGAGTGCATTCGGAAATAATAATATGAGTGTTATCAATCAAATACAATCAGATGGGAAATAAGACGAGTGTTTATTTAGTCGAAATAAGTAACTTGTTAGAATGTTATAATCTGAATTGAATACATTTTAAGATTATTTATTATCCTTCTCTGATTTGACTGACTGGTGGTAATCATATCTTCCATATCTCTGGTATTCGCGTTACATGTGTTGGGTGTAGACTGGATGAACGAGGATTCAGTAATCAATGTCTCTCCACCTACTTATATTACTTCTTAGAATTTTAACCTCTCCCACCCTATTGTGTGATTGTGTGTTAATGCATGCAGTGCAATGTATTGCTGAGCTTTTTTCTATATTACTTATCTTTTCGGGGTCAATCATTCTAACCTTACCTAAATTCTTATGTTCTGACAGGCAATCTCACTACTCCTAATCTACTAGTTTGACTGACTTATGTAGTTGACCTCACTCACAGTGAGTGCAAGGTATTTTATGAATTATATTATTTTGTTTAATTGGGTCAACCTATAGGGTCCTTTAACCTACACAGCTTGTCTCTGCCTGAGTGAGTTTGTAGGTTTGAATGCCACACTAATTCCTACTTTATTAAGAATTCTACGTAGGGCTTCAGATGTACATTATGTTATATTGATTTTTATTCAAATGTCTAATCGCCAACTTCACTAATGTATATAAATGAAGTAAAAAGTTGTGTGAGTGACTTGATATGATTATGAGCAATAGTTTGTGCTTGAAACATCATCAGTATAACACCTCTGTGTGATTTATCAAAACAAAATCTTATCCATGATTGGTAAGCTTTGTTTTGATACATACCAGGGTAGATGTACTATTACCTCTCTTATTTGGTTTAGTGATCTTTATTGTTATTTTCACCTTCAGTACGTCCTTTTAACTTGACCTAAATTTATTTTCTCACCTCTTAACTCTTTATTAATTTCACATATATTCCTATGACAAGTCCATGTGTGTGTGTGTTCAGATTGTTCGAAATGTGTTGCGCAAATGCACATTACACGATTCAAACAAATTCTCTTTTTCATTCCTTTACGTTCCCAGTGGAACATAGGTCTTCAAGCTAGAGGCTTGAAGTTTCGGTACCAGTGGTGATTATTTTTACGGGATGGAGTTGCTAGCCCCATGCCGAACCTTCCCTCTTTACCAGTCTTAGAGAGGTAAAGGAGTGCGTCGTCGGCGAGCATTCTATCCCTTGCCACCGACGCACATTCAGACAAATTACGTCTTCTTATTGCTTTGTCTAAATAACAGTAAAGCAAACACATTTTTGGAGTTCAATTTTATCTCTACACTATCAGTTTTTAGTTTACAGTTTACTGATTTCTTCAAGTTAACTTAAATATCGGATGCAAGCTGTTTTACTAAATATTTAAGCTGTACATTATCGAATGTATCATTCAGATAGTCCTTTTAATGGGGTTGTTTAAATGTAAATAATGTGTACGATATTTGCAAGTTAGTAGGCTGTTGTAGATTGCTAATGACGATATAAATCATGCTTAGAGCGAAATAGTCAATGATTTTACTTATTCACTCATATGTTGATTGATTAATACTTTAGTTATCCGGTTAAGTGATTATATTATTATTATTGTTTCCTTTAATTCCTAGAGGAACATAGGGCTTCAACCGTGCATCTCCATTGCGTTCGGTTCTCTGCTAGAGTTTTCACCTGGCTCCAAGTCTGCCCACACGCTTTCATTTCTTCTTCACATGACCTCCTCCAAGTCACCCTTGCACTGACGACCAACTCGCCGCTTCCCTTTCAGGTTCCACTCGAGCGATGGCTTGTCTAGTGATGTCACTTGATGGTTTCCTCAGAGTATGGCCAGCCAATCCATCTCCATTTCTTCCTGCCTATTTGTTTCACAATCGGTTCCTGCTGTGTTGGTTCGCTCATTGCCAGAGATCTCTGTTGCTGATCTTTTTTAGCCATCTGATCTTGAGTATTGAGCGAAGACAGTTGTTAATGAAGGTCTGTAGTTTGTTTGAGATGCTCTTTATGACGCCCCAGGTCTCTGATCTGTATAGTAGCATTGACTTCACATTGGTGTTGAAAATCAGGATCTTATTTTTGATGCTGATTGGTGCTGTTGACCTCCACACAGACTTGAGAGTAGTGAAAGCTTGTCTTGCTTTTCCGATTCTTGCTGCTTGATATCCTCGTCAGTTCCGTCCGCCTGTAGTTGAAACGATGCTTCCCAGGTAGGTAGGTAAAGGAGGTTGTTTCTTTCAGGTTCCTTCCATTTATGCTGATTGTTGTCTGTTGTTGTTGTTTCTGTTGGTGGTGTTGCCCAGGAATCTTCATCACCTCTGTTTTCTCTATGTTCACCTGAAGTCCTATCTTATCTGGATGTTTCTTCTTCCAACTTGTTGCTTTTCGCTTGCATATCTTTCAGTTTGTGGGAAATCAGATACATATATCATCGGCGAAGTCCAGATCCTCCAAGTTTTTTGTGTGAGTGAGGCACACGGTTAAGTGATGCACACTGTAATATAACGTGATGGTGCATGTACGTGTGGAGCATTGCATGGAAATGCATCAACTCAGATTGCTACCCTTCGAAGAATAGCACAAAATAAGATGAAAACAGTTAACTCGAAACAGGAAGGTGCAACAAAAGATGAGGTACATCAAATGAATGTGTGCATATTGAGTTTCCTAGGTGTGAAGAAATAATAAGTAAATTGTTTTTGCACTCTAATAGTTATTTTTAAAGTTTGAGTGAAATATTATCCTCCAACACATCTGTTTCTACTGTTTCATGAGACTGTCATAAGAAACTTTCAGTTCCTCGCATAATTAAAGACTATGGCCATTGATTTCACTGATCGTTTTCATGTCTTCATCTAATTTCTCCATCATTTTCATTTAGATTATGAGGTAAAGGGATGTGGTTATCAGTTTTATGAAGAAGCTATTTATCTATCTCTTTCCCTTGTTTCATGATATAATTTTTTGAGTACAATTGTGGTTAGGCATCGAAAGTTAGGTAAGAAGAGTGAGTCAAACGTTGAGGTTGTGAAGCTACATTGATTGAGACGTCAACGACGTGTGTTGCGCATTCCGAGGTATCGCTTTACTCGACTGGCATTGTCAGCTGACAGTTAAGATTTTTCAGACTGGAACGTGGAAACAGTTCATGAAATCTCTGACAGTTAATTTAAGCCATCCATGTAAGAAGATGTAGGCTTTCTGATTGGAATCCCCGAGATGCTAAGAATCAATGGCTGAGGGCAGTTTGTGATATGGCTCAAAATCGTTCTCATTGATTGCTGGCGCAGATGCATTCATCACCCTTTGTGATCTCTCCCATTTCCATTAAACCCTGTTGTTTTCTCATTTTACTATTCTTTCTCGTGTACATTTCTGCTTATTGTTGTTCTTTTGAGTCCCTTTTTGTTTCTATTGTTTTTCTGCTTTTGTGTGCTACATAGAGCGTGACAATTTGAACTGGTGCACTTCTATGCAAAGTTTTATGTTGGCATGCAGTCAGTTAGTTATCACTTTTATCCTTGTTCCCTTGGGTTCCGAGTGGAACATAGGGCTTCAACAACACATCTCCCCTTTGTTCTGTTTGATTCTGTCCTCTGCAGCTGGCCCCATGACTGCCCAAAATCTCTCATCTCCTCCTCCAACACACACACACACACACACACTATCTCCTCCATGTCACCCTCGCACCGACGACACACTCGCCTTTTCCCATTTGGATTCCACTTGAGCAATGGTCTGCATTTTGTGCGATGTCATTCGGCGGCCTCCTCAGTATCGTATGCCCGATCCATCTCCATTTTATCCGACATATTTATTCAGCAGTCGGCTCTTGGTTGGTTTGTTCCCAAAGTTTCTTGTTACCGATTCTTTCTGGCCATTTGATCTTCAGTGTGGGACCAGCCAGCAAAGAGGTGGCAGTTGTTGATGAAAGTCTGCAACTGGCTGTTGGAAATCCTTTTCGTTACGTACTAGCCATGTTTCTGACCTGTATAGAAAGACCGACTTGACATTGATGTTGAAAATCCGAATCGTGTTCTTTATGCTGAGTGTAGAAGATTTCCAAACTGATTTCAGGTTGATGAAGGCGTATCTTGCCTTTCCGATTCTGGTTTTCACATTTTCATTCGCTCCGTCTGTGGTTGAAAACGTGCCTCTCAGTCAGGTAATTGAAGGAAGTAACCTCTGTCAAATGTTTCGCGTTGATGGTGATTGGTGCTGGTTGTTGTTGCTTTTGGTCGGTTGGCTGGTTATCTTCATCACCTTCATCTTCCCTGTGTTCACTCGAAGTCCTGTCTTTGCTGCTTGCCTCTTCTACCAGTCTATTTGTTTTCGCCTGCCTGCAAGTCTTCGAGTTGATGTGAAATTAAGCATAAGCCATCCACACGCGAATTGCAAATCTTCTGAAGTCTTCTTATCGGTCCAGCGTTTTCTTGCATTCTTGTTACCCACAGTCTGACGAATAATCCAGCCACAATTCTGTCTGTCTGTCTGTTTTCTACATAGAACTTTCCACATATGTGTGGCAGTTCAAGTCGCCACTCTCCATGTACCACACAAAGAAAGAGAAGAAAGTAGGAGAAATGCATAGTATAGACAGTAAACAGAAGTGTGAGACAAAGGAATAGTAATAACGAAGAACAAAACAGTCCAATTGGAAATCATGAGTCACAAGGAGTGGATGCATCTGCGCCACTGAGAATGATTTTGAGCCATGTCACCAATTGTTTCCAACCATTGGTTTTTACCGTCCCAAGGACCCCAACCAGGAAGTCTACATCTTTTTACGTTAGCCGTTTAAACTAACTGTTATAGATTTCATTGACTGGTTTGGTTTGACCGCCGCTAGCTCTTTTCCAGCCTGACTCATCCTATGTCAGCTAACATTGCCCGTTGAGGGAGGCGATGACTAGGCATGCGTAACACATGTCCTAACCATCTCAGTCGATTTAGCTTCATAGCCTCGTAGATTGATTTCCCCTCCTTACCTAGCACTCGACGCCTAACCTCAATAACCACAATTAAGAATATCATCCGTGATATTAGGCAGTTGGGTATTTTTCAATTAAGATGAAATTGAACTGTCAATATTAGTAGTATTGTTCTAATGTGACGATTTCTATTTTCTCTCCTGTTAAACTGTATATCTTAGAACGTGTACTTGTGAAATAATGTCAACCTTCGCCAACATACATGATGGTTTCTGGAATAATTTCTATTGTTTTATTATTTTAATTTTTTTATTTTTTTTACTGTCTAGGAAACACAAGAACGTCTTGGTGGTTTGTTATTATTCAGCCGGCTACCAACCGATAATCAGTATACTTTATCATGTACTGTCTCGTGTTCTGGTGTATTAGATACAAGTTGGATAAATGATAATATTGCAGTTAGTGCATTAGCGAATGGTTCATCAAAATTATGGAATTGTACTGATCAATCATTACTAGTTGAATTGGTCGATTTCCCTGTGTCTCCTGATCACATACTTCTATCTGTTGATTCATGTTCTAATAGGTAAGGTTAATTAGTAATGATTGTTATAAATAAAGAATCGTTTTAGGTTTGTTTTCAGTGATTCAGGTGGAAATATCAGTTTATGGCAAGTGGATGTATCATCGTCTATTCACATCCACAGTTTATTGCTAAATGGCACGCGCATGAATTTGAAGCATGGTGTGCATGTTTAAATAAATGGCAAAGTGAAATAGTATTCACTGGTGGAGATGATTCCAAGTGTTGTCTATGGGATTTACGTGAAGGTTGTCAAAAGCCGATGAATACCATCAGGTAAAATCTAGTTGTTTTTTTTTAGTGTTGTGTAAACCGAGAATTATTTCTCTCTCTTCTTATAAACAAAATTAACAAGTTATTAAACCGAAACTTTTTGTGGGTATTTAAGAGATTTAACTCTGTTAGGTTATTCTTGAGTCTCTGGTTCTATTGATACCTATCATTTAGTTGTGTGAGGTGAGTCTGTCACGTTAACACAACTACGTTTTTTCCTCCATTATGGGTAAACTTAGTTTTGATAAAGTCTCACAGTGTTATACAGTAATGTTTACTGATGACCACGTTTCGAGCACAATTTATTACTGCTCATAATCATATCAAGGTAATCACACGACTTGCTAAATTCATTTATATAGTTCCATTGTTTTTCACTTGATTTTCAATGGGTAGTTTGAAGAAATTATTTTAGGAATTCAGTTGTGCCTCACATCTACTATCTTTAAATTCTAAGGTAAAATATGTAGACAAACTGAAGGTGTAGTAATGGGATCACCAATATCCCTTATCGTAGCAGATATATTTATGGATAGCTGGGAAAATATGGCTCTTAATACATTTAATCCTACTCCAAAAATATGGTAAAGATATGTGAATGACACTTTTACAGTGTTAAAAACAGAACATATCTGTTTCTAGCTTCTTGACACACATAAACTCACTAGTGGAGGGAATAAAATTCACATTTAAAGCCGAAAATGAGCAAGGAGAATTAGCTATGATGTTGGATTGTAAAATAAAACGAATAGAAGAAGGCAAGCTACAAACTAGTGTTTATAGAAAACCAACGCATTCTAATAGATATTTAGACTTTAATTCATCTCATCCTTTAACTGTTAAGGCAGGCTTAGTTAAGTGTTTAACAAACCGAGCAATGGCACTAAGTAGCACAAAAAAGACCTAAATGATGAAATAAAACAGATAGAAGAGGCGTTGGTGTTGAATAACTATTCTTTAAAATTCATTAGGAAGATTTAAAAAGGCCAAAATAAAAATAAAAAGAATTGTGAAACTAGTAATAATAACATAAATAAGAGAGAATATAAGTCATCTACAGTTATAACATATAAAGAGGGGACATCTGAAACCCTCCCTACGTAGGATTCTTAATAAAGCAGGAATTAGGGTGGCATTTAAACCTACAAACTCACTCAGGGACAAGCCCTGTAGGATAAATGACCCTGTTGGTTAACCCAATTAGACAAAATAATATAATTTACAAAATGCCCTGCAATGACTATGAGTTCATCCAACTACATAGGTCAAACTAGTAGGCCGGGGCAGTCAGATTGTCAGAACATAAGAATTTAGAGAATTTAGCTAAGGTTAGAATGACTGACCCCGAGAAGATAACTAATTTAGAAAAAAGCTCAGCAATTGCACTGCATGCATTAACACACAATAGGGTGGGAGAGAGTAAAAATTCTAAAAAGTAATCTAGGTAGGTGGAGAGAGAGGTTGATTACTGAATCCTTGTTCATCGAATCTACACCCAACACATGCAATAGGAATGATTCATCACTCATACCCGAAATATGGAAAATACTACTACCAATCAAGTCAAGTGGAAAACAACGGAACTATATAAATGAATTTAGGAAGTCGTGTGATTACCTTGATATGATTATGAGCGATAGTTTGTGCTCAAAACGTGGTCACATCAGTAAATATTACTGTATAACACTGTGAGACTTTATCAAAACAAAATTTACCCATAATGGAATTACACTCTACCACAGTGCACAAGTTTTATTCTTATAGGTTTTTTCTTGTTATACATGACATACAAATGATGACGTTATGTCGTCGACTGAAAGGTATTATGGTGATGTTTAGCTGTGAAGGGAATGCCGAGAGAATACATTGCACTGATCACTGCACTCTACTCGAACTCATGCAGCCAGCCAAGTGAAAGCTTACGGCGAGTTGTCATCTGAACTGGTGACAATCAGTGGTGTCCGACAGGGATGCCCACTATCCTCATTTCTATTCAATTTAATCATAGATGTACTAATGGAATTAACCCTAACTGCTGAATTCAGCGACTCAGGGGTTGAATTGTTACCGTCAGGCGATAATCTCGTTCACTCAGAATATGCAGATGATATAGTCCTCCCACCTGGGTGAAGACGCTGAACACCTTGAGCTGCAATCTGCGAATGTTTGGCGTGCGATTCGCTCCCGTCAAATGTAAGATGATGTTACAGGACTGCACTACATTGACTCCTATCTTAGAAATAGGAAGTGAAGTGGTGGGGCGTATTGACCACTTCACTTATTTGGGAAGTTGCATCAGCCACTACCAGCCGGTTGATCGCTGACGAAATTTCAGCACGGATACAGAAGGCTCGTTTCGCATATGCCAGTTTACGCCGCCTCTGGCTTAGCAGACGTGATATGGGACTGGCTGTCGAACAGAGGGCGTGTGTACTGTTCAGCAGTTCGCTCCGTCCTCCTTTATGGCTGTGAGCGAGACATGGTCATTGAAAGTGGAAGACATGACTGCAAAGGCTGTCTTTGATCATAGGTGCCTGCTTTCTATCTCCCATGTGAAGTGGTATAATAGGGTGAGCAATATTGAGGTTAGAGATCGAGTGCTAGGAAAGGAGGGAAATCAATGGACGAAGGTGTGAAGTTACATCGACTGAGGTGGTTAGGACATGTGTTATGCATGTCTAGCCTAGCCATCGCCTTCCTCGACGGGCAATGTTAGCCGACTTAGGGTCAGGTTGGAAAAGAGACAGCCAATGTTGGTCAAACCAATACATGGCTTCATCAGTCAATGAAATCCACAACAGTTAGTTTAAGCCAGCTAGCCACGTAGGAAAGTGCATACTTCCTGACTGGTTGGGGTCCTCAGGTTGGTAAAAACCAGTGAAGGCTGGAGACAATTCGTGATATGGCTCAAAATTGTTCTCAGTAGGTGGCGCAGATGCATCCACTCCTTGTGACTTATAATATGCAATAAAACTATATGGTTCTTCGATATTACTATTCTTTTTGCCTCATATCTCTGTTTACTGTCTCTATTTTGCGTTTTTCTACTTCTTCTTCTCTGACTTTGTGTGCTAAGTGAATTGTGGCGACTTGAACTGCTGCACATCGGTGCAAAGTTCTATGTTGAAACCAGTCAGTCAGAGAACAGAATGAAATGGGGCGATGGATGGGCTGCTGAGGCGTTATGTCCCACTCGGAACAAAATATTTTATTATTTATCATCATCTTTCTTAAAATCCTTAGTCCCCTTTATACTTACTAAGTAGATTCTTATGCTTTGTTTCTTGTTTCGCACCACCTGCTCCTATTGATTTTTGATTTCTGTACTGTTGTGTGATTCATAACAACTTGTACTGATTGATTTTATGATGAGATTCATCACTGACTGGACAAAGCAAGTGTCTATCTGTCTGCCTGTCTGTCTATTATTTCATGAGTTTTACTAGTTATATGATTTGTCAACTGTTAATCTACCCCTATATGTTTCCTTGTCTTACTTTCAGGCAAAATATGGGTGTATGCAGTATTCAGAATCATCCAGATATAGATTACTTAATTTCTACTGGAAGGTTAGTTTACTTCGTTTCTCTTTCAATAACACTACTGTCTTCTGATCTACATGGTGTTTAACATGCATGCATTTTCACTCCAATGTAGATCGCATTTTCCTTCTTCCTTCACGTTTCCAGTGGAACATAGGGCGCCTTCAAGCTATAGAGGCTTGAAGTTTCGGTAGCAATGGTGTTTATTTCTACAGGATGGGGTTACTAGCCTCATGCCCCCCCAACCTTCCCTCTTTACCAGTCTTTATTACTGGCTTAGTACGGTACAGGAGTGCGTCGGCTGGGGATCGACCTCCGAACCACATGCGTGGTTGACGGGCATTCTACCACTGTGCTACCGATCGCTTTAAAATGTTTTGTTTCATACAACATGGTCTTTGATAACGATGAAAATATAACTCAGTTTATTTTTGTTGTTGTTGTTGCTGCAAAATTTTGATTCTGTGTGGTTTATTAGTAGGCGTTGAGGATAAGTCGACAGAAAAATTCGCTGCCAAATCGTAGGTCGGCTGACTATCAGGTCATGGTTAGAGCTACAATGCATGTATCAAGGTATGGGCAACCAAGTGTGATGTGTACTACTGATAAGAATTTGAGACTTATGGGCAGTACTCACCCACTGGGTTTCGAACCCAGGAACTATCCGGTTACAAGGCAAGTTCGTATACCATTCAGCCACTGGGACCCGATTCAATAGCCCATGAATTCTAACTTCTACCAATTCGTGATTTTAGCGTGACCATCAACCGATGTCGTCGGCGGGAAATCCATCGTCACTCCCGACTGCATGTACCCCACTGGTGACAACTTTTCGCTAGAACTCCAAGCAAGTTAGAATTCATGGGCCATTCAATCGGGTCCCAGGCGCTGAGCGGTATACGAGCTTGCCTTGTAATCGGAAGGTTCGAAACCAAGTGGGTGCGTACTGTCGATATTAAAATGTTGTTTAGAATAAAGCTATTATTATTATTAAGTCAAAACTTCATCAACTGTAGACAGAAAATTGATTTCTACATGTTTACAAAAGTGAACTACATCCTGATTTTATAAGGTGAAAGGACTACTGTTATAGGCTCCGTTCTCAACTTTCATTATTCAACTAACTAATGTGGTTATTTTTAAGGTTGTTAATTTCACTTACCGCACACAAAATGTTTGGTCTTTCTAAGGATGGGTAGAAGGTAACATTTATGTCTCTAGGCAAGCTTCATACTTAATTATGAAGTCAAGGGGATGGTGATTGAAGGTGAAATGAACATCTGGGTCGCAGTATAATTCAAAAACGCATGGCTCCTGAATCACCATGCGAGTACAAGACCCGAATGATAGTCATGACCTTGACTTACATTTCACCTTTGGTCACCACTTATTATTTCGATGGTAGTCTACCCACCGAAGACTTTCTCAAATAGTCATACTATCGTTTATGAAGTAGCATTGTCTGTAGCGAAAACCGACAAACTGGTCGAAGAAGCAGCAAAGACAGGACTCCAGGTGAACATAGACAAGACGGAGGTTATGAAAATAACCCACCAACAACAACAACAGCAGCATCCAGCGCCAATCACCATCAACGGGAGGGATTTGAAAGAGGTTACTTCATTCACTTATCTAGGGAGCATTGTCTCAACTACAGGCACATGGAACGGACGAGGATGTCAAATCGAGAATCGGGAAGGCGAGAAACACATTCATCAACCTGAAACCAATCTGGAAATCTTCGTCACTCAACATCAACAACAAAATTCGGATTTTCAATACAAACGTCAAGTCAGTTCTTCTATACGGATCAGAAACTTGGTGGGTCACAAAGAATATTTCCAACAGCCTGTTGCAGACCTTTATCAACAACAACTGTCTTCGCTCTATACTGAAGATCAGATGGCCGGAAAGAATCACCAACAAGAAACTATGGGAACAAACAAAACAAGAACCAATCGCCCAACAAATATGCAGGAGAAAGTGGAGATGGATTGGACACTCACTGAGGAGGCCGCCGGGTGACATCGCGCGTCAGGCCATCGCTCGAGTGGAACCCGAAAGGGAAGCGGCGAGTGGGACGTCCAAGGGTGACATGGAGGAGATCGTGTGAAGAGGAGTTGAAACAGTATGGACTAACATGGATGCAAGTGAAAAGTACAGCAGAAGACAGAAGCAAGTGGAGGCGTGCAGTTGAAGCCCTATGTTCCACTAGGAACCCAAGGGAACAGTAATATAATAATAATTGTCTGTCGAACGACATGAGATAACATTCGCTTAGTAGAGAGGTATTGTTCTTTGTGTAACAGGATAGTGATCAAATTTGAAATGAAAGCCCAGGTAGATGGAAGTTTTGTGCGCCAGCCACCCACTATGTTTTCTGCTAACATACTTTCTCTCTGCTGAAGTTACTCATCATATATGGAGTAGGAAGGTGGTAAACGTTTCCGACGCGTAAACTACCAGGCATTAGTCAGTGTCCACTCCTCAAGACTCAAGCATGGAACGAGATAGATCATCATCGCTATTTACGTTATACTTGTCCATTCTATATCAGTTTGAAATTAATTAATTAATTAATTTCATTTTTAACTAATTATGTCTTTCTCTTTTCCTTTTAAGCTATGATGAATCTTTATGTATATGGGATTTACGTATGTTGAATAGTGGCAAAGAATTCTCTAACCCTATATTCACCTGTCATTTTGGTGGTGGTGTCTGGCGGCATAAATGGGGTCCACATAACTGTATAGTAGTTGGTGCAATGCATGCAGGATTTGCTGTTACACACTGGTCTCAATCATCCTGTAACACTGAAGAAAAGAATCCTGTGTATGTATTTCGTCTGACTGATCAACAATTGGCTTACGGTATTGATTGGTCATTTGATGGTTATTCTAGCGGTGGTGATGATAATTTATTGAAGCCAGTAGTTGTTTCATGTTCCTTTTATGATAATACTATAGAATTCGGAGAATTGACTATAAATTTGGATCTGTGATTTTCATATGTGTATATTATCTGTACAGAAAAAGTAGATTACAATTGGAAATTTCTCTGTATTAGTGGATTACTCTTTGTACACAAAAGTGGAATCATGTAGAGATCTGTATGAAGTTCTTTTTGGGTGTAATTTCTTTTACCCGGGGAACTGGTTACCTTTTCTATTTTATGATTATGTTTTTTTTGTATAAAAATATACTTGATGTATAGTTGGATTGTTTTAAACTATTTTTACCATTCAAGTGTTGCGTTGTAGTAATGTGATTTGATTGGTTACAGGATTTCATGATGAGCTGACATCGGTTAGAGAACCATTGGAAAGTTAGCCGGGAGTACTGGAGAGCTGTTTCGTCAGCCTAGTTTGGAACTCTTCATCAGTACGTGCTCTCCACATGGGTTCGAACGTAGGACCTTCTTATTACAAGGTGAGCTCGTAGACCATTAAGCCACTGGGACACGATCCAATGGCCGGCACATGAATTCCAACTTCTGCCAATTCACGATATATATATATATATATATATATATATATATATATACAGGGTTTTGCAGTATTTTGATTGGACACTAGTAACGAGTGTGATGTGCCTAGTCCTTTCTTTGGTGAAGGTCCAAGGCTTCATGCCGATTGCCTGCAACTATCTGATATTATCAGACCAATGTGCATTGTGATGGCGAGCTACCTAGAATGGTGGTCACATTGCAAACCTGACTGAAAGAATTCAGTTTGGCTGGCTGGATTCAGCATAGAACTTGACACCGAAGTGCAGCAGTTCGAGTTGCCACGTTCCAAAGAGCACACAAAGGTAGACAAGAAAATGAGTGAAGAGAATCAATAGAGTTTTGACGAGTATAAGAGTGAAACAGAATGAGTAATGGTAGAAGGGAATATGAAAGATTACAGAGACTGAATACATCTGCGTAAGCCATTGACAACGATTTTGAGCCATGTCACCTATTGTCTCCAACCATTGATTCTTAGAGTCCCGAGGGCCCCAACCCGGAAGTCTGCATCTCCGGTCTGTACCAAACAAAGGACTAGACACATTACACTAGTCACTGACTAGTGTCCAATCAAAATAGTCCTTTTCTTCATGCTACAGCTGATCGAGTCAGTATTGATTCATTTTCTATACGGAAGTGATCGAGTAAGTTGATAAGTGTATGTTGAATGGAGCAATGTTACTCAATCACAATCAGCTGCTGCTCTTCCAGTATCTTCTACTTGATTGACCTGCATAAATGCTAGGGTATGTTGAAAAATGTGTTGGTCAAAACAAATGAATGCATAACAGAACTTTTGTATGAAACTACTCAGAGCTTACACTGAGACTAGGGTCAAAGGTGACAGAGGTCCTACTTCAGCGATTTGTAAGCCTAAGAGTTCTCGTCTTCATTTATTCCAATGATAATGGTATAGCGCAATTATATGGATGTGTAGCTAAATGATTTCTTTTCAGTATTATTATTAACATTTATTATTATTACAGCTGTAATAAACTAGGAAGTTATTCTTGTCTGGAAGAGATATAAGGTCCAAATAGACACTTGTTTCATAGGTCACTCGAGAACTGAAGATGCACAAATTCGGATAGTGTTATAAGAAGATGGAGATTATCTGAAAAGGTATTTGATGTATTTGCGCTATACATTCAGAAGAGCGAGCGTCGGTGGCACAGTGCTAAAATGTTCGCCAACCACGCCGCATGTGGTCCGGAGTTCGATCCCCGGCCGACGCACTCCTCTAACTCGCCAAACCAGTAATAAGACTGGTAAAGAGGGGGAGGTTGGGCATGGGGCTAGCAACCCCATCCCGTGAAAATAAACACCACTGCTACCGAAAATTCAAGCCTTTATAGCTTGAAGGTGCCCTATGTTCCCCTGGGAGCGTAAAGGAACAATCTGATCCTACACACATTTACTTGTCAAGTCGATGTATATATGTGAAAAAATAAAGGGTAATTAAATTAAACAAAATGACCAAGAAGATTTAAGCATATTTAACATGACGTTTGGTAATCCAATCAAATAAGGATTATCAAGGTTGATTAAGAGTAATAATAAACTGTTTTTGAATACACAAGGGGGGTCGGGGTGCTTAAGTGTATGAATAGCTATAGCCTCAGTGTTTTCCAGTAAGCACCCTTGACGATTTTTAAAGGTGATCTTAAAGGTTGTGTTAACATCAATCTTATGGTTCATCTTGATTAGATGTTTAGCTATAGACGAAGTTGGTAGTCTGACTCCTGCATCTATTGGTTTTCCACAATTCATTTGTTTTTCTGACCATTTTGAGATATGCTCTCCCACCCTCACATGCAAAGCACGATTACTCCTCCCTATGTATGTGTGTCCACACACGCACACGAAAATTAGTAAATAGTGTGGTATGTGACATAATCACTTGTGCACTTTTGAGGTTTGCAGTGGAGCATATTTATTATTTTCAATAATTGGTTTCTAAGGTTTAGATTTGTTTTTACGAGTTGATCACGGGTCGATATCAGTTAGAGAACCATTGAAAACCACCGGGAGTACTGGACAGCTGTTTCATCAGCTGTCAGTACGCACTCACCACATGGGTTCGAACCCAGGACCTGTCCGGTTACAAGGCAAGCTCGTATACCATTTAGCTATTGGGACCCGACTCCTCAATGGCCAGTCCAAGAATTCTAACTTCTACCAATTCGTGATTTAGCTCGGCCACTAACCAATGTCATCGGTGGGACATGCATCCTCACACTTGACTGGATGGACCTCAGTGGTCATGACTTCTCACTAGAACTTCAGGTTATTACTCTTAACTTACCTTGGTAATCCTTATTTGATTGGATTACCAAATGTAGTGTTAATTATTCTTATTATTCTTAAATACTTTTTATCACTTTGTTTAATTTAACTACCCTAAATTTCTTCATATAAATTGACTTGACAAGTAAGTGTGTGAGGGATCAGATTTTTGTTCGAAAATGTATAGATCAAATACATCACATACCTTTTCAGATAATCTCCATCTTCTAATAACACTATCCAAATTTATAAAAGAGACCACTTGTTTCAAAGTTTAAATTCGATGAAAAGTCTCTGTGATAACACAAATAAATGCTTTAGTAATGAACATTTCGATAAAGAAAGGAATAATAATAATAATAATTTTTGCTTTATTCCAAAAACAGTATTAATGATACAGCAAGGAATTTTCAGCATTCAGTACAATATTGCATCTAATTTACTCAAAAACGACAACAACAACAAAAAAAAATAGATAAACGAAATAATTAATACATAATAATGATAACAAAACGTTTTTATAGGAGCTATGTCGCAATTTACAGTATACGATAAGGAGAAAAATACGCATAAAGTATAAAATTATAGTAATAATAGTAATAACAACTAAAATAAAAATAGCAAAGTTATAATTAAACGATAGAAAGGGTGACACCATAGAATTACAGAAAGATGAACAATGAAAGGGTCGATTCACTATGCTAATTACATAGTAACTTATATGTTTCACGTCTAACAGTGTCTTCATCACATAAAATACGGTATTGTAGAATTTTTGTACTTAGTGGTACGAGCATATAATTTCTTATATTGACTTCTCGTTCAACCTGATGAGATACAAGGGGATAGTTGTGAATAAAGAGGGTGCAGAGGGTCTGACAGTACGGCCTTTCCCCAATTTGTACAGGAATTTACGTGTCTCTCGACTATGGTATTGGCGAGCTCACGCAGTGGCAAACCACAAGCCCTACTCACAGCATTTAATACCCTTCGTAATACGACATAGTCTTTTTTAAGAAGCCCAGGAAAGATTAATGGAGAACAATAAAGTACAATGGGTAAAATACAGGAGTTTAAAAATTGCAGAACTAAAGGTTGGCTGATACCTTGTTGTCTTAACTTTTTAATGTAGAAGGTAAGACGAAACATTTTCTTAGAGACCAATAAAATGTGAGATGACCATGAAAGGTCAGAGGAAAGAACTAATCCAAGGTAGTTAATGCTTGACTTGGTTTCAATTTCTGTGCCATCTATGCTACAGGCACCATGGGAACTAACTAGTTCATGTATGTCACGTCGATGCTTGGAGGTAAAGTTAACTGCCTGACATTTGGAAGGATTTAACATAAGACCATTTGACTTAGACCACATGGTGATGTCCAACAGAAAGCTATTAAGTTTGGAGCAGTCAGACTCAGAAGTGATAGGCAGTGATACAGTCAGATCATCAGCATATTTGACAAAATTAGTTTCGTTTAAATGTGGCAGGTCATGTAGGAAGAAAGAAAAAAGAAAAGGAGAGAGGACGACACCTTGAGGAACACCGGTTTTTGTAAGCAAAGCAGAAGAAGATTTGCCATTATATGCAGTATACTGCATTCTATCAGAAAAATAAGAAACCAACCAACTCTTAGCCCAGGATGCTGTGTACGTCAAGGAGAGCTTATTTAATAAAAGGCCCCTAGGTACAGAGTCAAACGCAGATGTGTAGTCTAGGAAAGCACCACGAACATATTTGGCACCTTTATCTAAACAAGAAATAACATTTTGATATAAGACAACCGCAGCATCCAAGGTACTTCTACCATGTTTATTTGCAAATTGTTTAGGATCGTTAAAAGGTTTCAATGAAGGTTCAAGATGAAGTAAAAGTAGTTTTTCCATCAATTTTAAAAAAGGAGAAGTAATTGCAATAGGCCTAAATTTAATATCGGTACCAGAAGATTGTTTTGGTATAGGGATAATTTTAATGTTTTTCCATGCAGAAGGTAGAACATTACTGGAAAAGGAAGCATTAAAAATATCAGTAAGAGGGTAACACAAAATATCAGCACAATTCCTGAGGACAATGGCAGGTACGCCATCAGGACCAAGGCTTTGGGAAGGCTTAAGAGAACGGAGACATTTAAGCACATCAAGGGTATTAAAACCATTAAAATTATTGTCTATGTGATTTGTATCATTAGGAAGGAGATCGACAGAGGAGCGTATGAAAGACTTATTAAGATTATCAACATTAAGAGATCGTCCTTCGAATGTACTTGCTCCCGCAAGTGCACGTAAATTCATAAACGCAGTTGGAGGTGAGTGAAAGGTGCAATAAATAGAAGCTTCCCGGCAGCAAAACTCATAACATTATACAGCACCACTTCTATATGCCACTCAAAACTGGATAAATACCCTTCTGATGTCACCTCCAACTGCGTTTATGAATTTACGTGCACTTGCGGGAGCAAGTACATTCGAAGGACGAAAAGAAGAGCTTCTGTCCGGTTTTGTCGTAGAGATTTCTAAGTCCTTCAAAACATCAAATAGACAAAGGACAGCAAATTTACTACGATTTGCCGAAGCGATCGCAATTAAACGATTCAAACCAACCAGACTTATGCATACAGAATGAGAGTGTGATTAACCTCTCACTCACTCCCTTGATAACTGAATTTTGATTTTGATTACATTAATTAGTCATCTAATTCAGTGATCTCAACTCACTGAACAAATCTTAATCTGATAAACTGTAACCGCTTTTGTTTTTTGACTTGCTATATGAACCTACAATCTAACACTGTTCTGTTAATTATTTTTTTTCTGTTTTCTGTCTTACCCCTCTCTTTTCTACTTTGAAAGCGTATAAATTGATGATGAAAACTTAAACTAAAGATTGTAATGCTTACATTTTGGATGCGTCAATTTTATCTCTTCTCTACTACTACTCAAACATTAAAGTATGTTATTATCATTTATATAACCATTGTAATTTCAGGTAGTCTGCAGCTGATGAGAATCTGTGAAATTGAATGATGATATCACATTTTATACTGTAATTTTCGTCTTCCTTTCTTTATCAAAATTTATCAAGGGAACCAAATGAATGAACATTTCAACAATGAAGACCACTCTTCTTTACTTAAACCTTTGGTTTTTGTAAATACTAAACGTTCAGCGACAAAATATAAAGATTTCTTTCCTTAACATTATACATAAAATTAATAAGTGTGACTTCACTGTGAACTTGTTAGTCTTACATCTAATTAGTAAAATACTAACGTCAGTATTTCATTTCTACAACGACCGCGTAAATCAATTGGATAGATGAGATATTACTTCATCTGGCAACTAGCCATGACAGTTGCGTAACACTTGATCATGCCACAGGAAGCAGGATTATTCATTAGTGCATTTGCAAGCTTCCAATATCTAAAACGTTTACAATAAAACAGTTTGTGGTGAAGACTGACAATGATAGATAACCTACTTCTATTTGGCAACAGGTTTGTTTTATAGAAGGTGATCGAACTTTGTCAGCAGCAAAGACAGGATTTCGAGTGAACACAGGGAAGATGAAGGTGATGAAGATAACCAGCCAATCTACCAAAAGCAACAACAACCAGTACCATCAACGGGGAGAGATTTGATAGAGGTTACTTCCTTCACTTACCTGACTGGCAAATCACGGTTTCAACCACAGACGGAGAGAATGAGAATGTGAAAACCAGAATCGGAAAGGCAAGATACGCCTTCATCAACCTGAAATCAGTTTGGAAATCTTCTGCACTCAGGATAAAGAACACGACTCGGATTTTCAGCATCAATGTCAAGTCGGCACCTTCTATACAGGTCAGAAACTTGCACTGCGTGTGAGTCACGAAAAGGATTTCCAACAGGTCACAGCAGACTTATATCAACAGCTGCCACCTCTTCGCTGGCTGGCTGCATAATGAAGATCAAATGGCCAGAAAGAATTTGCAACAAGAAACTCTGCAGTGGAACAAACCAACCGAGAGCCTATTGCTCAACAAATATGTAGGCGAAAATGGAGATGGATTGGGCACACACTGAGGAGACCGTTGAATTACATCGCACTCAGTGCAGGCAATCTCTCGAGTGGAATCCAAATGGGAAAAGGCGAGGCTGACATGGAGAAGATCGTGCGAAGAGGAGATGAGAGATTATGATCAATCGTAGGCCCAACTGAAGAGGATAGCAGAAAGTAGAACAAAGTGGAAATGTGTTGTTGAAGCCCTCACTATGTTCCACTCGGAACCCAAGGGAATAATTAAAAAAAAGAAATTGAACTTTGTCAACCATTTATATTTATTAACGTGTATAGTACACTGTCATATGCACACAGACATAATATAGGTATATATCAAATAAAATTAGTATTTTTCAATAGGTATCAAGACATATTTGACACACAGATATATGAAAAAAATCAACTGTTTTGATAAGAAATCACAATATGTGAGAATACCTGAAAACTGAGATCCTTTAAGGTAGGCGTCTATATGTGTTCACTGCGAACTGGCTGACTGACACTGTCATCCGTTCATCTCAGTGTTAAAAATTAAAATATTATCCTGTAGAAAGTAAATATTCCTAGGACAAGTTTTTTTTAGAAAAGAAAACTTAAGTAAAACAAAAGATTCCTAGTTGGAAATGGCGTTTTTTTATTGCTGTCATACCTTCTTATTCATGTCCAAGAGTAATTATAATGACAATATGAATGGAGATAATGTTTAATAGGAATAATGGCGGTGATGGCTGATGACACTTGAGTGTTTGTTTGTGCGGGCAGTTTTTGTAATGTAGTTGAATTATTTTTTTAACTTTTCAGTCATAAATAACAAGACTTTCGAGGCCAAATAACTAACATTGAACAGGTTCAATGTAAATATTTCAATGTGTTCATATGATAATACTCCTAGAGATACATTGTATTCATTATTTCCAAAGTAATTTGACACTGTCTCACTGTATTCAGATGATTGTTGATATAAGAGACTGTGTTCAACACTTTTTTTAAAATATTAAATATTGAAGGGTATGGGTAAATGTATTCAGGATCAATGAATTGGTTTGGAATGTAATATTTACACTTATGTTGATATTTAGCGTACTGACATTGTTTTAATGCATTAACTTTAAATTTACTTACTCTTCACTATGGAGACGTGATTGCGTTTGGCGGCTTTTTTAAATAGACGTTTTTACATTGATTGTATGATACGAATATTTTCTCTGCTGTTAATACAATCAATGTTAGGGCTGTATTATTTCATGTTTAAACAAAATTCATTGAACATTTTAACAATTTGTTCAAATTTCAATATTGTTTAAAAAGAGGTAGTTAAAATAAATAAGTGTGGGGAGGGGATTTTGAAGTTGTTTTTGTTTTTCTATCTGACCCACCCATGGATAGTTTCTTGTAAAAGTGTTATAGAAATTCGCATTTGATTAAAATCCATAAGAATAATAAGAATTATAATAATAATAATTTGAGAATAGAGAAGATAACTATTCCCAGCCGAACAATGTTTGTATGAGAAGAATCCTATATGCTTTCTTTTTCTATTGATTTTACGTCGTCATATTTTATTCAAGTAAAGTGTGTTGCTTCTTGAATAAAATGCAGTTAATGAGAAGAGATTAAAACACACAGAAGTATAGACAGATAGATCGATAAATAGTGTGTTATTAGAACGTACACACATACATACACACACATCTACATTATGTTGTATATATACACACGCACAAAATGGATTTAATATTCCACTTTATTAATTAAGTTTCATTTGCAATTTATATGTGGTCTGATTTCGAAAAAAAATTTCACAGCTGCCGTGTATATTACTGAATATATCTATTTTTCAGTAGTAATAGTTGTTGTTGTTTTTATTTTCTTATATATAAAATATTTCCTTATTTTTTTTACAGCTTAATTATTCATTTTCAAAGCTTCAAGGTGTTTTTATTAATTTGACCGGTTGATTTGACATTTGATCTGTTAGCAGGTCAAGAAACAGTCCTGGTTGAGGCCAACATCCTGTACACTTTCCACCACAATGACCACGTATTACCTGACCATTCTGTGCATAGATAAATAATATATGGGTGAAAAAAAGGTTAGACATGCATAAAATTATGAAGACTTTGAATTATATCAGAACATATAATCCAGGTGATGAGTAGTAGTAGTAGTAGTGAGTTTATGTTATAGTTTTGGTAAGCAGATGAATGTTATGCATTTGACTTCATTTTCTTTCTTGTCGAATGTGGAGTAATGAAGTCAACAATATTATTATATTATTATTATTGTTTCGTTTAATTCCCCTTGATGAACATAGGGCTTCAGCCGAATGTCTCCATTGCGTTCGGTTCTCTGCTAACGTTTTCACCTGGCTCCACGTCTGCGCTTATGTTTTAATCTCCTCTTCACACGAACTCCTCCATGTCAGCTCACCCTCGCACTGACGACCAACTCACCGCTTCTCATTCAGCTTCCACTCTAGTGATGGCCTGGCATGTGATGTCATTTGGTGGTTTTCTCAGAGTATGGCCAGTCCATCTCCATTTCCTCCTGCATATCTGTTGCACAATTGGTTCCTGCTGGGTTGGTTCGGTTGCTACCAGATATCCTTCCCTGTCGCTGATCTTTTCTAGTCGGCCTTCTGATCTTGAGTAGTACTGAACGAAGACAGCTGTTGATGAAGGTCTGTAGTTTGTTCGAAGTGCCTTTGGTGACATGTCAAGTCTCTGATCCGTATAGTAGCGCTGACTTCACACCGGAGTTGAAAATCCTGATGTTATTTTTCATGCTGAGTGCCGTTCATATCCACACATACTGGAGAGTAATGAAATGAGTTTGCCTTGCTTTCCCTACTCTCGCCTTGATATCCTCATCAGTTCCGTTCTCCTGTAGTTGAAACGATGCTTCCCAGGTAGGTTGGTAGGTAAAGGATGTTGCTTCTTTCAGCTTTCTCGCATTTATCCTGATTGTTGTCTGCTGTAGTTGCTGTTTCTGTTGTTGGCCAGGAATCTTCATCACCTACCTCTGTCTTCTCTATGTTCATCTGAAGTCCTATCTTCTCTAGATGCCTCTTCTTCCAACTTATTGCTTTTCACTTGCATATCTTCCAGTTTGTGGGAAATCAGACATATGTCATCGGTGAAGTCCAGATCCTCCAAGTTTTTGTGTGGGTTAATTTTATGCCTGTCTCCTCGTTGCGTTGCCCGTCGCTGTCTGTCGCACTATCCAGTCTACCGCAATAAGAATGTTTTTATGCTAAGTTTTATTCCTACTTTCCTAAAACTATCACTTTTATCGAGTGTACTGTGAAGCTACCTGTTTTATTATTATACACCTTGTAGTGAGTTCTTTTCATTTATAAACTTCTCCTCCAGCTCATCCGGCTTATCATAACTATCAGTTTGTTTTTTCATCTCTTTGCCTGATGTGTCACTGAAAATCTCGGGTATTGTACGCCTTACTTCAAGACTAGTCTATATTCCAAAAACGTTTTGGTTCTTTCCATGTTTTGTGCGTTATTCATTTGCATTTTCATAAACTGATTTTTATAGTTTAAAAAAAAACAAAATAACTTTATACTAAATTCAAATAGACAAGGGGAGAATTATTGATTGAAAATCTCTGAACAACTAGTTTTCCCCTCACTTAGATAACTGTTGAGTGCTCACTGACAAACACTACACACAAAATGGAAGGTAGTACGTTTAGATTCCTCGATGAATTTAGAGAGTTTGGAGTCGAGCTTGCTGACTTAATTATGAGCTTATTGTAACGTGAGAAGACAAGACATTTGGTAACGGAATGTTTATTTTCAGTCTGACGTAGGCATATTTGGAAATGCGACAGACAGCGGGCAGTGAGGAAACAGGCATAAAATGGACTCACACAAAAAACTTGAAGGATATGAACTCCACCGATGATATATGTCTGATTTCCCACAAACTGGAAGATATGCAAGCGAAAAGCAACAAGTTGGCAGAAGAGTCATCCAGAGAAGATAAGACTTCAGGTGAACATAGAGAAAACAGAGGTGATGAAGATTCCTGGTGAACTGCAACAGCAACAACAACAGACAACAATCAGCATAAATGGAAGGAACCTGAAAGAAACAACCTCCTTTACCTACCTACCTGGGAAGCATCGTTTCAACTACAGGCGGACGGAACTGACGAGGATATCAAAGCAAGAATCGGGAAAGCAAGACAAGCTTTCACTACTCTCAAGTCTGTGTGGAGGTCAACAACTCTCAGCAGGAAAAATAAGATCCGGATTTTCAACTCTAATGTGAAGTCAGTGCTACTTACTAGACGGATCAGAGACTTGCACTGCGCGTCATAAAGAGCATCTCAAACAAACTACAGACCTTCATTGACAGTTGTCTTCGCTCAATACTCAAGATCAGATGGCTGGCTAGAAAAGATCAGCGATAGGGATCTCTGGGAGCGTACCAACCAGGAACCGATTGTGAAACAAATAGGCAGGAAGAAATGGAGATGGATTGGCCATACTCTAAGGAGGCCATTATGTGACATCACTAGACTAGCCCTTGAGTGTAACCCGAAAGGGAAGCGGCGAGTTGGTCGTCACCGCGAGAGTGGGGTGACATGGAGAAGGTCATGTGAAGAGGAGATGAAAGCATGTGAGCAGACTTGGAACCAGGTGAAAACTCTAGCAGAGAACTGCACATAATGGAGACGTGCGGCTGAAATCCTATGTTCCTCTAGGAATTAAAGGAAATAATAATATTGATATCGTCATTTGCATGGATCTTCCATGCTGTGCTACTTCTGCCTTCTTCCTATTGTGTTTCTTTGTCCTCTCTGCATGGTTCCCATGCTTCGCCGTAATACTGCTTCATTTGGTCTTTTTGAGATCAATCCTATCGCTCCGCTATTTGATATTTTTGTGTGCCGACGAACGTCTCTTTTTTATATACTACTGATAAATCTTGTCAGTAGCTCACTCCACATTATTAGTATACATCAATGAAAAGTTAACTTTAGTAATAATTAGGAGTCAAAAGATGGCAGTGCTCACCTGCATACAGCCATTTGTTAAATGAAAATCTTCCTCACTTTTCAGTTTTTTACAGTATACCAAATATTTCCCAAATATTTTTATCGCATTTCCGAAAAGAATTTCAATACTTGGAAGGGACAGTGGTCTCTCAAAGCATGCCGCTCACATGCTTACAATTTCTTCTGTGTACCACTCACTACATTTAAGAGAAGCAAGCTGCTGCCTATATATGCGGTTAATACCAACCAGTTTTACCTTAGATTTTCAGAAGCAGTCGGCAGAAAACATGAAGTATGACTTTTATGCATCTCAACAATTATCCTCCAGTTATTTCAGTTTCTTCGAAGATATTCACAGTGTTCTTGATGTTTCATTGAATACGACTTAATTTTGTAGTTGAAAGTTTTATGTTCATTTTACAGGCGGAAACCAAAACATCTTCCCAGTGGAACATAAGGCTTCAAGCTAGAGAATTAAAGTTTCAGAAGCATCAGTGTTTATTTTTACGGGGTTGAGTTGCTAGCCTCATGCTCAGCCTTCCCTCTTGACCGGCCTTATTACCGGTGTATCGGCCGAGGATCGGGCTCTAAACCACAAGCGTGGTCGGCGAGCATTCTACCGCTAAGCCAATGACGCACACGAATGTATATAATCTATATTACTTACGTGTGACCGGAAAATGTGTGATATCCCATCCGTATTGCTACTCACACTCCAGTGTGTTTTAACGCTCACATGAAAACCAGTACCTCTCAAATCAATTTGAAATTGTCCCTGGAAAAGAATATATTGAATTAAAGCTCGTTGAAAAGTTAGAAATAATGTAGTAATGAAATAAGACCTGATAAAGTGTTTATATTACTGGTTCGACCACGAGCTAACATCAGTTAGAAAATCATTGGAAATCCAGTAGGGAGTAGTGGACAGCTATTTCGTCCTAGCTAGTGGCTCTTCAGTAGTTCACACTCCAATAGGGTTCAAATGTATGAGCTTTGGGTTAAAAGGCGTCCTCTTAAACCATCCACTCACTGTGACCCGAATTCTAACTGCTGCTAATGTATGATATAAGATAAAGATGTGTTGGAAGGTCAAGAAATAATCCTGGTTGAGGCCAGCATTCTCCCCTCCCCACATACAATTACCACGTATTATCTACTCATTCTGTATAGGTAAATAATAGGGTTTACGAGTTCTCCTTGTAATGAGAAAGTCCTGGGTTCGAACCTTAGTGGGTGAGTACTGATGAAGAGTACCAAGCTAGGAAGAAACTGTTGGCCAGTACTTCCTGGTTTCTAGATGGTTCTGTAACTGATGTCCGCTCGTGATCAGACCTGTAAACAATCAAATCCCTGCAAATCAACACTTGAAAATTGTTTATAGCAAAAATATTCATTCAGACATCTATAAAACACAAAATAATTGAGCAAAGGATATTCTTTTCGATTATTTCCTCTTCTGGCTCTACAATTATATATATATGTTTATATACACAGAATATTCTAGAATAGTAGTCAGTAACAATATTAGTGTTTTTTAAATAATATCGATTTGTAAAGTATGATCAATGCAATTACAGTTCACTAAAGATGCTTAAATAATAATAATAATAAAGATATAATAGCGAATAGAATATCACCTAAAATTAGGAAAATTCCCTAAAAATTGAGGATCATTCAAACCTTGATGGCCAAGGTAATGATAATGTCTGAACTAACTTCGTTTGGATGCATAAATTAGGCTTGTTAATATGTTTCTCTTCGAATTTCCGAACATCACCATGCGTGGTTAAGCAAAGGACAAACAAAATCTATTCGCAGCGCTATTCTGTCTCATCATGTGGATACAGAACACAAGATTGACGTTAACCATGCTTTCAGGGTCACTTACCACATACCAATAAATCTTAACTTCGCCTTGAGAGTTCGATTACTACATATCGCTGAGATCGTAGGGATCCACATTAAGAAGCCTAATTTATGTGGCCAAAAGAAGTTAGTATTGAATTGAAATTCTACTGGATTTTGTTACTTAATATAGCATTCTAAGGGTTCTATCCAACACGGTTTGTCAAAGCCAGCATCAGGCAGCTGTTTATTACAGCTTTTCACTAGTTCTCTTGTTGATGTGACTCTCTGATGAATATATGTAATAGATGTAATGTTCATGTTATTGGCTTAACATTATCTTATGTCTTCATTCTACGAATGCTAGACGTATCTCAGAATATGCAGGTAAAGGAAATGTTTAATTCTAAGAAGACATTTCTTCAAAATAACATCTTGAGCTGACTAGCTTTTATCATATTATCTACACAGCTTCTCATAATGAAACACATAAAACGAGTTACATTTTAGAGCACTCAGCGAATGTATAATACAACTAAAACTATTGTTATTAATGTATCTATGCTTATGGCAGAATTATAAGAGTTTTTTAACTGCGCTAAATACTTTTTTGTGGTTCTACTAGATGGTTTGTGAAGATTTAATGCCATCTCAAACAATATTTTCACCTGAAAAACTCAACAGTCAAGGGATGTGAAAATATCAGAGTAGTAGATGAATCATTGATTCAGAAATCATGAATCTACTAAAATCTGAATTGCAACCGATGAAAATTGTTTTTTTAACAACTCTAAAGATAAATTGTCGCATTTGATCACTTCTATGTGTATCTACCAGTTTACTTGCTCATACGGAGTGAGATATATATATATATATGTTATTTGATGCATGAATTGTTTGTTCATATATTCATATCCCGTGTTCTGTTAAAATTATCCTTTTCGAGTTTAGCTTTTTTCAATGAGTAATAAGTTGATATTTTTGAATTATTTAATTATTCAGTAATCAATAATTATAAGTTGTACTAGGCGTTCTTTAAATTATTAAGGAATTATTGCTATTATTACTTTAATAGAAATGACCATATAAATAAGTATCACATATTTCTAACCTGAGGACAGACAGTTGACGAGAAACAATCCTTTGCAGTTGCATATGGCATTATTGATGAACCAACAGTGTGTGAAAATCGAGTATCATCAACTGAAATTTTGAAAAGAAGCACACAAAAAACAGAATTTAATAAATGGGTGAATCAGAATGATATCCTTCACGTAGCAAATTTATTCATTTAGGAGTAATGCTGAAGCGGCAATCTTATCCCCAATAGCTAAAATTGTTTTAACGCTTCATTTTGTAATATCTTCGTGGTTTATCATCATTATTATCGTTCCTTTGGGTTTTGAGTGGAACATTGGCCCTCAAAAGCACGTCTTCATCTTGTCCTATTTTCTGAGGTCCTCTCTAGCTGGCTCCACAATTTCTCATAATCTCCAATCTCCTCCATATCGCCTTCGGACGCCCCCATTCAGCGTTTACCATTCTGTTTCCACTGGAGAGCCTGGCGTACGATGTCATTAGAGGTCTCTTCAGCGTCTGCCCGATCCATCTCCATTTCCCCCTACATATTTGCCAAACAATAGGTTCTTGTTCGGTTCGTTGCCACAGTTTCTTGTTGCTAATTCTTTCTAGCAGGCCAGTCATTTGATCTTCAATATGGGAGCAAGAGAAGGCAGCTGTTGATTTCGTGATTTATGCACTGCATATATGCAACTCACAACTATAAATCTTTCTGATATTTGGAAGGCCAATGTGGAAAACAAGCTCAGTGTTATTTGTTGTACGATTCTGTGATCGTATACTCTAAACCTGGCCTAAATCTTAAAAGTAGTCACTTGTAGGTTGTTTTCAATTCTTCTGTAGGACATTAGATTAATAGTGTTTCACAATAGGGATTAACTTGATTACTATACATCACAGATTATGTACATATAGTTTCCTTTTGATAAATTAAAAAAATCAACAAAAGCTAAATTTTTAATATAAAATGATATTTTGGAATAGTGAGAACACTTTAAGTCGGAAATGAATAACTTATATTTACTGGAGAAGTTGGGAAGATTCACTTTTGTCAACAAGTGCTTTAGATAGAATATATAGTAGAGATGAGAATCAAAAAACCAAATATACACTACAGTTTAAAAGCTTTTATTGGTATCACTCTGAAAGAGAAATCAGTATCCGCACAGCTAAATTTCTGGTGAATCTAAGTTTGTATCACTACACCAAACAGCATCTATACTAACCTGTCTCAATATAACCAAAACTATTGCATAACTCTTAGTTAGGTCTATTATCTTTCAATCTACTAAGGTAGCAAGTACACCAGAATGACTGACATAAGAGTTTCCCAAGGAAGGTTTATTGTGATGATGAATTGTTGCTTTGAATGCATAAAGCTGGTTTACACTTTCTGATTGCCAGCTAGGGCTTCCACAAAGTTTAGGATACACCCTCCCCCAAACACGCTTTATAGATAGGTTTAAAAGATGTATAAACATCAATTTTATGTCCTGTCTCTATAATATGTTTTGCAATAGAGGAGTTAGGTCTCCTGTTCTCACCATTAATGGGTTATGGGGTTTCTATTTGCTCATGAAAGCATTTAGGAATATACTCTCAAGCTCTTATGTGTGTCCAGACATACATAGGGAGGACTCATCGATCTCTGCCAGCAAGTAAGGGCTGGCTTGAGAGCATATTCCTAAATGTCTTCAGGAGCTAATAAAATCCTCAGAACCCAATAACGGTGAGAACACGAGACCTAGCTGCTCTATTGCGAAACATATTATAGAGACAGGACATAAAATTGACGTTCACAGATCCTTTAAACCTATCTATAAAACGTGTTTGGAGGAGGGCGTATCTTAAAGTTTATTGGAGCTCTAGTTGGCAATTAGGAAGTTTAAACCACTTTTATGCGTTTAAAGCAACAATTCGTCATCACACTAAATCTACCTTCCTTGGTGAACTTTGTTTTGATACATACGAGGGTAGATGTACTATTACTTCTCGTATTCGGTTGAGTGACCGTCATTGTTATTTCGACTTTCAATATATGCTTTTAACTGAACCTACGTTTATTTTCCCACCTCTTAACTCTTTATTAATTTCGTACATATTCCTTTGAGAAATCTGTGTTTATGATCAGGTTGTTCGAAATGTGTTACGCAAATACAACAGTACACGATACAGACAAATTACATCTTCTTAATGCTTTGTCTAAATTCATAAAGGGAACTAATTGTTTTAAATAAGAGTTTCTATTAGATTTACTGTGCAGAATCTGATGCCATGTGGATAGTAAATGTGTAGATGAATGTCATAAGTCTCTTGTTAGACTGGACGTAAGAAAGATCCTAAAACTAGATTGAAAGCAGCACTAGTTACCAAATATTTTCCATCATATTTGTGAATCTAGTAAAATGTGATCATTCCTTCTTTCTTTATTAACAATAATTTGAACCTAATTATGATCGTTGCTTACCATAGGAGTACAAAATTGCATCATCTTGGGTTAAGCTTTTCAGGTAGAAAACGCTTCAGCGAATTGGTGTGAGTTAGTGTCTTTAAATGATGATGATATGGAAATGAAGTTTCTAAGTCTGAGATTTTTAAGACTACGTTCAGAAATTCGAGAGAGATTCTCCCCTAAGTTTTCCAAATATTTATTTGTGCTCAGAGAACTTGATTTAGTCTATTTTAGAGGGCTGGAAATAAAATAAAGTAAATGGTTTCCTTTTCCTTTACCTCGTTAAACCAGTAATATGACTGGCAAAGAGGAAAGGTTGGGGTGCATGGGGCTAGCAACCCCACTCAGTGGAAATAAACACCACTGCTACCCAAACTTCAAGCCTCTTACTTGAAGCCCTATGTTCCACCGGGAATGTAAAGGAATTTAAAAAAAATGGTTTCCCACTTTAGGTTGCAACAACAAAGGAACTTTATGTTGTAAAGAGCATTCGGTCTATCACTATGTTTTCCGTTACATTTGAAGGAAAATAATTTTGGAATATTTTTTCTTCGCCTCGTAAAAGGATCATTAAAATGATGATAGAAATTTAAGTTACGTAGGTTGAGTAAGATACCTAAACGTCTACACCATTTCGACCCACGTCAATGAAGAATCTGCATTGAGATTGTGTCTCACTGTTGAAGTTTGCAACATATCAAAGTAGGACAGTGCCATGTATTTTTTAACTAGGAATTGATACCATAGGGGTACAACTGTGGTGAGAGCTGTCTACTAGCCAAATTGGTAGACAGTAATTTACGTCAATATTTACGTTCCCAAGATTTGTCGTGAGAAAATGTGAACAAAGATTGATTCAAAACCGACCACAGCAGACTTTGCGTAGGCGGATGCAGTTAACATATAGAGGATTTGACATTCAAGAAACAGTCACAAATAGATGAAAGATTAACTTTACGTGAGAAACAACCAATCGGAAGACTGTGTTTGTTTGCTTAAATATCCATAGTAATGTACATGAAAATATATAAATATGCGTTGATTTCCTTAATAAATGATCTGTTGCCTGACTCTTGCCTTCTGTTGTTACATTTGGTGTCGCTGCCTGTCGCGAAATGAAAGTCCCATGGCCTGCAGCTTTTGAAGAAGGAGACATATGGATCTTCTTAAGGGACTTCGAAGCTATTGCAGAGTTGAATGGCGTGCAAGAGCCATCAGCGAAGACGGTTGTTCTTGGAACGCTACTGAGAGGCCGGGCGAAGGCAGCATATGATAGTGTGAGGCAAACGGAGGGGCAAGCAACTTGGAAGTCAGTGGTTGAACGCTTGAAGCAGGAGTTTGACAGCCCGATGGACAGAGAGCGGGCAATGCAGCAGTTTCGCACCATGAAGCTGGGAGTTGACGGTGACCCTCTCGTATTGGCGCTGACCTTGACAAGCCTACTTCGTCGCGCTCTACCAACACTGGACGAAGATTCTGAGGCACAAATATTGGCATCCCAGTTTATGGAGAGTGTCCCAGAACATATATCCCAACAGCTACATCTGGTTAACGCCGTACAGCCACTGGACATCGGGGAGCTTGCGAAGGTGACCAGACAACTGTTGAGTAAGACGGTTGCAGCGGTAGAGCCACCAAAATCCGAGCAGTGTGAGAAACAAATCGAAGAGTTGCAACGTGAAGTGGCCGCGCTGAGACTGAGCGTGCGGAGAGACCGGTGTTTCGCATGTGGCAAACTGGGGCACTGGAGAGACCGCTGCCCGGAAAGACGACAAAGAAGAATTTTTAAAAGATATACTGTGTCTTCTTCCTGTGTTCCGAGACTTGAGGTAATAGGGGCGATGGAGAAGGGGGCAATATATTCGAAGTTACGGGTAAATAATCGCGAGTTGGTGTGTTTAATCGACACAGGGGCTGCAGTCTCACTCGTAGATAGGAGTCTATGTGAGAGTATAAGAACGTGTTCGTTGACAGTGCAGACAGTAGGCGGTCACGTGCTAAGAATCGCGGGAGTTTCAGACTGCAGGGTTAGAATTGGAGAGGATTGCGTGACGTTCCCGTTCCTGGTTGTACCTGAATTGCGCCGAACAATCCTTGGGGCCGACTTTTTGCGAGAAGTGGATGCAGTGATTAACACGAAGAAAAGGGTTGTCGTTACGAAGTACGGGTGTTTTAGCATGCACGAGAATAGTGAGGTAGCAGGGATTGCGGCATCGGAAGTCCGAAGTATAGCAAAGTTACTCAGCAAATACGATCATCTGTTTACTGGAGATGGGGACCCATATGGTTATTGCGATAAGGTGAATCATGAAATTCCGTTAAGTGGCCCGAAAGTAACGTCATTTACCACGCGAAGAGTTCCATGTCATTTAGAAGGCGAAGTTGAGCGACAGGTGCGAGAGATGTTAAAAGATGATATTATTGAAGAAGCTGATAGCCCGTACAACTCTCCAGTGCTGTTAGTAAAAAAGGCGAATGGGAAGTATAGATTCTGCGTTGATTTTCGACAGTTAAACAGTATGACAGAGTTAAGACCGTGTGCCATGCCAACAGTAGTAGAAACCTTAGATCGCCTACAAGGCGCAAATTTGTTTTCAGTTCTCGATCTTCGCTCAGGATACTGGCAGATACCGATAAAGCCAGGTGATAGAGATAAGACGGCATTCATCGTGGGTCAGACACAATATCGATTTAAACGCATGCCGTTTGGACTAGCAGGTGCACCGTTCACGTTCAGACGACTGATGACGCTATTACTTAAGAACTTGAAAAACGTTGAGGTGTACGGTGATGATCTCGTCATATATAGTCAAAACGAAAACGATCATGTGAACCATGTGGAAGGCGTGCTGCGACGCATCGAAGAGTTTGGACTGCGCATCAACAAAACCAAGTCCCAGATAGCCAAAAAGAATGTAACTCTCTTGGGACATAAAGTGGGAAATGGTGAGATTAAACCACTACCGGAGAAAATCTTGACGATAAAGACGATTCAGGCCCCGAATTCAAAGAGAAAATTGAGACAATTCTTAGGTAGAGCAGCGTTTTATAGTCGCTTCGTGAAGAACTTCAATGAGATAGCAGCCCCTCTGTACAGGCTACTAGGTGAACCGAAGTTTGTTTGGTCGGAGGAATCGCAGAAGACATTCAACAGGATTAAACAGCTGCTCGACCACCAACAAATGACACTAAAGCTACCTGTACCTGGAAGACAGTACACAGTGTGCACAGATGCCAGTGACTACGCCATAGGTGCGGTCCCAAGAAAGGGTGAGGGAATCGTTGAGTATGCCAGTCGGGTTTTGACACACACAGAGCGAAAGTATTCAACGATAGAGAAAGAATGTTTAGCGATGGTATGGGCAATCGACAAATGGAGACCTTATTTACTCGGCCGGCGGTTCCACATCGAAACGGATCATAAGCCGCTACAGTTTTTGAAGACAGCGAGAGACCCACGAGGGAAATTGTCACGGTGGATGTTGCGTCTTCAGGAGTACGATTTTACCATCTCACACCTTCCTGGAAATGAAAATGTCTTGGCAGATTAATTATCGAGAGCAGAAGACGAGTCTGAGTTGCCCGAGGTCGCTTACGGAGTGCATGCAGTAGAACAAGACCCACTAAGATTGGCACGCAGACAAAGGTTGGACGATACGCTGAATACAGTAATACAGGTGATCACTAACGGAATAGAAGTGGATCCAGCTACAGCGAGTAAGGAGCTAACCACACTACTCAGACAGAGAGATCGACTAAGAGTGAATGTCTACGGGACTCTGACCTGGCGAGAGGACGACGGAAGCTGGCTAGCTGTCATACCTCAATCGTCACGTCACGACATGATAGAAGAATGCCACCAGCTAGCACATACCGGAGTGGCCAGAACAACCGACCTCTTGAGACAAAGTATGTACTGGCCAGGTATGAGAGAAGACGTAGCAAGATATGTACTTGGATGTCCACGGTGCCAGCTAATGAAAGGCGACCGGTGCATACGACCACCACTTCAGTCGATTCCAGTTACGGCGATAGGTGACTTGTGGTCCGTAGATGTTATGGGTCCATTTCCTCAGACATCCAATGGTAATCAGTACCTCTTGGTGATGACGGAACACGCGACACGATGGGTAGACGCCGTAGCAATCCCAGACCAACGCGCAAGGAGCGTGACAGATGCAGTAGTTAGACACATCGTTGCAGACCATGGCGTACCAAAGACAATACTGACAGACCAAGGTCCGTGTTTCGAAAGTGAAGAATTTACTTCCCGTTTGCAACAGCTTGGCATCAAGAGGATCCGAACGACCCCATACCATCCACAAACGAATGGCCTGACGGAGAGAAACAACCGTACGCTGAAGGAGTGGCTGGCCTCGAAGGGCGGTAACTCGGAAACGAAGCTGCCACTGATTCTACTAACACATCGTGCCACCACCCAGGAAACAACGAAAAAGTCACCCTTTCAACTGATGTATGGTAGAAAACCACGATTACCGATACACAACGAAACCTGGCCCCTTCACCAAAAGTGGAGTACGACGAAATTAAAAGCAGAACGGAAAGAAGCCGTCAAGAATGTAATGCAGAAGCAGCGGAGGGATGTCGCGAAGTCTCAGCTGAGAGAAAAGACTCAGTGCATTACCTTCTCAGTCGGGGACCAAGTGAAGTGTAGAGACAGAAGATATGCTGTCGGATGCGGGCCAGGTTCACGCAAACTCCTTCCAAAGTGGGAAGGACCATACACAGTCACAAAAAGACGGGGTCAAGTATATACCATCAGAAGAGGTGACAAACAAAAACGAGTTAACGCCAGTCAGATCCAACGATGGGTGCATTGGGACAAGCCGGTCTGTAACAATCATCAACGAGAGAACGCATCACCCAGAAGGTCGGAACGCCTGCGCGCGAAGCTATTTGACGGGGGGACGAGTGTGGTGAGAGCTGTCTACTAGCCAAATTGGTAGACAGTAATTTACGTCAATATTTACGTTCCCAAGATTTGTCGTGAGAAAATGTGAACAAAGATTGATTCAAAACCGACCACAGCAGACTTTGCGTAGGCGGATGCAGTTAACATATAGAGGATTTGACATTCAAGAAACAGTCACAAATAGATGAAAGATTAACTTTACGTGAGAAACAACCAATCGGAAGACTGTGTTTGTTTGCTTAAATATCCATAGTAATGTACATGAAAATATATAAATATGCGTTGATTTCCTTAATAAATGATCTGTTGCCTGACTCTTGCCTTCTGTTGTTACACAACTACTACATTTCTCAATTCTGTTCTGGTGTAACTGATACGGTAACGGTAGACGACGAAAAACTTGGTAAAGGGATGGTTATCTGCAGTTTAGTATGTCTATATAGCCGAATTGTATACACCTTATCTTCATCGCATCATTTGCACAGATCTTCCGTGTTGTACTGTGGTGGCGTGATACAGATATGTGTACCAACGGAATATGATTCTCACATATTCCCACAGTTGTTACATTTGGTGTCGCTGCCTGCCGACAAATGGAAGGCCTATGCCCTGCAGTTGCTGACTGAGACATATGGATCTTCGGGCAGGACTTCAAGGCTGTTGTGCAGTTGAGGGGTGTTCAAGATCCGTCAGCGATGAGGCTGTTTCTTGGAACGCTGCCTGGAGGTCAGACGACATCAGCATATGATTATGTTAGGCGAAACACGGGTGAACACGAGCCAGGGTCATGCAAACTGCTAGCAAAGTGGGAAGGACCATACATGGTCACCATGAGACAGGGTCGCGTATAAACGATCAGGAGCGGGTGAACGTTAGCGAGCTCCGGAACTCGATACAGCAAGACAAGCTAACAAAGCTGCCAGCACCAAGAAGACCCAACCGACTTTAGTCGAAAGTTTTTGATGGGGGACGAGTGTAGTGGTGTGATACAGACAGTGTGTACCAACGGAATGTTATTCTCACATGTTCCCACAGTTCATTTCGGCATTAACAACATAATACGATATATATCTATTTGAACATTCAGTTTGATATTAGAGTCGGAATACCTTATCCACGGTTATACACTGCATTAAAAAAAGAATACTATGTATATTTGAACATTCTATTTCTTGTCGTTTAATGTAAACCGAATTCACACGCTCAGTGATTGGTTAACGAATATAAACTGTAGATATATAAACAGCGGTTTGACCAATGAAAAATATGCCTTGGCTTCGATGTCTTGCCTTCTGTTGTTACAGTACTACTTCTGGCCTTCCTTCATATTGTGTTTCTCTGTGTTCCTTTCATTTCCCTCAAGTATCTTTGGAAAGCTGTATCATTTGCTTTCTCTGACATTAAATCTATCTCCCTGCCGATGAACATGTCTTTATATACTACTGATGAATCGTATCAGTAGCGCTCGCCACACTACTACTTATGAATAGAATAGTTCAAATGATGCATGTACAAAAGTGTTACATTATTCCGCATATAGTTGACTAAACCACCACTGGGACTACTGTCACTTCATGCCTTCTAATGAAACGTTATCAGTTATGCATGAATGTACATATTGTCATAGATAGGGAAATTTAACTTACTTTTTATTTCTAAATTGTATATATCTAATCGTATTTTATGATAAAATGTTTTAGAGGCTAAATTTGGCACAGAAGGACAATTTGGACAATTGATCACGTTCACTTGCATATTGGTTAATAAGTTTTCAGGAATTTCTTGTATTGTATCTATATTTGATTGGAATTGATTAATATTTTCAGAGGTATTAAATGTTGAAATTGTTTCATTGAATGCAGGACACCAGTTAGTATTAGGATAGCTTTAAAGATAAATGAGAGGTGCAAGAAATATTGACAAATATTATTAACATTATTAAAAGAACAGACAAAGTGAACATAATCGGTGGATCTTGTCTTCACTAAAGAATTAATGGTAGGCTGATGAGGTTTGCTGACATAATAATAATCATAATAATTTGCTTCATTTGAGAAACAGTACTAGTGGTACAGTGTGAAATTTTCAGCACATATCTACAATATTTGCATCTAATTTTATCAAACATTTAAAAGAAGTATTTCAAAAAATAAATATAAAAACAACAACAACAAAAAAAAGACAAAAATAATGAAAAAAGTGCCAAAAAAATACCAAGAAGTAGAAAGGAAAATAAACAGCATATAATAATATCGCACTCAGTATTGGGTAGTGGAGGCTGTGATATGATTATGCATGGTGACAGTAAAGCTGTAGTCATACAAGAAGTTATGAAATGATATTTAAAAATGTTTATCGCCAAGATGATCAGTTAATTTAGGTTGAAACAACACTAAACAATCATAAAATAACATTTCAGTGTTGTTGTTTTGTTTTTTATTGTCAGCTCTAATGCAGTGTTTGTAGTGGTAGTGTGAGTAATCCTGCGTAATACGAAATTTTAAGATGGTGGTAATGGCGTTCACAACCAATGATTGTCAGTTAACATTGCCGAACAAAAAAGCAACTACAACAACAAAAACTAATAATTGCATCATGGTTAATGACAGGACAATTTTGTAATACTCATAGTGCTAAAATAGTCGGAACCAGTAGACACACAAAAGAAAGGATAGAGTAAAGTACAAAAAAGGAAGCCAATGTTAATAATTAAGGTAGCTAAGTATGTTTAAGAAGGAGTTCACTATAGAATACAAAATAAGGGAGAAATAAAAGAGCTTGCCAATTTAATGCCATGTTTGGAAATGAATTATTTGTGTTAGAGAATCATTGGGAAACCTGGGAGTATTGGACAGTTGTTTCGTCCCAGTTTGGGACTCTTCATCAGTACACTGAACTTCTTACTAGAATTCCAGGTAATCTCCTGTATGGAGCCAGTTACTAGTAAACATCAGATTAATTATCAAGAGTTGGTGTGTAAGGATTTGATTAATTACAGGTTTGATCATGAGTTGACATCTAGTGAGAAATCGTAACCAGAGAAGTCCACCAAGTCAGGTAGGAGGATATTTACTCACCAGTGACACTGGCTGGCGGCTGTGCTGTATATATATATATATATCGTGAATTGGCAGGAGTTGAAGTTCATGGGCCATTGGACCTCATCCCATTGACTGAATGGTCTACGAGTTCGTTCTGTAACCAGAAGGTCCTTGGTTCGAATTCTAGTTGGTGCTTACCGTGAAGAGTCCTGAACTAGGACGAAATAGTTGTCCAGTACTCATAGCTGGTTTTCCAATGGTTCTCTAACTGATTTCAACTCGTGATCAAACATGTAACAAGTCAAACCCCTGCAAATCAACGATTGATAATTATTTATGTCACGACTTCTCACTAGAACTCCAGGAAACTCCATCCTGTAGCAAGTCACTAGCGATATCAGATTAATTTTCTATAGTTTGGTTTGTAAGGGTTAGTTTTGCTTTTACGAGTTGATCACGGATTGATATCAGTTAGAGAACCATTGAAAACCAGTACTGGACAGCTGTTTCATCAGTCTAGTTTGGGAATCATCGGCAGTGCGCACCCATTGGGGTCAATTTGCTTCACTTTGTGAGATTTAGGAAGGCATTAGAAGGAGATATCTAGTCCTTTTCATGAAATTATTCTGAATTCAATGTAAGAAGAATACACACTTGAGACTTGTTATACTTACGGCTGTAAAAATTCTGATGATCCAGCATAGTTGATCTGACGTAAAGTGATGTATTCTGAGGGATTGGTTGTCTCCATGTCTGCACAGTAAATCTACGAAATAAAAACAAAAGTATCGAATTAACATGAATTATTTCTGCTTATGTATGCAGAAATGGTGTTGAATCGGTTGTGTTTGACATGATAATTATCAATCTGGAGGGATGAACATTTGTAATTACCGGTTATGCATGCATATTGGTCTTTAGGACTGTTGTTTCATTCCAATTGAATGCATAATTGTATATAGTTAGATGATTGGTGGCAGGAGGCTGGAAGTCCTATCTGGACCTAGGTTTTGTACTTGTTGGCACTCGTCATCAAGGCGTATCTACAATCTTGAAGGAACTCATGTCACTTAATGTCAATCAGAGTCATTCGGGTTCACAACTGACCTCCTGTAGGACTGTATTAAACGCTTTGATTGGACACTATGTAGTAACTAGTATCATGCGTGTAGACTGAATTCAAAGTCATCTACATTCATGATTATTGAATCCATGAATAATCCCCATCCAGACATTAATGAAAACAAAACACTTAGTTCAACGAAGAGTCTCTTTTCGACGAATCCATTTACTTAGCTGTACAATCGTAATTATATATACTTATATATGTAAGTGTGAGTACATTAGGTTTGTCCAGTAAGAACAGAAATTAGTTAGGGTCATTGATGTGAAGACATTTCAAAAATGTTATGAATAACTCCTGATAACATTTGTAATTTTTAGAGCTCTTGGGTAATTCCATATTTTCTTTTCTATAGTTTGGCTTGTAAGGATTAGTTATGTTTTACGAGTTGATCACGGACTGATATCAGTTGGAGACCATTGAAAACCAGGGAGTACTGGACAGCTGCTGTTTCATCCTAGTTTGGGAATCATCGGCAGTACGCACCCACTGGGATTCGAACCCAGGACTTTCCGGTTACAAGGCAAGCTCGTATACCATTCAGCCACTGGGACCCGATTCAGTGGCTTACAATTCCCAAACTAGGCTGATGAAACAGCTGTCCAGTACTCTGTGGTTTCCAGTGCTTGTTTAACTGGTATCAATCCGTGGTCAAACTCGTATAGACAAGTCTAATCTTTACAAACCAAACTCTTGAGAAGTTTAATCATTCCTTGCTTCTGAAAATAGTCCACCAGAGAAATTCATTTGAATGACGCCAAAATATGACGAAGTGCTTGAAGATCTTCAATCAGCATCCAGTTTTTATGAATCTAAAGGTGTATGCTACTGATAGGATTCATCAGTAGTAGTATATAAAGACATGTTCATCGGTATAAAGACATCAGATAGCAAGGAGATAGATTTGATGCCAGAGAAAGCCAATGATACAGCTTTGCAAAGATGTATGGGAGAAGTGAAAGGAACACAGAGAAACACAATATGAAGTAAGGCGAGAAGTAGTATAACATGGGAGATCTTTATTAGATGGTTGGAGACGATCAGCAGGAAGCCTTGGACCTAGATTTCGTGCTCGTTGGCACTCATCAGCAAGGCGTATCTGCAATCGTGAAAGAACTCATGTCCCTTCTGAGATTCGAACCCGCGTCATCCAGTGAGTGCTGCAGTCAGAGACGTTACCACTGAGCTATTCAGGCTTGCGATTGACCTCCTGTAGGACTGTAGTGGATATTTTTGATTGGACACTAGTCATTAAACTAGTGTCATGTGTGCCTAGTCCCATCTTTGGTGCAGACTGAATTCTAGGCTTCCAGCCGATTGCCTCCAACCATCTAATACCATCAATTCACAGCGCACCGTGTTGGCGAGCCACCTAGTGGCATGTTGTCCACATTGCAAGCTTGACTGATAGAATTCATTCTGCACGAAACATAGGACTAGACACATTACACTAGTTACCGACTAGTGTCCAATCAGAAATACGAGGGATCTGTGCAAATGATGCGTTGAAGATAGGGTGTGCATAGTTTCACTATATACAGATACTAAATTGCAAGGGAACATAACTTTACCAAGTTTTATTGTCTTTTACCGTTATACCAGCAATCACACACATTTCATTAGATATTGTCTCCCTAAAATGTATTAAAAATTACCCGCCTACAAATCACTAAAACAAACTCATTTAAAACAAACTTACATAAACTAATGAATGTTCAATTAATAAATGATATGTACCATCATCTGCTGAAGGATAACGATGTTTCAACTCCCGACAACTTTTCGGTACATCTATATATATGTATTATAAAAGTAAAAGGTAACATTGAACTAATGACAAATACACCAAAATATATAACCGTATAATACTTGCTGTTCAATATTCACCATCATAAAACAGTAAGATGATACAATTTTAACCAATTTGAAACAACTTAACTCAATAGTTGAATGTCATATCATTTTTTATTGCTTCACGTTCCCAGTGGAACGTAGGGTGCCTTCAAGTCAGAGGCTTGAAGTTTCAGTAGTAGTGATGTTTATTTTTACTGGATGGGGTTGCTAGCCTCATACCCCTCAACTTTCCCTCTTTACCAGGTTTTATTTATGGCTTAGCGAGGTTTTGAAGTGCGTCAGTGTCCAGGGATTGAACCCCGGACCATGTGCATGGTCGGTGAGCGTCCTAACCGCTGTGCCACTGACGCACGTCATATAATTGATAGATTGAAATTTAAAGCACAACATAAACCATTGGCTTTACAAATAAACTACTGGGTTGTTCTGCTCAATTTAGTATTCTCTTTAAATTATGATCGTTAACGAACTGTGAAATTGAGTAGTCAGTAAATCATGTTGTATCTAAACTCTTAGATCTTTATACACTGAATACTTTACAGTTAAGTGTATGGCCTTCATTAAAAAAATAGGTTTTACGTTAAACAGCATAACAGAGCAGCATACTAGTTATAATTAACCAGGGAACTCTAAATGTTAACGTTAATCCTTGGGGAAGGGTCATTTGGAGAACTCATAAATCCAACGTCCGAATATCAAGGTACGTTTCAATGTTGAATAGCTTGAAGATGAATTCCTTGAAATGCTAATAAGAATAATTCATTGGTTGGGGTTAGTCGAGCTGAGTATGAGGAGAGCTTTTATTCAGTGATGACATTATAACTTTAGTAATTTTGAAGATTCCGATTAACACACTTAGAGAAAACAACAGATTGAGAGAAGAAATATATTCTTTTTTATTTAGTTCATCATCATCACAACTACCACTAAACTTATACACAGTTCTCACATCTCAATTCCACTATTCATCAAATTATCTCAGTCCATAAGAGTTGTCAGTCTAAGGTATACGGCATCGGGTGGAAATAAGAGGTTAGAAAGTCATCAAAACAATTCTAAACAGTAGATGTTAGCAACAAGATATCTAAGTTCTGAATGAGGGAGGGGTATAAATAAATAATTACGACCTGTGTATAGCTTTATTCCAACCTCTGCAAAACCAAGATGGGAGGTGTTCAGAAATTCGACCATGATTTCACCTGATCGTACACCCAATGTAACTAGCTCTACACCAGCATTGAAATTGTTAAATACACATGGAACAGGCAAAACAGGGCGACTTGTTTTTGTTTCTTGAACTGGGTGTTGGTTAGCTAGTGAATAAGCAGATTAGTAGAACTCTTACATAATTCCATATTTTCCTTTGTTTCTATATGCATTCTTATCACAACTCACTTATTAAACTGTTCATCATCTTATTACGTAACTGTATTAAGCCTATTCGACTTCCTTTTATTTGTTGATTAACATTAAAGACTGCTTTTACAGTATATCACTACTACTCTCTTACTAATCTTCACCCATCTCCGCTCTAGTTACAGTTTGATTACTCATCACATTTTTGAAATATATTGACAACAATAACTCTAAATTATTTTTGTCTTTATCGGACAAACTAAATGTACATACATATACAAAAGCAAGTATATATAATTGCTTTCCTTTTACGAGTTGATCACGGATTGATATCAGTTAGAGAACCATTGAAAACCAGCAACAGGGAGTACTGGACAGCTGTTTCGTCCCAGTGTGGGAATCATCGGCAGTACGCATCCACTGGGGTTCGAACCCAGGACCTTCTGGTTACAAGGCTAGCGAGCCCATAGACCATTAGGCCACTGAAACCCGATACAATGGCCGACCCATGAATTCTAACTTCTGCCAATTCACAAAATAGGGCGACCACTTCGCAATGTCTTCTTCGAGGAGTAACTGCCCTCACCTTCAGTTTGCTGTACTCTGCTGGTGACTGCTTCCCAACAGAACACCAGGTAACTGCCTGTCCAGTACTCCCAGGTTTCCCAATGGATCTCCAACCGATATCAGCTCATGATGAAATCCTCCAACCAATCAAACAAAATCCCGAAAATCCAATATTAGAATGTTTAAAATTTCTGCTCTTTGAGAAAATTTCCAGATTTATTGACAACATCAATGATATGTTATTGTGGAAAAATCTTTTGTGTATATTTCATGAAGTGAAAGTAAAACTAGTGGTATTGTGAAGATTTACATATTTATATTTGTAGACATTCTTACCTGAGCACAAATTCGGACAAATACTCCAACTGTTAGGACGTAGATTTTGTGGACACAAAGATTCCGAATACTCGTTGCCTAAATCGTCAACACATTTCACTTGACGATATCTCATTCGTGATGCGCATGTTTCTGGACACTAAAAGTGCAAAATAATTGAAATTAAAGGGCGACTAGGTCAAGGAATAATTACATATATATCAACAAGGACAGTACCGATGCCAGACACAACTTCTAACTGAGTGACTCATTCTAATGTTTATGAAGTAATTGCGTAATTTAAAACAAAGCTCAAAGAGAAACTATTATTTGGTATAATGTGCTGCAACTTGTGAACAAAAATAATTACAAAAAGATTTTACTAGCGCTATTATCACTCTAGTTGCAGAGGGATGGGGTCTTTAAGGCTACATTTTAATGACAGTAACTTATGAGACATTTGTAAAAAATATTTGTAAAATTTCACCGAGGTTGAAATGAGTAATTCCAACGTTTCGTTCGGCAATCTGATCCGAACTTCAACAGGGAAATTAGTCGAAATTAACGTAACAGAGGTTTATGTATAAAAGGAACATCTCTTGTTTTTTGAAACTTTGTCCAATCATAAGTCATGAAACAGGCATCAACATGTATAATAAACAAAAATTGTATGAATTGTGATCATAATTTGACCTCAGACTTTCAAAATTAGTCTACTTTTGTTAAAATATATATGGGTATATGCAGTATACAATGGTGTGTTTGTGTATGTGTGTGTGGGTGAACAGTCATAAAACATTTGTTAGTCCCTCCATAAGAAGACGTAGACAATCGGGAAATTTGACCAAGTATGATTAACTGTTGATACATATCCAATTTTTTATTTATTAGTCAGGATTTGCCATGCATCAGCTAACATCACACCTTCACGTCTGTTCAAACTGTTGGGATTCACCCATATATGCAAGGCTTCTGAAGTCAGTCTTTCTTTATATGGACCAAAACCTTTCTGTAGAACCTTAGTCTTATCAACGTCGATTTTGTGTCCCGTTTCTATCGAATGCAGTGCAATCGCTGAGTTGTTTTCTAGCTTCTTCAAGTGTGCAGAGGTCTTTGGAACCACCTTTAGACATTTTTTATGCTCTTTCACTCTTATATTTACCTGTCTGGAAGTTTCTCCTACATATACGGCGTTACAATCCCCACAACTGATCGTGTGGAGCAAAGTCTATTGGCCGTACGCCACGTCAAGTCCAAAAACGTATTCTGGAACACTGTCCAGCTTGGTTATCCAGAGGAGAAAAGAAGAATAGCAACAGCTCGATCCTCGAACACCTTGTCATCTCTGGACATCGAGCACCCCCACATGAATGCTTCTCAGTGTTACACAGAGTCCCTCAATATCGTACAAAGGGACTTCGGATTCGCCATCTGTACATAACTGAAGCATTAGCTATTCGAGATCTAAAACCGGACCTCTGCATACAAAAGCGATACATACATTCTCTTGCCTTACCATGGCCAGAGTAAAGTTCTTATCACAATTTTGCTTCTTTCCTTTATTATGTAAGTTCACTATTATTACCATTATTATTTTATTTTATTAATACTTTTATTATCATTTTGTCCCCATAATCCACATTTTATTACCACTCTATTACTGTTGATTAATAACATTGTTTTTCATACATATTTTATACAAAAACACTTTATAGCCTTTCCACTAGTTCCTGTCCATTTTACACGAGATTATTGATTATTCACTATCTCACACTTATTACGTCATGCCAACTTCTGTCTCCTTTCTAACTTACAATTAGTCATCTCTTCTTACACCTTACATTATGTAATACAATTTTCCAAGGAAAAAATTTACCAGTATCTGATTGGTCTAAAGATTTCTTTGTTAATTATAATTACGATTGTACAGCTCATGAAAATGAATCGTCGAAAGAAAATTTTCTTCGCTGTTTGTGTCTTTTTCTTATGATCTGGTATGCACAATTCTGCTGGTTTTCGTGTTCTATTTTATCCTTAACCTTCACCAGTGATGAGCGTAATGTGTTTGATGCACAAAAATACACTCTTATGTTATGACCGTTAAGGATTCGCTTTATTTCATCGGATGTTTCTTTGCGGTAAGGAATCACCACTGTACTAACCCTAATCTTAGCAACAGGTTTCGATCCATCCTTATCTTTACATTTTAAATATCTTCTTATGAAGGCTTTAGGATAATTATTTGATTCAAGAGTGGATTGAACCGATTCTAGTTCCCTGCTGATCTCTTCCTCTTCACTAACTAGACGTTTGGCTCTGTTAATCAGATTCTTGGCCACAGTAACTTTGGTGGTAAATGGGTGAGTTGAATAGTAGTCTAGGTATCTATCCGAATTTGTTGGCTTTCTGAACCTCTGTTATGTTAATTTCGATTAATTTCCCTGAAGAAGTTCGGACCAGATTGCCGGAAGAAACGTTGGAATTAATCACTTCAATTTCACTGAGATTTTACAAATATAATTTTTTACAAATGTCTACTTCTCACTCGGCGCTCAATTATTTTGCAACTATCCGGTCAAATCTTGATCACAGTTCATATGAAGTAACTTATGAGATTAGTGACTGATCAGTATATTATTGAATTGAAGGGAATGGCTGATTTTACGGCTTTAAGAGAGAAGACCACAAGGGAACCGTTAGATCTTTCATAGAAATACTTCGCAGAAGCAAAAGAAAGCTTGTGTATATCTTATTCGTAAGTTATGACACATATTGTATGGAGAAACAATATGGTACGTTTCATCCATACGCAGGTTGTAAAGAAGCGAATCTTAGGTGCTTTAATATAAGTGTAGAACTTGGGCGTTGTGGTAGGATGTAATTCCATATTAGATAAGTTCATAATCATTTAAATTTAGCCTCACAATTTGTCTTGTATATATTTTCTCTCTTTCTGTCTCTTCAACTTCCCCTTGTTGTTAGTTGCGACTTTCCGCATAGAGAAACCACATCTTGAAAAGACAGCTTCTGTACCAAAGAAAGCAATCTTTATTAACCTACCATTCAGTGGTGATCAAATTATGCATCTGACAGCTAGCTCAAAGATTTCGGTCAGGCATCAAGCCAACATTCTACGCCGCATCACTTTCCGTCACATCTCTAACATTTTCGATCCTTGTGGACTCTACTTCAAAATGTATCTACAAGTTCACTTGCAGTTGCGGTGACACACACCAATATAGGTGGAACCAATAGAATGTTCCAATGTCTTCGAAAAGAACATGTTCCAAAATGGCTACTAAATCATATAGAAAATCCCAACGCGATTAATCTGAATAGAAACCTAACATCATCATCCATTGCAAAGCATTAATATTAATTAATAACTGTTTCACAGTTATTTCATCACATAACTCTAAATCAAGTTTGGTTATTAAAGGTGATGGAAGCATTTTGGATTAATCACATACATCCTAAACTTTGTTTACAAAAAAGCAGTTTATTTCAACCTTCACCCACCACGCACTACTTGACCTATTTATAAAATGCGATTGGTCATTATTATGTACTTTTGTTTTATATAACTGAGTAATTGTCATGCATTTTATTTTATTATTGTGAACCAACCATGTTAGTTGTAAAGCGGTTGTAAAGAAACTAAGAAATGATATCATCTTGCGAAATTTGTCTTCTAAATGCCTTATTCAAATTTATCAAAGGGATTAATTGTTTTAACCTTCCATATCTCCGGTACAGGCTTTGCGTTATTCAGATTGTAGTGATTAAGCTTTCTCTCTCCACCTAACTATATTATTTTTTAATACTCTCACCCTGTCCCACCCACCATATTTTGTGATTACGTGCAAGTGAATGCAGTGCAATGGCTGAGCTCTGTTTTCTAGGTTATTCAAATCACTGGGGTCAATCATTCAAGGTCTAGCTAAAGATTTATGTTCCAATAATGTAGTTGACCTCGATCTACTAGTCTGACCTATGTCACTGACCCCACTCATAGTCATTACATGGTATTTGGTAAATTATAGTTATTTTTCTCAATTGGATCTGTTGGGTCATTAAGCCGACAAAGTTTACCTCGGTTGGCTTAAATGCCAACCTGATTCCAGCCTCATTAAGAATCTCACATAAGGCCCTTTGACGTTCCTTCTTTGTATAGCGGTACTTCGAAGGCTTTGAATTCTATATTATTTTCGTCATTATCATTACTAATCTTAGTTTTTCTATGTTTCTTCATATATTTTTGAATAAATTCTGGTAGTATTTCCTTTATTTGTTTGATTTCATTGTTTAAATCTTCTGGCCTACTACCTAGGCTTTTGGCCTGATTATATAGACATCGAACTAACTCTGTCTGTAAGATGAATTCCATTCCCATCCTCAAATCAGGTCAACCTGTCCCGGATCAGCCTAGCATTGTTGCAACTCAATTATCCATGCCCAACGTGTCTATCCCACCTTGTTTAATTAACTGTGTATGTGTGTTTTTACTTCGATCCTTTTAGTCAGACAGTTGAACTCATGATCCAATGAGAGTATTTTTGTGAACTGTTATTTTGCTGCCCCATGTCTTACTTTGTACTATTCTGTTGAGTTTATCTTATTTATTGATTGGTTAAGTAGCCAATTAAATTCTATCTTTGTGCCTATGCTTTGTCTATCTCTTACTTGGGTTCATTCTACTACTGACTGCTTACCTGAACGGTCGTGTCTGATCCGGCTAGTTCGTAATTTTGGCTTTAACGTTATTCCGCTCTGATAGCGGTTCCTTGCTTTCTGTTAAGCATTGTGTATTGTATTCTTGAAACCGTTAAAGTTTGTTGTATATATATTAATTGATTTGTTTATTAATAGTACCGTAGAAACAGTGACCGGCTTCTTGTTTGTTCTGGACCGGGATAGCCTATATCTACGCGTGACTTAATTTCAAGCGATATTGCGCTTACACTGTCCTTACCGATTCTGGATGGGATGAATTAAAGTCTAAATATTCATTAGAGTGTCTCGGTTTCCTATAAGTTGTAGTATCTAACCCAACATCTTTTTTCGTTAGTGCTGCATCACAGTTTAATATTTAAAATAAACGTATCTAATGTAGAATTAAATGCTTTAAAATAAAAGCTTGTGGAAGCATACATTTATAACCAAGCAGGTATAGTAAGCACTGTAACCTATTGTATCAATCAGTCTTATGCAAAGTGAAAACAAGACAACATATGAAATTCTCGTACAGAATTGTTCCTAGTGCGGTGAGTCAGTGTTGTTTTAAATGCCATACGAGATTGAATGAAATTTCACTGTCGGATTTGATTGTTGATAGTTGGTGATAAGGGGTTGTTTTCTGAGCTAGCCATAAAGCATTCGGCTAGGAGAGGTCTTAAGGGAGAACCCATTGCTACTCCATCTACTTGCCTGTATATTTCCATGTTGAAACTAAAGTATACGTTGAAGGTGCATTGTAGTAACAGTTCTTACACGTAATGGATCGGTATACCGACATCGATTCTATTGGATTGAATGTAGTCGCAAAGGATCCACTACCTGAAAGAAGTGTTACTACGATGCACCTTCAACGTATACTTTAGTTTCAACAAGGAAATATACAGGCAATTAGATAGAGTAGCAATGGGTTCTCCTTTAGGATTTGGTTGTGTAAAGAAATACTAGAGATAACACTCAGAGTGATGTTCCGAGTTTTGTCATCCACAAAACCATCAGAAAATACTGTCTCTTTATATACAGAATGATTTGTAGTTATCAGGAGAATAAAAATATTCGAATTATTATCTAATATTTTTTCTAGAAGAAAATAAAAGACAATTCAGCGAAGAAAATTTTCTGTATACACAAAAAGTTTGTCCAGTCTCTTATTCTACCATGGTCTTAGCCTCTTCCTTAGTTGTTCCCTGTAAATTTTTTATTTTTAATGATTACTTCGCTCTTACTTGAATAATTAATTCACTATTATCACTTTCACATGTTCCTTTTGTACGTTTTCTCACCATCTCCACACTTGTTAAATGGACATTCAACTACCTTTATTCTCATTCAATAATAATTTTAACCTGATCAAATTTCTAACGCTTTCTTCCTTTGTACCGTTGAGTATTGCGTTATTTAAAACTTTTATTTTTACTTTTAAAGCCCCTTCTAAGTAATCATATCAGCTGTGTCACCCTTCCTGTTACTCATGATGGACTACTATACATTTTTGGTGAATATAAATATGACTGTACAGTCTCCGAAGATTATTTCTTCGATAAAGAACATTTTCTTCGTTGCATTATCTTTTATTTTCGGTAATATATTTGGCGAGTTTGATCACGGATTGATATCAGTTAGAGAACCACTGAAAACCACCAGCTGGGAGTACTGGACAGCAGTTTCATCCTAGTTTGGGAATCATCGGCAGTACGCACCCACTGATGCTAGCTAGTGACTTGCTACAGGACGGAGTTTCCTGGAGTTCTAGTGAGAAGTTGTGACCAGTGAGGTCCATCCAGTCAAGTGTGAGGATGGATGTCCCACCAATGACATTGGTTGTTGGTTGCGCTAAATCGTGAATTGGTAGAAGTTAGAATTCATGGGATGGCTGGCCATTGAGGGGTCGGATCGCAGTGGTGGCTGAATGGTATACGGGCTTGCTTTGTAACTAGGATGAAACAGCTGTCCAGTACTCCTTGTGTCTGGTTTTCAATGGTTCTCTAACTGATATCAATCCATGATCAAACTCATAAAAACAAATCTAATCCTTACAAACCAACTATAGAAAATTAATGTTTTCATTATGAGATCTTTTTAAGTTATGTTCAAGTTTTGATTAGATTCTATCATGATGTCATTTGGATCATATTAAAAAAATATTTTCACGTAGATTTGTGAAATAAAGTAAATAAATAATGTTGAGCTTACTGTACTCCAAGGTCCTGTTACCCATTGAAAAGTTTTGCATTTGAACAGTTCACAAACAGTCCAATTTAAGGGTTTATTTAAATGATTACACACTGAATCATGAACTGGACCACGTCTTGGATTTATACACTTGATTATGCGTTCACGTTTACCAAGTTCACAACCATTAACACGACACTAAATAGGCGGGGTTGGGGAGGGGGAATTGGGGAAACAGACAAAAGAGAATAATATGAAATAGATCATTAATGGAAAAATATTTTAACTGATTAAAAATGCCCATAAAAATTTTCAAAAGACTGGATACTGAACAAACAATACTCTTTTCGATAACTTCATCAGGCTCTACAGTTATAGATACATTATAATGAATGAATGAATTAGTCTTATGAACAACATTAATGTTGTTTAAATAACATCAAATCAATAATATTAATAGATTACAGCTGAACAGCATCAACATAAAATAGAATGAAAGTCAGAAAACTTAGGAAAGATAATATTACAAATTCATGAATTTATAGTCTCTACTGAAGCCTGGACAGGGCAGTAGTAGGGGCTGGACTTGCTTCTTCTGAACACAAAGCACTGGTTGTTTGAGGCGAATTGCAATAGCCTCTACTGTTTCGAGCATGCGGTGCTTCGATGATTTAGGTAATTTGTTAGGCACTCGGTATATTATAGGGAAGGATTCTTCCACGCTGGCTGGCTTTGTGACAGGTTTGCACCAGATGCTCTAATATTGAGCTGTTAATGGTTTTAACTACACCTTTACTTAGCCATAGTGGGAGATGTTCTCGAGCTAGCACGAAAACTCAAGTTCCTAGAGGAACGGCCAATATAACTTGCTCCACAAGCGCAGTTGAATTGATAGATACAATTAGAAGTGGCTAGTCTAGGTACTTCATCTTTCAGTCGAGGTAGCACCATCGGTCGTGTAGAGAATATTACGTGTAGTTTAATTTGTTTTCGAGTAATCTTAAAGCTGATGGGTGGTTGTCTATGAGCAAAATGGTTTTTATCAGGGTGTATGATTTTATGTTACATTATGCATGGAGTGTAGTTCTGATGATTACATTAAATATATGCACTTCTGTTTATTTGCTTAACTTTTTCTTGAAATTGTAATCTTTCACTATGTAAGAGATCCACTTGAAATTGAAATACTTTATTTGTATTATTTCTGCCTTATCCCATATTAGGTTTAGTTTTGAACTGATAAAACACATGAACAGCTATATAAATTCGGTAATACTGTAGCCTGTGAACTGGTTTTTACACAGATATTGTTGGAAAATCTGGTGTCACCAAATGGTTTCATTATTCTTATTAGTATTATTGTTATTAGTGTCCCCTTGGGTTCCAGGTGAGACACTGGGTTTCAACAGCACATTCCTACTTTGTTGTATCCTCTGAAGTCCTTTTCAGCTGGTCTCACGATTCCCCATATTCACGCTTCTCCTTCCGACACGATCTCCTCCGTGTCACTCGAATGCTAAACTCATCCTTTCCCACTTGGGTTACTCTCAGTGGTCTGTCACGTGATGTAAACCAGCGGTTTACTCAAAGTGTCCAATCCATTTCTATTTTCTTTGGAACATTTCTGGAGCAATAGGTTCTTAGTGCGTCGACGACAGGGCGGTGGAATGCTCGCCAACCATGCCTCATGTGGTCTGAGGTTCGGCCCCCGGCCACTGACGCACTCCTCTAACTCGCTCAGCCAGTAGTAAGACTGGTAAAGAGGGAAGGTTGGGGGCCGTGAAGCCAGTAATCCTATCCACTAAAAATAGACACTACTGCTATTGAAACTTCAAGACTCTAGCTTGAAGTTCAATGTTCCATTGGGAATGTAAAGGTTCTTAACTGGTTCGTTCCCAAAGTTTCTTGTTGCTAATTCTTTCTGGTAGGCCATTTGATCATCAGTATGGAGTCAGAGAAGGTAGCTGTTCATATACGTCTGTAATGATCTGCTAGAAATACTTTTCGTGACATGCAGTGCAAGTTCCTGACCCATATAGAAGAGATGACCAACTTAACATTGGTTTTGAAAATCAAGATTTTTTTCTTTGTTCTGAGTGCAGAAGATTTCCATAATGGTTTCAGAGTGATAAGTTTCTGTCTTGCCTTTTCGATCCTGACTAGTTTTGACATCCTCATCTGTGATATCACCTGTAGTTGAAATGATGCTGCCTGGCGAAAATACGGAAGGAAGTATCCTCCTTCAGATTTCTCACACTCATAGTGATTGGCGCTGGTTGGTTGTTTTCATCACCTCCGTCTCCTCTTGTGTGTTCACTTGAAGTCTGTCTTTGCTGCTTCTACTGCCAGTTTATCGATTTTTCCCCAAAACCTTCAAATTAGTGTGTGCGCCTGTGTGTCTTTCGCGTAATCCAGTCCACGACAGTCACGAAAATCATCGGTGTTAGTATCCAGCCTTGTCTTACTCCTATGTTCGCCTCAAAGGTTTCGCTGAGTTTTCCATTATAAATCAATTGACATATTGCACTATCACATAGCTGTTAAATGAGATTGATGAAAGTTTGACCACTTCACTCTTTAGCGTTGAGGTAATTTCCAAATCACTTCGTGGTCAACACCGTTGGACGCCTTTTCAAAGTGGATGAAACTGAAGTAAAGATTTGATTGCCATTCTATGCTCTGTTTTTATGATGATGCGTAGAGTCGCAAATTGACTCCCTCATCGATTTCTTTTCCTGAATTCAGCTTGTTTTGAAAGGAGTTCTGATGAGTCCAGTGAGTCTTTTATTATCTCTAGGATTGTTTTTATTCCTTTACGTTCCTAGTGGAGGATAGAGCTTCAAGCTAGAGGCTTAAAGTTTCGGTAGCTGTGGTGTTTATTTTTACTGGATGGGGTTGCTAGCCTCATGCCCCCCAACCTTCCCTCTTTACCATTCTTATTACTGGCTTAGGGAGGTTTTAGAGTGCGTTAGTTGCCGGGTATCGAACCCCGGACCACATGTGGCGTGGTTGGCGGCGAGCATTCTACCTCTCTGCCACTGACTTAATGGTTTACTTGGCGCGCCTACAACAGCATGATCTTGCACCAGTTCTTGTCATCAAAAGCTGATTCCATAGTGATGGCTTTTAGGTCCAAGAGAGAGATGTTTTTGCCAAAAGTCTCGGTATTTCAATAAAAATGCCACACATATCTTTACTTTATCTTCTAACATTACCCAGTAAATCAACAGTAACCTACCAGTCGAAAGCTATGACGAATAGTCTCAGCATTAAGATAAACTTCGTCATTTGTTTACACGTGGTTACTGTGGTTTACTTATTTTGGTGAATCTATTCAAGCAAGTAGTGAAATACAGCCGATATTTATCTGGAAAATTAAAGAAATCCATGATATTCCTTCTCCACTACCACTTAAACATTAAAGTATGTTATTATCATCTATGTATAACCATTGTAATTTCAGGTAGTCTGCAGATGATGAGAGCGTTTGAAGTAGAATGATGAAACACATTTTATACTGCAAATTTCGTCTTCCTTTCTTTATCGAAATTTATCAAGGGAACCAAATGTATGAAATCCATGATAATTACTAGACTATCCTTAAAGAAGTTAAACTATTCCTTTTGAGATATCTGTAGATTTGGCAAGTGTCTGAAAATACTGAAACAAAATGAATTATTGCCCCTAATGTAATTTAGTTACAAAGTAATCTCCAAGTAATTTAACTATTTATTGCTACTTTATTAATATATTACAGAAAAATACATAAATTTGTTGAAGAAAACCTTAATTATTTGTCTGTAACTATGGTGATAAATTATGGCGAACCTTTAGATTTTATTGCAAAGAGAAGAATATTAACCAGTCTAATGCGATAAGCGTCAGACAAATTATCACTGAAACCGCTGGTGTAAACTAAATCATGGCTGTAATATTTAGCAAGCTGATTCACATAAATGTAGCATGTCTAGGAATCAGTTTAATCGTCTAGTGCAACTGGGGTTAATGATGTTTAAATCGACTGTCTGATATACAGGTTAATGCCTGTTTTGGCATTTAATAGAGTATATTACACTGTTAATGACTTGGATATTAGTTTTATCTTGGAAAACAGAAGAAGCTGCCATACTCTTGAGATATTTAGTTTCGGTGTGATGATGTCCAGTATAACAAATCTGAAGAATGGTTACTGAACAAAGAATATTCTGATGTGTTTGTGTTCTCTGAGCTGGATGATGGTTTATTTGCGAAGCTTTCATTGCCCTACTAGGCAATATCTTCAGCGCATGCTTCAAATTAAAGTATGCGCTGAAGATGTTGCCTAGTAGGACAATGAAAGCTTCGCAAATAAACCGTCATCCAACTCAGAGAACACAACCACATCAAAATCATCCACCTGAGCTACAAATCTTCTCCGCCATATCTAAAGAATATTCTTCTCGATAACCTGCTCTTCATCAGGCTCTACAGTTATATATCCATCCATAATAGTGAATGAATTAGTCTTATTAACAACATTAATGTTGTAATATCAATGGATTACATTTCGATAGCATCAACATAACACTACACGCTGAATATCAGAAAAATTAGGGAAGATAATACAATTATCTAATTAAATTTTACATTTTCCCGTCGATTGATTGGACCGAATTGCTCTATCTCAGGTTGACATGTCGACTTCTTGTGCAGATGCTTCGACAATGTCTGGCCACTGGGTTCGAGCCTCGGCGGGAACATCATCACTCACTGCGGAATGCATGTACATCCAGATGACGAGTCCCAAATAGGACGAAACGCGCACCCTGGATTCCACTGCTAGTCATTATCCACCAATTAAGATAATAATATAAATTCATGAATTTATAATCTCCACTGAACGGCGGTCAGGGAAGTAGTAATAACACTAAATTGTTCACTGTTATTTAGTAACTGATGAAGTTATCGAAAATGTGAATATTCTTTGTTCAGTAACCATTCTTTTGAAAAATTTCAATGGGCAGTTTTAATCAGTTGAATCTGAAGAAACTAGTCGGAGAACAAACTGTGTTGATTGTCGTAAATTCATCTAGTTGAGCTTTTCTTCTGTTCCTACTAGGAGATATCGAAGTGAATGATTTACTGTTGTGTCCATAAAATGCAGGAAAATTGAAATGTCTCTTTTTAGTCAGCCGAATCACTTCATTTCCTACTAGCAAGGGGTTTTTAACATTTGTGCCATACAGTAGAATCATTTAGAATGAATTTGAAATGCAGTTGAATATTTAGAGCCTGATAATCATAGGCTTGTAGAGGATAACTTAGATATGAAGTCAGAAGTTGAAAATGCTTAATATAAAAGAGGGGGGAGACGAAACCGTGATTCGGTTTCATTTGGGTGACTTGATTGAGATGCCTGAGCTAAATACCATAAATGTGGTTATTATGTTTTGTGATTTATGATTGGCGTCACACAAGCTGGAAGACTTGCAGGCAGGCGAAAAACAACAAACTGGTTGGAGAGGCGGGCAGAGGAGACATGACTGCAGATGAACACCGAGAAGACGGAGATAGCCAACCAACAGCAACAACAACAACAACCAGCACCAATCGCCGTCAATGGGAGAGATTTGACAGGGGTTACTTCCTGCCTTCACCTATCCAGGAAGCATGGTGTGAAACACAGGCAGTTGAAACGGATGCAGATTTCAAATCCAGCCAGAATTGGAAAGGCAAGATACGTCTTAATCAATTTGAAACCAGTTTAGAAGTCTTCTGCACTGCACTCTGCAGCACAAAGAACATGATTCGGATTTTCAACACAAATGTGAAGTCAGTCAGTCAGTCAATTTTTCTTATACGGGTTAGAAGCTTACACTAATCTCACGTCACGAAAGGCATTTCCGAAAAGCCACTGCAGACTTTCATCAACAGCTGCCCGTTTCGCTGGCTCCACAATGAAAACGAAATGGCCAACTGGCTAGAAAGAATTAGCAACAAGAAGCTCTGCAGTGGAACAAACCAACAGGCGAGAACCGATTGCTCAACAAATATATAGGAGAAAATGGATATGGATCGAGCATATGTTGAGGAGACCATCGAATGACATCGTGCGTAATGCAGGCCATCACTCGAGTGCAATCCGAATAGGAAAAGGCGAGTGGGTTTTCGGTGAGAGAGTGACATGGAGAACATCGTGTGTGTTGGATGAGGAGATGAGAGACTATGGGCAATCGTGGAACCAGCCAGCTGCAGAGGACAGCACCAGACAGAACAAGATGGAAATGTGTTGTTGAAGCCCTCCCTATGTTCCACTCGTAACCCAAGGGAATAATTCATAAATAATATGCTTATTATTTAATTTTCTAAATAATGAGCTAGTGCAATAACAGGGTGACTTCTCATAACTTGTAAACACTTTTTATTGATTAATATAACATTAAGAATATGTTCCTACAATATTTTTTATGTACTAAATTCGGTTTATTTACTTTCTGTAGTTCAAGCATTTATCTGATGCCAATGATATTTACATATCTTATATTTCACGAATTGGCAGAAGTTGGAACTCATGAAGTGGCCATTGCATTGGGTCCCAGTGGGTGAATGGTCTACGAGATAGCCTCGTAACCGGAAGGTCTTGGGTTTGAACCCCTCCCCACTGAAGAGTCATTAACCAGGACGAAATAGCTGTCCAGTACGCCCAACTGGTCTCCCATTGGTTCTCTAACCAATGTCAACTCGTGACGAAACCTGTAAACATTCAAATCCCTGCAAACCAACACTTGGTAACCGACGGATGATATTAGCGATTAAATTTGTTTTTTTCTTTGTTCATTCGTCACATTAATTAATTAAGCGTAAAGTGTAGAGAACTGTTACATAATTAGGCACCTAATTAACCTGACTACTGGAAAATAAAGCTTTAATTTAAATGAGAAAATAAATTATCTTCATTTTAGTATAAGATGTGAAGGAAATAGTGAATATACAGTTTTTTAGATAGTAATTTCCAGTCATTCAAAAAAGACCTAATTAATGTTTATGCTGTCATAAATTTGTAGCTTTTTCTTCGACATTCTGAGCAGCCTTCACAGTTTCGAGCATCGTGAGGACATACCATGTCCGCATTTTTATTTTTGTTTCCATTGAAAGAAGATATATCTACCGACCGGCTTCTCCAAGCCTTTTATCAGCCCGTGTCATCCCATCTCTTTCATTTTAAGGAAAATAAGATTATCTTTCTCATGTGTTTTTCTGTACTTTGAAATTTCTGTGGAGATTAGACTGATTTTCCGGGGTAGAGTGGCTAGTCTGGTGCCCACCTTTCCTTCTCTCCCTTGGGGTTGTAAATGACCAGTAAACTAGATGAAAATCTGTTGAACTATGCAAAACGAACAAGATTTGGATTTCAAACACTAAGTTAAGTCAGTCAGTTCTTCTCTGTGGTTCAGAGACTTTGCACATCACCTAAAGCATTTCTAACAGGCTGTAGACTCTAATCAACAACTGCCTTCGCTCCACGTTGAAGGTCAAATGGAGATGAGTAGGACACCCGCCGAAGAGACCAGCCCCTCGAGTTGAACTCAGCTGGTAAACAATAAGTTTGGCGTCCAAGTGTGACATGGATAAAAGATGATAACTCATGGTCAGTTATGAAGTAGCACCTAAAGAGGACTGTGGAGAACAGAGTGATATGGAGATGTGTTGTTGAAGCCCTATATTCCAATCGGAACCCAAGGGAATAGTAATGATGTTTATGTTGCTTTAATGAGTTAACTAAAGTTTCAAACCCAAACAGGTCAAATTAGGGTATAGGACCAACTGCAGTACTATTGATTGATCCATACTTTATCTTTATTTCAAACATAAATGGCGAAATTTTATCGTCCATCAGTTATTCTCTTGTCATTCATCTCATAGTCTTACACTACTGTGAAGTAAAAAACTTTTCTAAAGTGACTTGATTTTAGTCAATACAACTGCTAACCAGTAACATGCTTGCCTTAAAATCTGTTGAAATAGAACCTGCATCCTCATACCACCCAACATTTTAACTTCAAACGGTCTGATCTGGTGAAACAGCCATTCAATGTTCATTGATAATGAAGAATCATCTATGTACTAAATTCGGCTTATTTACTTTCCGTATTTCAAACATTTATTCAATTCCAATGATACTTATATATCTCATTTGTCACGAATTGGCAGAAGCTGGAACTCATGAACTAGCCACTGCATCGGATCCCAGCGGCTGAATGGTCTACAAAATAGCCTCGTAACCGGTAGGTCCTAGGTTCGAACTTCATTGGGTGCGTACTACTCGTAAAAACAAATCCAATCCTTACAAACCAACTATAGAAGAATCATCCCACTAATTTTCATCTGCAGCAATTATTTTGTTAAAATTTAACTTAAATTTATTATAAATGGAGTATCTTAAGCCTTTGCTACTGATTCTGTTCTGTTTTATAAAGACATTATCGACAGTAATTACTGTAAGTGATTTCTATTGGAAATGTGATAATAATAAATTAGAACAAAACTTCAAAATTTACCTCAGATGAAGTGACAGACCACCAGAAGACTTCACGTCTTTTACACGGACGTGTTTTACAAGCAATATTATCAATTGGACGTGGTGCATGACACTTATATCTTGCTGTATTTATCTGTCTTATCGTTTCCATAGTTTGTAGAAAAGAATCATTAGAGAATGTGTTCATGTCTTTTGAATCTATCTGACTGTCAGTCAGAGGTTCCATATCAACTTGTGTTCCATTTGGAAAACGGCAATCAACCTGACGTGTTCTTGTACCCATTCCACATGTAACTGAACACTAAAAGTAAGAGAGGTATAAAAAGGAGATATGGATTCACTTTTTATAATATTGACAAGACAGAAATAGCTTTTAATACAGTTTAAAGGATCCAATATAAGAGAATATCATTCAGGATCATTTCGTCTAAGTTCTATCTAACATATCCAAATAACGAAAATATTCATTCACACATCTATAAAAGACAAAATAATTGAGCGAAGAATATCCTTTTCGATCATTTCCTCTTCAGGCTCTACAATTACATATATATGTTTATATACATAGAATATTCTAGAATAGTGGTCAATAACAATACTAGTGTTTTTTTAAATAATATCGATTTGTAGAGTAAGATCAGTGGAATTACAGTTCACTTAAAGAAGCATAAATTATAATAATGATAATAATGATAAAAATATAATAGTAAATAGAATATCAACTAAAATTTTAACTGCTCCTGTGGAGCCAGTCACACAGACCGTACAATTAGACGTGTTTCTCGCCGGATTGCCGAACATCATCCTGCGTTGTTGGTTAAGTAAAGGACAAACAAAATCTGTTCGTAGCACTATTCTATCCCATCTCGTGGATACAGAACACAAGATCGATGTTTGCGAGGCGGCTTTCAAAGTCATTTACTGCATACCAACAAATCTTAACTTCGTCTTAAGAATCCGTCTACTACATATTGCTGAGGCTAGCTGTTGGGATCTGCATTAATAGACCTAACTTATATACCCGAAAGAAGTTGGTTGGTTCAGACACTGTCCTTACCCTGTTGGCCATCTAGGTTCGAATGATTCTCAATTTTTGTAGAAATTTCCTTAATTTTGTTTGACATTCTATTTGCTATTATATCTTTATTATTATTATACTTTGAGTATCTTTAATGAACTGTAATTCCACTGATCTTACTCTACAAATCGATATTATTAAAAAAATACTAATATTGTTATTGACTACTATTCTAGAATATTCTATGTTTATAAACATATATATATATATATATATAATTGTAGAGCCAGAAGAGGAAATGACTGAAAAGGATATTCTTTGCTCAATCATTTTGTTTTCTTATATTCAATTAAAACATTTGTAAATATATCTACAGAAATCTCTAGTAGTTCGTTAGAAGTATACTCGATAGAAGCTAAGTGAAATGCACTGCAGAATCAGAAAGTGATAAGTGAACTTATTTTGAAAACTATGAAAAACCAGATTCAGTGATTTTTCATGTCTCTTTCACCAAACAGAAAATTTGAACCGACAACTCTTGAAAATTCAAGTAATTAGATCACAGGGATTATTACTGGAATACAGCGAAATTATTGAAAGTAGTGCAAACTCAGAATTATCAATTTGTCCTTTCATTAATGACTGACTCCATATGGCTGCCGTGAAATTTCACTGGGAGATTGTGATCGGTGAAGTCTAGTAATACAGATTTGGGGATAGGTGTTCGCTAATGTCATTGGCTGGCGGTTGCTGTACATCTCGGATTGACAGAAAGTAAAATTTGTGGGTTATGTGGTTCTGGTTCAGTGACTTTAGGGTAGATGTGCTCAACATGCAATCTGGAGGTCATAGGTTCGATTCCTTGAGAGGTTATAGTACAGCACTGCTAAAAAGTCCTTGATTAAAAGAAGATATCTATGCAGTGACACCTGATTTGTAATGATATTCTAACCAGTGTTGGTGCGTGATGAGATCTATGCCGATACGTAGGTGTGTACTGCTTTTCGTAAGTTTCACGGCTGCTTAACTGTTTCAATAAGGTAGAATATATAAGCATTTATAACCTACTGCTTGGTTCCGTTTGGTTTAAGTATATTGGCTGTATTTAGAATTCCGTTAAGGAGTACAATATGATCAACTGCGATTCTTCTGTAAGCATATTTCACTGTACAGTCCGATTGTGATATATTTATCTGAGTTTTACCATTTTCAATTATTCAAGGGAACTTTCTTTCGTCCTCCAAAATTGTTGAGGAATTTTTAAAAGTGATAAACTAAAACAAATTTGTGTAAAGGATAAAAAGAGCTTTTAATCGACATTTCTGCATCGGTACTTCAATGTTAGATTGCTTGCCAACTATACATGTGTTCCGAGGTTCGATTCCCGGCGAACGCACACTTTTACCTCCTCTAGCTTGTTGTGAGCTTGGCAAACGGGGAAGGCTGGGTATGGAGCTAGCAACCCAACCCCGTGAAATAAACACCACTGATACTGGAATTTCAAAGCTCATCCTTGAAGTCCTATGTTCCACTCGGAACGCAAAGGAACAAAATTTTAGTTATTTACATTTAACAGATCTAATTGTGGTCTTACTCTGTATTCCTTATTACTGAATATAGCTACTAGGCTTAATAGTGAAGTGCACCTTGGTTGTATATATTTAAAGGCTATCAGTCATAGATTCACTGTATCTGTGATTTTATAAAAGCTGCGAGTAATACACACTTGATAAATAGTCGAATTATTTGTTAAAAGATCCAAATCATAAATAAATTCAATCGCAACCAGCTATCTATGGGTAAGTGGTCAATGTTTTCACATAACTCGAGTTAGATATCTACAGACTTCACTAGAATCCTCGTCTAGGTAAATTCTGTATTATATAAACCCATTAAAGTCCCACAGTGAGAATTCTCTTTGCATATTAAGTGACTAGTGTTGAAAATATGTTAAATTATAGCACTTCTTATTGATCCATTGTTACCTTTTCGTAGCCAAGTGGGATAAAGTTCTTTGACTTTTTTCTTAGATAAAAACATGCATTGAATGACCTGTATATCTCGCTTCGTATGAGCAAGTGAATTAGTAGATATACATAGAATTGGTGAAATGCGACAGTTACATTAAGATTAATGTTATCTGGCCACCCAATATTCTTTAATAACCCTAAAGATAAACTATCTACCAGTTCACCAGCTCATCCGGAGCGGGATATAAGGTCGTTCGATGCATGTTTTACCTGAAAAGGTCAAAGAACTTTATTCCACTTGTCTATGAAACATTAACAGTGGATCAATAAGGAGTGCTACAGTTGAGAAAAATTCGTCCTTACAACTCTTTCGAAAATATGCACATCCTCAGTACTAATTTCTAATTTATCATCATATAGGTCTACAATACTCCATTTATAGGCTTAGTGAATTCATTATTTGATGGTAACGACATTTTAATATCATTCGTTTGCGACTTCGGAGTATACATCATCAACTAGAATTGATGCAGCCAGTTAGAGTAGTTAGTGTTTATTCAGTAGATTTGATGAACTTGTGAGTTAGAGTAGATTCCTGTTTAACTGTTTTCGTCGGTACTCGTTCGTTTCTATGTGCTGGATTAGTGGTGACCATGGTAACCCAGGTTGAAGCGTAAACAACCAATACAGTAATTGAAAAAAATCGTATATAGACTAACCTCTGACCATTCACTTTTATACCAATAAGGGCATCTACCAGTGATTAAACAAGGCCGTTCAGCAATCGGCTTAACACCAGCATTCCGACAACGTTCCTGATCAACATCCATTATTTTTGCTGAACGTGAACGTCTAATAAGTCCTGTTGAATCAGGATTACTTAATAACAGACGTAGTGCATCATCATCTGTCTCCACATTGGATGAATTATTATTACTTGACTTTTTTGATGATCCCAGCTCTATGACACAACGAACTTGTCTACGTTGTATACCATATTCACAGACTCCTTGACACTGAAGGGGAACAGAAAACATTATATGTGTTAATTTATTAACTATGGATAGAAATGGGAATAAGAGACGCACTCTTGAATTCTTGTCAATTTTAAGAATCACCACAGTTGCCACAATTTGGGTAGAAACAGTCTAATGACAACCACCCGTGTTATTTACACTTTTAAAGGCCTTAAAACCTTTTTTGGAATACATGAAGATATTAACATATTGGGTGAATCCATGGAATATTTATTCAAGGAAGTGCTAAACCGCTGGCCTTGATTTTACCGTTTCAAACTGTGTAGATGAATGATTTTGAAAGGGAGGTATTTAACCTAACTTTGACCAATAATAAGATATTGCAAATATGCATTTCTTTCATTTAGGTTATCTTGTATTCTGACAGCTATACCTTATTTATTTATATTGTGTTTTGGCCATCTTCTAGTGAGTGATCTTCAAGGTTTTTCATATTCCACTGGGAATTATCAGTCAGGAAACGTTTTCTGTGAGAATCTGGAGTTATTTATCACATCTTTCACTGATAAGCTATAGCTTTTTGGTTTTATTTCAAACAATTTGATGAATCGCGGGATAAACTCTTATCCCTTATTGAGAGGAATTTACTTTCTGACGAGTTGAACAGTTTTTACAAATATATTCATCTTGTGAAAAATCATGTTTGTAAAATCTCAGTGAGATTGAAATGAGTAATTCCAACGTTTCCTGCATTCGGCAATCTGGTCCGAACTTCTTCAGGGAAATTAATCGAAATTAACATAACAGAAGTTTATATGTAAAAGGAACAACTCTTGTTTTTGAAAACTTTGTCCAACTTGTTGATACTTGTTGAATGACTCGTGATTGGACAAAGTTTTTAAAAACAAGCGATTTTCCTTTTATATATAAACCTCTGTCATGTTAATTTCGATTAATTTCCCTGAAGAAGTTCGGACCAGATTGCTGAACGAAACGTTGGAATTACTCATTTCAATCTCGCTGAGATTTTACAAATATAATTTTTTACAAATGTCTACTTCTTACTCGGCGCCCAAATATTTTAGAACTATTCTGTCAAATCTTGACGACAGTTCATTTGAATTATATTCATCTTGTACTTTGTTTCACTGTCCCCTTAGTTGTGCACTTTCGTCACTGCAGATTGTATCTACAGTACTGGCTGTACTAACCGTCACTATTAAAAGAAACCACTTGCGATGTATTTGGATACTTTGTTTTACAATTTCTACCATGTAATTTAGTAATTTAAGCTGAAACGTTGTGAACGCTAATCAAACTGAAGGGAATAAACAAATACTTGCCGAAGACATTAGCTAGTGGTCGCGCTATGTCGCGCTATGACAGAAATCGGAATTCATAAACTGGCCATTGCATCGGGTCCCAGTTGCCTAATGGTCTACCAGCTGGCTCGCCTTGTAACCAGAAAGTTGTGGGTTCGAACCTCAATGGGTGGATGCGTACTGATGAAGAGTCCCAAACTAGGCTGACGAAACATCTGTCCAGTACTCCCTGCTGGTTTTCCAATGGTTCTCTAACCAATGGTTAGCTCATGATGAAATCCTGTAACCAATTAATCAAATCCCTACAAAGCAATACTTGAATAAACAAAAAAATATTAAAGCAGTAACTAACCACTTACCTCTTGCCAATCTCCTGTAATCCATATAGGGCATGGAGCCTGGAGACATGTTTCTTGTTCTATTGGTTTAGGCAGTAATGCAGCATGACATTTTTGTGCATCGACTATTTCCACATCTGATCGCCTTGCTATAAATATCGAGGTGTAGAGTTGTGAGTTTTGTTTAGAAAAAACTCTGTTTAGTCTGTTATCTACAGTCTCCATGACACACATCACTTGTCTTTCTTTAACACCTAGTCCACATGAGGTAGAACACTAAAAGGTGTGTGTGGGGGAGGGAAATATAGAAAAGATTTGATATTAGCAAGAGGATTAATTTCTTTAAAAGAGTTCTAACTGAACACAACTAATTCAAGTTTTTATAGTCTATTGTCTGGAAGAAATGATAATTATGATTTGGTATTTTTGGAAAATGTACAGTGCTCAATAAACTAAGTCTGCTCAATGTTTCAAGCGGTAAATTCGTTTTGGAATCATTTAGACCGCGTTTCAGAATGTGATGGGTAATGACAGGCTTGAAAAAGTGGAAAGAAATATGGGTCTTCTTCATGAACACAAGACGATAGGTAAGTTAACTGCTATTTATCATATATTATCAGATTCAGTATGATACCAGTTGAACTTATGATAACAGCTCAGTAAACGCCCTCGAGTGGAACCTGAAAGGGAAGCGGCGAGTGGGACGTCCAAGGGTGACATGGAGGAGATCGTGTGAAGAGGAGCTGAAACAGTATGGACTAACATGGATGCAGGTGAAAAGTACACCAGAAGACAGAAACAAGTGGAAACGTGCAGTTGAAGTCCTATGTTTCACTAGGAACCCAAGGGAATAATAATAATAATAATAAACGTCAGAATAGAATATTAATTAAATGCTGATGCCTGATGCGGTTGTCATGTATTTAATGGTGAATAAAGTCTGTCAATAGCATGCGTTTACAATTTAGTGAGAGAGTGTCACATTTTGTCTGGTATAAGGTTTTAAGAAACAGTTGGTAAATGTATAGGAATCGATCTGCAAGCACTAGCAAGCAAAGAAAGATGCTCCAAGTCTTTCAGATTAAAACATTCTTTGTTAGGAAGTGTGATCACGAAGTTTCTAAAAGTAGGAAGTTTTTGAAGTCATGTCCTAGCAGTGTATAGATTCCGATTCTGTAGAAGTTAAAGTTTGCAGTTTCCTATAACTTGGATCAGTGAACGTATTGTACACTTTGGATCAACGTAGATCAACGCTAAGAACTTCAGATCATGATTAACAATTTACACATATAATCAATGGACTTTAGCCAGCATTGAAGACTTCAAATCTTCATTAGTTTTTCAATGTCTCAATATTAGGTGCGTAAAACTTCAACTAAATTTGATGTTATTTATTTTAAATTTCCACTTCACCTGAAATTCACTAGGTAGCATAGTATATATCAAGTTTCCCCGAAATATTTTTTATTTTTTATCATTCCTATTCAATTTAGAACTGGCGAGTGATGCCAGCCATCTACAACTTAGGTACCAAATGCTGTCTCCAGTCGGATATGACTCCATGGGCAGGGGGTTAATGACAGTTATAACAAAGTGTTGTCTGGGCTAACTCGGATATTACATGATGTCTGCGAATTAGAGATAGTTCCTTTAGACTGGTGTAAGTCACTAATTATCCCAGTTTATAAGAAGGGAAACCGATCCTCCTGTGATAATCATAAGGGGATTAGCCTGACTAGCTTTTTTGTCTAAAGTTCTAGGTTCAGTATTCATGTGTAAACTGAGTAATTCTTGAGGGGAACAATCCCCATAAGGCCTGAAAGACTTTGGGCTATGGAAGGGGGGTAATGATGATGTATACATCCTCCGGCAGATTCTTGAACATATCGATTCTTACTCACTGGCGTCCAGCGCGTGACATGTTTCTTAACCTTAAGACAGAATTCAACTCCCCTCGACCGGGAGACTCTGTGGTAGTGTTGGGCAATGAAGGAGGTCCTTATAAAGTACATCGAACTAATGAAGGCATTCTGCTTGAACTGATTCAGCCGTTTAACAGCTTATGAAAAGTTGTTATCTGAGGTGATGATAACCAGTGATTTCCGTCAGGGATGCTCACTGTCATCATTTTTGTTTAATTTCACCATAGATTTACTAAAGGAATTGACCTCAACTTACTTAAATGACTTGGTCATTGACCTATTGCCAGGAAACAGTCCTGCTGAATAAGAGTATGCAGATGATACCATCCTCTTAGGTGGAGACGCTGACGAAATGCAATATCCTGAACATCCTGAGCAGAAATCTGCGAATGTTTAGCATGTGAATCACTCCTGTCAAATGCAAATGATTCTGCAGTACTAGACTGCACTGAGTACTGTGGTGAGAGCAAGCTGCTAGCCAATTGGTAGACATTGATCTACGCTGATTGGTGGAAATTAATCTAGGCTGATTCAACGACCGATCACAGCTGACCTAGACGTGGACAAATATGATTCGCAGACAAGTGGCTCGCATTTCCGAGAAATATCGAAAACGAGAAAGCAGAAGACTGAGTTTGTTTGCAAACAACCAATCAGAAGACCGCCTTCTTTCTGCGGGCAGAAGCCTATTAATGTACGTCAAATACATATAAATACCTGTTGGTTTTTGTAATAAAACTGATCTGTTGCCTGGCCCTTGTCTTCTGTTGTTACAGTACTACCTTAAAGATAGAGTGAAGTGGCTGAACGTGTTGACAACTTCACTTATTCGGGAATTTCAATCAGTCCCAATGGACATGGTAGTCCACTCTATCCTCCTTTATGGCTGTGAGATATGTTCTCTGTAAGTGGAAGATATGGAAAGATTAACTGTCTTCACCGATAGAGGTCTATGTTCTCTTTCCCGTATTAATTGGTATAATACGGTGAGCGAAAGTGAGATTAAGCGTAGAATGTTAGGTGAGGAGGGGAAGTCAGTCAATGTGGCTGTGAAGCTACATCACCCATCCCCTTCTTCGACGAGTAGTTTTAACCGACATAAGATTCGTTTGGAAATGAGTTACAGGTGGTTAAACCGAAAGTGACACGAGTCAGTGAGATCTCCGACATTCGCTTTTAGCCACATAGAGCGGTGCAGACTGCCTGGTTGGGGTCCCTGAGGTCCTAAGGACCAGTCGCTGAAAACTATTGGTGATATGGCTCAAAATGGTTCTCACTGGCTCAGATGCATTCACTCTATGTGATTCCCCATATCCACTAAACTGTTATGTTTCTCCATGTTCCTGTTCTTCGCTCCGACATTACTGCTTATTATAATTATCTTTAATCTAATTGTTCCTCTGTTTTGTCTACCTTTGTGTGGTACACAGTGTGTGGCAACTTGAAGAACTGCACTCCTGTACAGAGTTGTATGCTAAAGCTCAGTGAGTCATTCAACTTAAACGGACAAAATCAAAGATGGAAATCTTTCTGAACTAAGTCAGTGTTTTGTTAAAACAGAAAAGAATTCAATTAGTGAAAACAAAACTAACTAACTAACCGAACTCCATGATGTTGTTCTCCAAGCTGGAACTCGTAAATTGCATGGATCTTTTTCACACGGTAATACAATAGGTTCATTTATATCATCTATCTTCAAAGGTACAGCATCTTTGTCGTGTATTTGTCTTTCAATAGTTTCCACATAAACAGTACTATTCATCTTGTCAGTTGATAATCGTGGAATATACTGAAGACTTTGTAAGCATTTTTCGCTACTCACAGTATCGATTCCGTCAAGTACAATCTGCTTATCAATGAGATTATCACTTTCATATTTTAACTGGATACGTTCACATGGTATTTTGATATGTTGAATTCCTGTTCCACAGGTGACAGAGCACTAAATGAAATGTAAGTAAATTTTGTTAACATTTAAGAGATTTACAGATGCTTGAACTTTCTATTTAACACTTTCCATAAAATAATTTTCATGTAGATAAAATGAATAACAAATTATTTGGAAAGACTAGTGATTAGAACCAACATCTGGTAATACAAATGTAACGGGCTATTTTATCGAGGAAATAGCACACCATATTTATACATTTTAAGCTAAATCTAAGGTAGGTTAGTTCAGAGGATGATAAACTGTCCTGATTGGTCGTTGATTTTCTGAAGGTTAAACCTTGAGACAAACAGTTGTTCAATGAGATTATTTCCTGACCACAACGTAGGCTAAATTCAAATATGAGAGATAAACACTTCTACCTCTGTAGCCATTGTCTTAAAATGTTATTTTCACTTTTGACTGCTTCCCAGCAGTCTGCGTCTATATACTACTGGCAAATCTTGTTAGTATCGTATGCCATACAAACACCTTCGATATTAATGTTCGTGATGGCTTCACAATAAAAAGTGGCCACTAACTGACATCATTAGAATTTTAAATTTTGTTTCACATAACAAATTATGTAGTGTAGAAAGCGTTAATCGGGTAGGAGCTAGAATAAAATTAAATAAGTAAGTTGAGTGACGTAATATAATCGGCGGGGTTCAGTAGAACTCAACTAGAATTGAACGAGAGTTAGGTTAACAATGGTGGTAATAGGGGGGTAGAGATTTTGTAAGGGGTGGTGGAAGAAAATAATACAGCCAAGATCATAATAAGTGAGAATGTGAAGCCAATGTATCCATCTAAGCCCTTTAAACATGCCAAAAATAATGTCACATCCCGCTGTATTTACCAATTTGAATGTACGTGTGGATACTTATACATAGAGAACTCATCGATCTCTGTAAGTAAGGGCTGACCCCAGAGCATATTTCTAAATGGCTCCAGAAACAAATAAAATCCTCAGAACCCATTAATAGTGAGAACTGGCAATGTAGCGCCTCTATTGCGAAACATATTTTAGAGACAGAAGATAAAAGTCATGGTTACACATCTTTTAGACCTATTTATTAAACAAGTTTGTGCAAACCCTAGATGGCAATCAGAAGGTTTAAAACACCTTTATGCATTCAAAGCAACAATTCGTCATCACGCTAAACCTTCCTTGGCAAACTGTTTTGATACATACCAGGGTAGATGTACTATTACCTCTATTATTCGGTTTAGGGGTCTTCATTGTTATTTTCACCTTCAATATGTCCTTTAAACTTGACTTAAATTCATTTTCTCACCCCTTAACTCTTTATTAATTTCGTATATACATATATATATATATATATATTCCTATGACAAGTCCGTGTGTGTGATCAGATTGTTCGAAATGTGTTGCGCAAATACACTACACACAGGATTCAGACAAATTACGTCTTCTCATTGTTTTGTCTAAAATCATAAAAGGAACTAAATGTTTTGAACAATTAAAAAACAAAACATAAAAATTAACACAAAGTACGCAATTTTTGTGTTTCTTTCTTTCTTCCCCCACCCCTTATTAAATCTCTACCCCCCTATTACCACCGTTGTTAACCTGACTGTCTAGTTGAGTTCTATTCAACCCCGCCGATTATATTACGTCACTCAACTTACTTATTTAATTTTAATCTAGCTTCTACCCGATCAACGCTTCCTACTTTTCTAATTACTAATTAATTAATTTTTTATTATAGCTTGATTCCGCACCGCATTTTTTGGTATAGGTATGGAATTTTCAGCATGCGATATCGGTAGCCCAAATTTTGAAGGCCAACCATAGATACCAGGTGTGCGCCGGCGGGTGATCAAACCCCGGACCATGTTTACGGTCGGCGATTGTCCTAACCACTGTGCCACCGACGCGCAAATTACTTTTCGTAATTTGTTATCTGAAACAAAATTTACAATTCTAGTGACTCATCTTTGGAAATATTCCTTTTGTTGCCAAGACAATTTACTGTATATATGCTACTGTACAGCTTGGGAATGATATCACTGAAAAGAGGAGTAACTCTTCGCTGAAAGTCTTTTCTTTTATATGACTCACTGGGGATTTTTAAGATACCAAATAGTATTGAACAGATTATTCCGGTTATTTTTTAGACTTTTCATCAGTGTATACTATCTTCTTTACAGAGAATCAGGACCAGTGTCGTTCTCTGTAGCTGAAAGTTTCTTGACACTAAGCCGAAGTCACATGATTCATGATTTCTACCTTCTTCCATTATTATCCACTTTTTAAGTGACTAATTTTCTTCCCAACCAGTTTAGTGAACTTCTTAGGTTAATGATATTCCCTTGGGTTCCTAGTGGGACTTAAGGCTTCAAAAGAACATCTCCATTTCATCCTCTGCCATTCAGTCCTCTCTAGTTGGCTCCAAAACTGTTTATAAGCTGTCATCTTATCCTTACACGATCTCCTCCACGTAACCCTCAGGCATCCAGCTAGTCGTTTCCTATTCGGGTTCCACTCACAGGCTCGTTTCATGATGTCGCACAAAGGTCCCTTCAGTGCGTTGCCTATCTATCGAGTTAACGGGGTTTTATCAACATGGGAATCGGTTAAGAGTGGCATTCCTCAGGGTATAATTCTAGGCCCGCTTCTTTTCCTGATTTATGTTAATGAGATTCCATCGGTAGTTAAGTCATCCTGCTTACTGTTTGATGATGACATCAAGATATGGAGGGCTTTACACGATGACAGTGATCAACTTGCTTTGCAGGAAGATTTAAACTTGTTAAGTGATTGGTGTAAGCACTGGGCCTTGGAGATTAACTTAAGCAAGAGTGTAGTTATGCATGTATCTCATAGTCACGTGCATAATTACTCAATAAATGAGTACAAGGACTTGGGAGTAGTTGTACAGCATGACTTGAAAACAGCAACAAACTGTAGAGCTGCAGCCACTAAGGGTTTTCGAATATTATGGGCCATACGCAAGGCTTTTGCGAACTTTGACGCTGATATATTTCGTATATTATATCCGACTTATATCAGACCTCATTTGGAATATGGGATCCAGGCAGCGAGCCCGTGTTTCAAATACGAAATAGACTTATTAGAAAGGGTTCAAAGAGTAGGAATTAAGCTAATAAAGGGTTTCTCAACCCTCTCATATGAGGAGACGACTTAGGGGTGACCTAATACTAGCATACCGTATCCTAAGAAATGATTTTGGAGCTAATTTATCTAATTTATTTCTTCCTTCTAGCACCAACCAATTGCGATGACATCACCTCAAGGTTCAAAAACCACGGTCGAATCGTCTGCGTCTGGAGATCCGCTTTTCACGTCGAATTGTGAACCACTGGAACTCATTACTGGAACACGTCGTATCAGTGCCATCCGTTGATTCATTCAAGGCGAGATTGGATCTCCTATGTGAAATAAATCGAAAGGATTAACACAGGCATATAACCTACTATCCTAAATAAATTGTAAACTGTAAACTGTAGACTATCTCCATTTTCTTGTGGGAATTTTTCACTCCATAGGTTCTTGGCTGGTTTGTTGCAAGAGTTCTTTCTTGCCAATCCTTTCTGGCCATCTGACCTATTCACGGATGAGTAAAGAACTGCTGACTCATTCATCAATGTATTGAACTGTGATAATTATCCTGTTCTTTTTTATATGGTAACTGCGTAATTTTCTTTGGTTCAAGTACAACTGCCATTCAACTCTCCATTACACATTCAAAAAGATTTCCACAAAGTGGTAAAATATCCATAAAGACTGAAAAACCATATCACATCTTAACACCTGTATGTTATGTACTGGAGAATATCAACCGACTTGTAATGACGATTATTTTTAATATCTAACTTTCTTACCCTTAGCGTTATGGCTTCGAGAAAAGTTGGTGCCAAACATCGGTTAGAGAACCATTGGAAAACCAGCATGGGGTAATGGACAGCTGTCTCATCCTAGTTTCGGACTCTTCCTCAGTACGCATCCACCACATGAGTTCGAACCGAGGAGCTTCTGGTTACAAGGCTAGCGAGCTTGTATACTATTAAGCCATTGGGACCCGATCCAATGGCCGGCCCATGAATTCTAACTTCTGTCAATTTACAAATCAGGGCGACCAATTCGCAATGTCTTCTTCGATGAGTAACTACCGTCACCTTTAACTTGTTGTGCACTACTGGTCACGGCTTCCCACGAGAACCCCAGGGATGACTGCCTAAAAATCCTCCAACCAACCAAACAAAATCCCTACAAAAACCAATACTTTAAACGAGTCTTTTTGCTATATATGTCCAAACCAAGTTCACTTTTAACAGTTTGAAAAAATTTGGGTATTGGGTATATGATATTCATTATAATAAAGGCTTTTATTGTATTTCCCAATGAATGAAAAATATCGTTTTGTTTTTCATTCTTTGGTAAATACAAAAACCTTTATTATACTGAATAGTCTTTTCGCTGTCTTTAGAGCGTTTCGTGACTGCATGTCTCAAGAAAGTTAAATCCGCTATACGGCAGAATGCCGTTGGAATCGGTTTTCTACCTTTTTTTTGGTCGAAACAAAAATTACTCCATTTGATTAATGCATACTTTTAGAGTTAGATCAACCCTGTACCAACATGTTCTTGCACTATATTTTAAAGATCAGAAAGATATTACTGAAATGTAATGAGTAGCTTGTACACTCTAAACTGACGATGTTGCTGTCTGTGACAACCCTGGTGGCTTGGTAAACTTGTATTAATGTAATAGGTGTGAAGTGAAAATGTGATTCACTGTGCCATTTTAACTTTCAATTTTTGATTTATACGAGGTAAGGTAGAGTACGAGCCACAGGTCATTCTTATTTCAGCATCAGTCTTCACTTCGAGCAGTGTAAGGCGCCAGCCTCAAGTTCAGGTTCACGATGTGGGCGCGGGTTCATATTCCACCTCTGACACACGCTTTTATGGAGGTCGGGTGGCACAACAGTAGAATGCTCGCCAATAAAGTAGGTGGTTCGGGGTTCAAACTCCGACCGCTAAACCAGTGCCAAGACTGGTAAAAGGGAAGGTTGGGGATGAGGCTAGCAACCCCATCCGGTAAAAATAAACATCACTGCTACCGAAACCTCAAGCCTCCAGCTTGAAGGTGCCCTATGTTCCACCGGGAACGTAAAGGAATAAAATTATAACTAAAAAGATTCATCACTAGGTCTAAACTGTCTCTCTACGAAAGCTGGTAGCACAGGTAGCATAAACACACATTAACAATCTACTTTGCTTTAAATAGTTATTGCATTACTCTATTATTATCATCATTATTAGGGTAAAAGTTTTATAACTTACAGAAGTCATCTGTCCAAGTCCCCATCTATAACACGTAGGCTGGCTACATGCTTCCCGGTCAATAGGCTCCTCGATCAACTCTCCAAGTATACTTGCTTTACGACAAAATTCCATATTTAACTTCTTCCCCTGGATCACATATTCTGCTGTCAATTGTTCAGATTCTATATACTCATTAAGAGATGGATGATAATCCTCATTACTGTCCAGAATAACACAAGAGACATTACGATAATGGACACCGATTATTTTATTCCCTGAACTCTGTTGATCAGTATCATTGTCAATCAGTCGACATGCAGATTTCATTTTCTCATCTAACGGTTCACATTCTGACCATTCACTTGTAAACCAGACTATATCATTTCGACAGTCCGTCAAAGAGAAGCAGTCGATAGATTCTTCAATATATAAATTATACTCAACAGAAGCTGATTTCTCTTGATACTCTTCAATCATCTTGATTGCTGACTGTGTAGTGATAGCCTGTCGTGGAGCGTTTGACTGATTCAGTGAAGACTCACTATGCGTTAAACATTCACTAAGCGGCCAATTTTGTCCAATTTGATCTTGACAGTGAAGAGATCGTTTGCGTTTTCCACTACCACAAGAGTTTGTGCACTAAGGAAATGGATTGGTTGAAATATTTTACAATGATTACTGATATCGTTAAGAATAAATGGGTAAAAATGTTATTTTAGTTTTGATAAAGAAGGGAAGACGAAATTTACAGTATAAAATGTGATATCATCATTCTATTTCACAGGTTCTCATCAGCTGCAGACTACCTGAAATTACAATGGTTATATAGGTGATAATAACATATTTTAATGTTTGAGTGGTAGTAGCAGAGAAGAGATACTATAAAAGTGACGCATCCAAAATGTGTGTATTACAATTTTTAGCTTAAGTTTTCATCATCAATTTATACGCTTTCAAAGTTGAAAAGAGGAGGGGAGGGGTAAGACAGAAAACAGAAAAAATTATTAACAGAACAGTGTTAGCCTGTAGGTTCACATAGCAACTCAAAAAACAAAAGCGGTTACAGTTTATAAGACTGAGATTTGCTCAGTGAGTTGAGATCACTGAATTAGATAACTAATTAATGTAATCAAAGTCAAAATTCAGTTACCAAGGTAGTGAGTGAGAGGTTAATCATACTCTCTTTCTGTATGCATAAGTCTGGTTGGTTTGAATCGTTTGATTGCAATCGCCTCAACAAATCATAGTAAATTTGCTGTCCTTCGTCTGTTTAATATTTTGAAGGACTTAGAAATCTCTACGAGATGACCAGTATCAACAAGATGTCTAGTAATTGCACTCTGAGAATATTTGCTCAGAAAACTGGATAGAAGCCCTTTTTTCCGTCCTTCCAATATACTTGCTCCCTCAAGTGCACGTGAATTCATAAAGGCAGTTGGAGGTGACATCAGCAGGGTATTAATTCAGCTTCTTGTGGCTTATAGAAGTGGTGCTGTATAATGTTATGAGTTTTGCTGCCGGGAAGCTTCTATTTATTGCACCTTTCAGTCTTTTGTCAATCTTTTGTGACACTGTATCTCCTTTGAATGGGAGACAAATGAACACTTTTTTCTTTTCTACAGTTGGGTATTTTTCTTTCTTATCTTTTTCTCTGCTATACTTCTGCATAAATCCCTTAGGGTACCCATTTTCTCTTAGGCATTTCTCGACGAAATCTAATTCTTCTTCAACTTTGTTTGATGAACTTAGCTTCCTGGCTCTATCGTACAAAGTCCTCACTAATCCTCTACTACCACTCAAACATTAAAGTATGTTATTATCATCTATACATAACCATTGTAATTTCAGGTAGTCTGGAGCTGATGGGAGCCTGTGAAATAGAATGATGATATCACATTTTATACTGTAAATTTCGTCTTCCTTTCTTTATCAAAATTTATCAAGGGAACCAAATGTATAAGGTTATTCAAGTGTTTCAATTCGTTGAAAAATATTTTTTACATTTGAATTCTTAGGTTTTGGAAAGTATCGTCTTGAAAATCAAGAGATGTTTGTTTCACCACAAGGAATCTTCTGTTGCCGGAAATACTTGCTGGAGAAGCATCTCTTAATATACAGTTTACAACTCAGATATTGTCTCGATTTTGAGTTGATAATCAAAGGATAGTTTTGTCGATATACTACTTACTATTTGTACTTTTGAAGTAAATTAGTATCATAAAGAAGACGATGATGATAGGCACATACTACTGATCTATGTGAGTAGTTGTAAATCGCTTGAGTAAATCAGTAGTTCTAGTTATTTCACGCAATAGGAAGACGTAGATTATCTGAAATGTGTAATGTGTTTATTTGCACAACACATTTGGGACATTCTGATCACTCACACATGTACTTGTCATACATAGTTATAGAGAAGGCAAAAAGGCTTGAATTATTAGAATACAGGTTAGATTGTGTACAGGTCAAGGTGACAAATAATGTGTAGGGAGATGGCGCAAAGATGTGGGTAAGAAATATAGAAAGAAAGCCGGCAACGAGGCCTATGATGTCCTGTAAACCCTAACAGCATCCGAACAATAGTGTCACATCCCACTGTGTTTATCAATTTACATGTATGTGTGGACACACGTACATAGGGAGGACTCATTGGTCTCTGCAGGTTAGGGCTACAGTACATATGCCAAAGTGGCTGAAACAACGAATAAAGTCACGGGATACAACTGATCCCGGAAATAATTGTCCAACATCATCCATAGCGAAGGACATTATAGAGACGGGTCATAAGTTTGATTTCAATAATGCCTTTAAGCCCATATATAAAACACGGTTGGGTCACATACCTAAATTCGTTGAAGCCTTGGCCTTAAAAAGACTTAAAGCTGTTTTATGTGTCTAAAAGTTATTTGTTGTTACTTTAAATCTGCCTAAGTAATCCGAATTAGAATTAATGTCCAATTTACTTCATAATATTTTCAATCCCTTTTTTGGTTTTTTCTTTCTTTCTTACCCACACCTTTGTGTCATCTCCCTACCCATTACTTGCGACCTTGACCTGTACACAATCTGATCTTTATTGTAATAACTCGTGCCTTCTTGCCTTCTATATAACTGTATGTGTTAAGTATGAAAGTGAACAGAATCTTCGACTTAAGTCAGTGGAAGAACTGGCGCGGAATTATGCTTCTGTCCATCCCAAGCAAAATACTAAGCCACATCATCTTTGAGAGAATCAAACAGGCCACCCTGGATGAGGAACTTTGCCCGGAACAGGCTGGATTCAGGCGACACAAGTCATGCATTGATCAAATCGCAACACTACGGATCATCATTGAACAGAGCTTGGAATGGCAGTCAATTTTCTACCTCAACCTTATTGACATTGAAAAGGCCTTCGACAGAGTCGATCGAGAGTTGATTTGGAAACTACTTCGCTACTACGGGGTGCCGCTAACAATTATACACCTCATCCAACAGTTGTACGATAAAGCTGCACGCCAAGTAATCCACAACTGGAATCGTTGGAAGTGAAGACGGGAGTAAGACAAGCTCGCTGGCTGTCTACTATCTCCAATGATTTTCCTGTTTGCGGTAGACTGGATAATGCAATAGACAGCGGGGAACTAGGAAACACATAAAATGGACCGACACAAAAATCTTGGAGGATATGGATTTCACCCATGGTGATTTATGTCTGATTTCCCACAAACTGGAAGATATGCAAGCGAACAGCAACAAGTCGTCAGAAGAAGCATCAAAGATAGGACTTCAGGTGAACATAGAGAAAACAGAGGTGGTGAAGATTCCTGGGCAACACCAACAGCAACAACAACAGACAACAATCAGCATAAATGGGAGGAACCTGAAAGAAACAACCTCCTTCATCTACCTACCTACCTCGGAAGCATCGTTTCAACTTCTAAAGGAAACAATAATAATAATAAAAATGTCCGAAATTTGTTGTGCAAATATGCACATTACACATTTCAGATAAACTACATCTTCTTATTGTGTTGTCGAAATTCATAAAGGGAACTAATTGCTCAAAGTGATTGAAGCCTCAAAAGTTTATCTTTCTCTTTTGAGCTATTGGCACTGTGCCTGGAAGGCTTACAAGACCCAATTCTGCCTACTTACTTGATCCATCTCATAATATAAAGAATCAAGTTCCAAAGGAAACCACATTAAATTTTCTCTTTGAACTCTGTAATTCTGCAAACAACGAATCTGATTCGTAGGTAAAATGTTAACATAACATGCATAATAAGCCTGGTTATCTAGGATAATACTTGTGTTAATAATCCTATTTACACCCTGATAAAAATTAAATACTACTGTACCGGTAGGTAATTCCCTAGAATTATTGGCCCCAGCATTGATCACTGAACATTGGATGCTGACCCTCACTGTTTAAGTCAACTTGTTTAGCTGAAGACTTCCGGTCAAGCATTCATGCCATTTGATACGCCGTCGTGTCACGTTCATTCGTTTGTGTACGATCCCTAGCTAGCTAAGCAATCATCTCGCACTCCGATTTGGTCCCGATATATATCTCGTAATTTGGACGATTAATTCTTGTGTTTTACTTCACCTTTGGTCTATGCGGAACGAATACTATAGAAGTTGTGGGTATTAGATCTTGCGTTAGTATACTTCGTATTATCCGTGAACGTCAATACCTTTAGCCTCTAAACTACCGTTAACATTTATTCCTCTCTGGCCAGGGGTTTTCTTGAAATACCTAAGTTCGTAGAATGCAATTCATCTGCTCACAAAACGACAGTTTAACAACAGAGTAATAATCTAAAGATATGAAGGTGATCAATTCCCCTTTAAAAGCTTTCTTGACTGAAGCTCAATTAATAAAAATGAGCCATTAAAAGTTTCCTCTTCTTGAGTATATTAAAAATTTTTTGATTATAGCTTGAAACCACACCGTATTTTCGGTACAAGTATGGAATTTTCAGCATGTGATATCGGTAGCCCAATTTTGCAGGCCGACCATTGATATCAGGTGTGCGTCGGTAGGGGACCGAACCTCCAACCATGTGCAACTTATCCCATCATGTAGACGTCACATTTGAATATCATGTAAACTATCAACTGCATAAAGCAAGGACGAAAGTTTAGGATGTAATGTAGGTGAGGTCTTACAATCTTCAAAATACAAATGCAGAAGTCAGATACACAGATTCATAATGATATTGGTAAAACTGTATCGGCCACCTAATCCCTTTCTGCCATCTGCTGAGCGATTAAAAGTTTTCGAAATGATGGAAAACATTTGTAAATCATGTAAGTGTTTTTGGTTTTGTTTAAATCCTCTGACCTGAGTGATTTAATTGATAGGCTTCCGTTGTCTTTCCAGACAGCAACTCCAGTACTAACTCTAGGGTACCTTAGCTATAATTCTGCAAATAGCTGATATCTGACTAACTGTGTGAATTAGAGATGTGCACTATATTAACTGATGAGTATTTGTTGTGTATTCCAGCATGAGTCAAATCTAGGAAAGTAGTTATATGATTCATTGGCTTGAGCACTGAACTTGCAGTCGATAAGTCTGGGATTCAAGTCCCGTTCCACCATGGTAAGCCTGAGCAATATATCCTTAGCCTTAATATAATGAGTGCGTTTCATGGTCTGGTACAAGGACAATCTGTCCCAGGTAACTGAGTCCGAACAATTTCTGCGAGCAGCTGTCACCGGGCTTCAGTACAAGCCAGTGATGTACGATGATCACTTAATGTCACTCCAGTTATATCGATCACAAAACGTGTGAATTGCCTATGGGTAGTGCGAAACTTCCGTATCATCACACGTGAAGTGTTCTAAATATCAATAAATAAATAAATATAATTTCGTTTAATCTTACTCAGCAGAAATAATTGAAGTATTCAGTCCCCTGATTCAAAAGTACCAAACTATATTTTGAAGCGTACTTACTTTTGTCCAATTCGACAGTATCCAATATACCGGATAACATGAACCCTGACAGGCAATATACGCTGGTTGCGATGGAGCACTTCCCAAACCAGCTTTCTGGCATACAAATTCTCCTAGTTGAGCAACTCGCCAAGTTCCCTTTGATTTATCCTTTTGTCCTGCAGGTACAATATATTCTTCGCAGACATAGATAACAGCTTGGTGACCTTCACCACATCGTGCAGAACAGCTACTTGTTTGCATTTCATAGGCATCATTTGATGATTTCGCTATTGGTGCTGGTTTGGCTGTCCAGCGGACACCACAATAGTCGGAACATCGTCTAAGAACTGGTGGAGGCCTTGGTACAGATGAACACAAGTAATCAGCTACTGGTGTGCATAGATCAAACTCTGAGAATTGACTCTGATCAGACTCTTTAGGAACCAATGGATAGCATTCTGCATGCGTGGTAACATTTCCTAAGAAATCGTAAAATCAATATATATAATTGATTAGAGAAATATTTTGCAAAACAAGTGATTTCTCTAGATTTTAAACTTTGTAATGATTTGTAATGTTTGTATAAAGCAACCCAGTAAGCCGATCTCCGCAATAAAAAAGCAATAAAAGCAACTCACTTACTGTTTCACTGAAAAGCCATATGTAACACATTCGTAGGCTGGCTCAACGCGCTTAACTGCAAACTAAAGAAAGCTGATTTAGATTACCCTAATGCTGTCAGAAAACTGTCTTATTCAAAATTTAGTCAGACAATCAGTTCTAGTCAGTTTATCCCACCTATCTAAAATATTTATCATATGAATTATCTCAATCGTGACTGGTTTCAGAAGTTTTGAGCGTCCTAAAAAACAGTTAAGGTTTCCACGATTGTTAAGGGACAGTGAACAGTTAATTCATGCGATGATGTTGTCGCTTGCAGATTCACTTCCTCACATCACGTTTTTAATTACAAAGGGCATTTAGAAAAGTGCTTGCCTGATAAGGGCAAAACACCTTCTAAATAGCACGTGGTATGGATTATTGATTTATTACACTTTGTGATTCTATTAATTTAACTTTTGACCGGAAGTAGTTCTGGAATTTTCTCATGCATTTAATAATAATAACTTATGAATGCATGGATTTACAGCCTAGTTGATGACTTCGTCGAAAGGACAGTTTTCGCTGAAACCGTCTTTTTAATAATACCTATGATCCAATGTGTTTATTTCATGATTTGAAGAATAGCAAGGATCGTTCTACGATGATGGGGCTGAACAAGTTTCTACGTTTGTTGGTCAAGCTTGCTGAGGTAAACGTAAATATTTTCTCCTAGAAGAATTGTCTGGATAAACAAGAATATCCCAAAGCATAATGGAAGCATTTGAGATGAAATCACATATCTCCTAATTCACGTACACTGAAACGATATACTCTGAATCACATTGATGCTGTATGATCACGTCTATCTGAAGTGGAGCTGAATATCTTAAAAAACTACCACGTTCTCTATGAGTTATGTGAAGATGAACGAACATCATTGGAGAACTACTCTAATACGGTTACGAAGAAAAGAACAGATGATGTCATCATGAAACTAGACTGAAGACTACAGTCTTTTTCTAGGGTTACAGTTTTTCCTACTTGTCCAGAAAAATACGTGTTCAATTATTCTGATGTCTCACCATCGCCAGTTCAAATGCAGATCTTAGCACTTAGTTTCATGATGGAACATCTAAAGTCACTGAGTTGAACAAGAAAGTCTAGTAAGAGAACGTAATAAGTCAGACGAATGATCTGATCCCTATCTCATATGACAGTGTAGACCATTTCAAATGAGCCATTTTGAATTGCTGCCTCGATCACATTAACAAAAGCCAGCTTTCGTATTATACTTTCCAAAGAACACCGAAAGCAGCTGAAAGAATTGAAGGATAGTGGAAACTTGATTATGACACTGCTAGGCGAAGGTTCTGTAATTGTGTTGTTGAGCACATCATACTATTCAAGTGAACTCTTGTCAATACTACCTGATGATAAGAAATTCCAAAAACAGTCTCTCTAGAAAGATTTTACTGAAAAGATGGAGCTCTAGCTGATAAAGATATTGAAGGGAATGAAAGACGAATCCATTATTAGTACAAAACTACACGAACAACTACCCCCATCTGGTTCTACAACGCCGCCAATGTGCGAAGTGGCTTGTAGAGATTCTTGGTTCAGTGAAGGGAAAGCTGTGAAGACACAACCTCTAGGACACATTCGAGTTTTTGATTAAATTAAAAATGTCAGCCTGGCAGATAAGAGAATGGTCTCCCCGGATATCGCCTATCTCTCTGTCTCTCTCTACTGACATTCCACTGACAGAAACCATATGCTTCCTTTTTGACTTCATTTAATCCAGTAGCATCGATGTCGGTATACCAATCCATTGTCTAAAAGAGCTGTTACTACAGTGAATCTTCAACATCTGCTTCTGATTTAACAATGAAATATACAGGCAAATGGATGGAGTAGCAATGGATTCTCCTCTAGGACCCTTCTTGGCCAACTTATTATTATTTTATTCTGTGTAGTGTTGTAACTGTTCCAAGTGTAACATACAACGCAAATAGAGGTTTTCATTTGCATAAGAAGTTTAACAAGGTTAATTTCAGCTCTGCTACATTTGCAAGTTAGTTCTGTTTGGTAAGGTGTGGATAAAATGAACATGTGGACAAAACGTTTAGTGGAACAAGTACAGTAGTGCCTCATATTAGATTTGTAATCTTTTGTAACATATATATATATATATATATATACTTCGATTGAACACTATTAGCTAGTATGATGTGGCTAGTCCTTTCTTTGATGCAGACTGAATTTTATCAGTCAGGTTTGCCAACTAGCACGAAACCTAGGTCCAAGGCTTCCTGCCGATTGCCTCCAACCTTCTAATATCGTCAAATCAATGTGCACCGTGATGGCGAGCTACCTAGAATGGTGGCCACATTGCAAACCTGACTGATAGAATTCAGTCTGCACCGAAAACAGGACTAGACACATCACACTAGTTACTAACTGGTGTCTAAGCAAAGTATCCCTGTACAGTCCTACAGGAGGTCAATCGCGAGCCTGAACAGCTCAGTGGTAACGTCTCTGACTGCAGCACTGGGTGACGCTGGTTCTAATCTCAGAAGGGATATGAGTTCCTTCAAGAATGCAGATACGCCTTGCTGACTGATGAGTGCCAACTAGCACGAAACCTACGCTCAAACAGGGTTTCCTGTGGTCGATTGTCTTCAACCATTTAATATATATAAAGATCTGCTTTGTTCCAAAATCAGGATTTATAATACAGAATGGAATTTCCAGCATCTGTCACAATAGTGCATCTAATTTATTCAGAAGGTAAATAAAGGTAACCACAGGAACTTTTTCACAATACACAGGGACTGGTGTGAAAATTGTGCAAAGTATAAAGTGAGAATAGTGATTATACTGATAATAATAATAGTAATAATAACAGGAGGTTTGTTTCAAATACTATTGTCGATACAGTATGGAAATAATAGCATGTTATAGAATGTTGAATGTAATTGTCTCTTGACATAGAATGGTGAAGGGAAAAACAATTATAATTATTACAGAGCTTAAATGGCCTTAACAATTATGAAAAAAATGAAATGACCATTAATATAAGAGGGATAATAACAGTAGAACTTGTTGGTACAAGAATGGGGACAACTGTTTATTTACTGGTGGAAAGAAGGTTATTTAGTTCGTGCATCACTCGCAAAAAAAATTGTTGAAGAAGCAGGCAGCGAAGAAAGGACTTCATGTGAACGTATAGAAAACAAAGGCAACAGGTACCAGTCACTATCAGTGGGAGACATTTGAAAGAGGTCAATTGAATCATCTGGGTAGCAGCCTTTCAACTACAGCCGACTCCACGGATAAAGATGTCAAAGCCAATCAGGATAGGAAAGGCAACACGGGCATTCGTCACTCTGAAATAAGCTTGAAAATCTTCTGAACTCAGCATTAACGACAAAATTCGTATTTTCATCACCAATGTTAAGTTAGTTGTTCCAAAGGTTTAAGAAACTTGGCGAGTCAAGAAAAGTATTTCCAACATGTCACAGCAGACTTCTAACAACAACTGAGTTTCCGGCTCCACAGTGAAAGTAAGATGGCTGGTCAGAAAGAATTAGCAAGGAGAAACTTTGTGAACGAACCACGTGGAAACCTAGTGCTGAAGGAATATGTCGAAAGAAATGAGATGGATAGAACAAACTCTTTGGAGATAGATGGATGACACAGCGCACGAAGCCATCACTCGAGCGGAACCCGAACAGGAAGCGGCAAGTTGGGTGAGTGTCGTAGGGTGATATGGAGGAGATCATGCAAGGAGAAGATGAGAAACTATGGAGAATCGTAGGGCAGCCAAATAAGACATCAGAGAAACCGATAAAGTGTATATGTGCTGTTGAAGCCTTTGTTCCACTCTGAAGCAAAGGGAATAACAATAATACAATTTTACTAATGGTATGAACTTGTGAAAGATTTCTTCGAATCGTCAGAGAATGGTAATTCATTAAAAAGGAGGAAAATAGCATGAAACTATTGAGGAAATTAAAAGATTTCATCTTAGGAGTTGACGGTATATATGTACATATATAATCGATGATTACCTGCACAAGTGGTACAACCAACTGGTAGTTCACTAATCCTCCAGACAAAGTATATTTGTGGTTTCTCTTGTTGTGCTTGGTGACGTTCTACTTCACTTGCAACAGTGTTCTGGGTAGATGTTAATCTTTCAGACTCTTCAAATGATGCGAAAGCATTCTGAGATCTTCCAGTACGACGATTTACTCTTTCTGCAGCCAACTGAGCTTCTTTTTCAGCAACAAAGTACAGCGAATTATTTTGTTGAGATTTGTCGACAAAATAGCTGTATTCCACCGTTGGGAAGGATTGTGTTGTATGCGTGTTTTCCACACGAATCTGTAAGAAAATTTGTAATAGTACCATTCAACATCTCAAAGTATTTCATAATTTCAAAACCAATAAAATTTCAGGGTTTCATCATAAGCTGACATCGGTTAGAGAACCATTGGAAAACCAGCTGGGAGTCCTGGACAGCTGTTTTGTCGTAGTTTCGGACTCTTCATCGGGATGCACGCACCGAGGTTCGAACTCACGACTTTCCGAATACAATGTCCACTAGTGACTAGCCCTATTCAGGTAAGAAGTTACCTGGGTTCTGGTGAGAAGTCGTAACCAGTGGGGTACAGCAGGTCGGGTGTGAGGAAAGATACTCTCCGATGACACTGGCTGGTGGAAGTGACATATCATAAAGTGGCAGAAGTTGGAATTGATGGACCATTGGATCGGATCCCACTAGCTAAATAGTTGGTCTGCGACCTCGCCTTGTGACCATAAAATCCTGGGTTCAAAACGATGTGGTGGGTGTGTACTGTGAAGAGTCCCAAACGAGGAAAAAACAGCTGTTTAGTACTCCCAGCTGGTTTTCCAGTGGTTCTCTAATTGATGTCAGCTCATGATGAGATCCTGAAACCATTCAAAGCCCGGCATACTAACACTTGCATACCAATAAAATCTATTCATATAAGATTCACAGTGTGTCCATTAAACTGAACTTAGTAACAAAAGTTGTTTTTGATAATATTAAATACACCACTTGTTGAAATTAAAAGAAGACATATAAGCCAACAATACTTTCTTTAGCTAGACAGTCCTCCAGCCTTAATCTAATATAAATCAAAGTTCATGCGAATACAATAAAGGTGTGAAAGATCTTGGATGTTTCATTTTGAGAACGAAATTCGGGCAACTACGCATCTTTCGTAGTTTCTTATCTGGCATTACAGTTAGTTAGTGAAATCATCAGGTATTTACATTTGGTATGCTTAATGTCAAATTGGTCCTTCTATACGGGTCAGAAACTTGCACTGTGCCCGCATCCCGAAAAACATTTGCAACAGGATGCTGACTTTCATCAACAGCTGCCTTCGCTTCATACTGAAGATCCAATGGCCAGTCAGAAAGAATTAGTGACAAGAAACTCTGGTAATGAACCAAATCAACCAAGAGCCGATCGCTCAACGAATATGTTAGAGAAAATGGAGATGGATCAGGCGAATGTTGAGGGGGCCGTCGAATGACATCGCAAGTAGTGCAGGCCACTGCTCGAGTGGGATCCAAATGTGAAGCGACGAGTGGGTCGTCAGTGTAAGGGTGATATGGAGGAGATCCTGTGAGGAAGAGATTAGAGATTATGGTCAATCGTGGACCCGGCTAAAGAAGATGGCAGAAAACAGAACAAAGTGGGGATATGTTTTTGAAGGCCTATGTTCCACTCGAAACGCAAGGGAATAATAATAATTATTATTTGCTTAGCTTTTTCTTGAAATTGCAATCTTTAATTACGTTAGAGTTCCATATGAACTTGAAATACCTTATTTTTATTATTTCTACCTTATCCAATATTAGGTTGTCTTATGAAATGACCAAAATACATGAATAGCTATTTAGCTTCAGTAATACTGTAGCCTATGAATCGGTTTTTATGCAAATGTTGTTGGAATCTGGTGTCACTAAATGATTTCATTAATATTCTCATTATTTTAAGTGTTCCCTTGGGCTCCGAGTGAGACACAGGGATTCAGCCACACATTCCCAATTTGTCATATCCTCTGAAGTCCTTTTTAGCTGGCCCACGATTCTCCATAGTCTCTCATCCCCTCCCCACACGTTCTCCTCCATGTCACTCGGATGGCAAACGCATCTTTTCCCACTGGGATTCCCTTCAACAGCCTAGCTCGTGATGTAAACCAGAGGTTTCCTCAGGGTTTCCGATCCATTTATATCTTCTTTGGAATATTTCTCGAGCAATAGGTTCTTGTGCGTTGGTGACACAGCGGTAGGATGTTCACCGAATACGCGTGTGGTCTGGGGTTCGATCCTGGGCCACTAACGCACTCCTCTACCTCGCCCAGCCAGTAATAAGACTGGTAAAGACGGTGGATTGGGGGGCATGAGGCAAGCAACTCCATCCAGTAAAAATAAACACCACTGCTACCGAAACTTCAAACCTCTGGCTTGAAGTCTCCCTATGTTCCACTGGGAATGTAAGGGAATAAAATTTTAAAAAAGGTTCTTAATTGGTTCGTTCCAAAGTTTAGTGTACCTCATTCTTTCTGGACAAAGTGAATGTATCTAGCTGAAGCCCCATGTTCCACTTGGAACCCAAGGGAATAATAATAATGATAATAATGTTTAGGCCTATGAAGTAGTGCATAATAATCTAGGTGGTGATAATAATAATAAGAAAGTTAAATTCATGCAAGTATTTGTATCGTGAACGTAGTTTTAATTAGTTTAATACATTCACCCAAACCAGGGAAATGACAAAGATAGAACAATGCATTTTATCCTTGAATAACTCTATATACCTGGATACAGCTTCATTGTGAACCTCCTATTCTTTTCTGTGATAGAACTATGAGATCCTGAATTCCCCTTCATCAAATATTGTGACCATTCCACCTTAGATTTCCACTTCTTGTTTGGTGTATACATGTTGATAAACTTCTTCATAAAGCCTTGAAACTGTCTAAGAGAAGTAACACTTACTTGACATATTTTGTTTATTCACAAATGAGACTCCTAAATTGTTTTGTTGGACATTTAATTAAATCTGACGATACTGATATGGCATAACAAGATACAATGACTGTCTATTAATAATGTCAAAACTCTTGTGTTTTGACATTATCTTGTATTGACAATTACCTTTTGTGTCCAAAAATACCACTTGATATTTTGAAATTAATCTGACTAATTGACTTAAGGCATATATATATATATATATATTAAAATAATATAATTGATTTAGTGTGATGAAGCTAATAACTAAGCGTGTCACTGGCGCGACGTTCACATATGATAGCTGACATCTGTAGCCACTATTCTGTTTACATAACTGACTTGATTTGTTTTGCTGAACTAGGAAATTATGCTTCATATCATCGAATATATACTCATATTTAGTTCGGTAACAGTAGAGTTTATATTTCTGCGAGTTGATCACGGGTTGATATCAATTAGAGAACCACTGAAAACCAGCCACAGGGAGTACTGGACAGCTGTCTCATTCTCATCTGGGAATCATCGGCAGTACGCACACACTGCCAGAGTTAGAACCTAGGACTCTGGCTCGTATACCACTCAACCACCAAGGTTCCCGATTCAATGGCCAGCCAGCCCATGAATTCTAACCTCTACCAATTCGTGATTTAGTGCGACCCCAAACAGTGTCGTCGCTGGGAGATCCATCCTCACACTTGACTGGATGGACCTCACTGGTCACGACTTTTCGCTTCTCACTTCTCCAGTACTCCCTGGTTATCAATGGTTCTCTAACTGATATCAATCCGTGATCAACTCGTAAAAACAAAACTAATCCTTACGAATCAACTACAGAAAATTAACCTGACGTTCGCTAGTCACTTGCTACAGGATGGAGTTTCCTGGAGTTCTAGTGAGAAGTCGTGACCAGTGAGGTTCAACCAGATGTCACGTGTGAGGATGGATGTCCCACCGACGACATTGGTTGGGGCCACGCTAAATCACGAATTGGTAGAAGTTAGGATTCATGTGCTAGTCATTGAATCGGGTCCCAGTGGTGGCTGAATGGTATACGAGCTTGTCTTGCAACCAGAAGTCCCTGGGTTCGAATCCCAGAGGTTGTGTACTGCCGATGATTCCCAAACTAGGATGAAACAGCTGTCCAGTACTCCCTGTGGCTGGTTTTCAATGGTACTCTAACTGATATCAGTCGATGATCAATTCGTAAAAACAAAACTAATCCTTAAAAACCAACTATAGAGTTTATATTTATTATGTTTGAACTTTAGAGATCATTTTGTCAAAGTACCACTAACCTAGGTTTTCAGTTTGCTAACATTCTTTTGAATACTTGAAGAAACTTATACTGACTTCGAGATTCAAGAGTGCTCCGTGAGGTATTGTAGCCAGCGACTCTACAACTAGTTTATTTATATATACCGACTTTAGTTTGTCAGTAGGCAGTGCATTACTCTAGACAGTTAGGAGTGATCTTTCAGATTTTATGTTTAACGTCTAATATACTGAGAAGTGACATTCTGTTAACTGATGGTCTGCCTATGTGTTAAACGGAACATATGAAATCACAATAGGGAGATACATATTAACTTTGTGTTGGTGATTCCTCAGTAGAACGCTAGCCAAGCACGCTTCATGTGATCCGTGGTTTGATTTCCAGCCAACGCACTCCTAAACCTCACTAATCCGATATTAATACTGGTGAGGAGCAGGGGGTGTTGGGTTTAAGGCTAGCAATATCCCCGTCGTAAAAATAAGGCCACTGCTACTGAAACTTCAAAGGTGAAACTTGAAGCCCGATGTTCCATTCGGAAGTCAAAGGAATAAAATAAAATCAATATTAACCTTATTATAATATTATGTTTATATTCACGCTTCTTTTTACTTACAACGATATTGACATCTTTATTCAATCTTCCAGTAATAGAGACAATTTCTTCACGGCTTCGACTTCCACTATAGTAGAGTTCAGCGCCTGCAAATGGTTCTCGTGTTTCACCTCTGCGTATTTGAGTCTTCAATTCTTCAAATATTACTTAATCACAATAAAACAAAGAAGTTGATAATTCAATAAACAAAGGACTTGAATTACTTGAAAGGTCAATAAAGGTTCTGCTGTGTGGCTGAAACGATTAGTTGTTTCACAATCACGGAATGTTGCAACGTGATATTCTACACATATGGTAGAATTTTTACTAACTGTTTAGATTTTGGTGGCACGCAAAATGAAGATTATACTGACTGTATAAGATTAATCTACAGGGTAACCTTTTTAAAGTAAGGGCGATTAATACTGTTTTGTTTTCCACAATCATCTTTATCATAAATGGTTACACAGTAAATATCAGAAATGTAAAGTGTCAAGGGAAATCTGCTTGAAGCTGATCAATAGTCTACCACAACTTAAGTTGACAGTAAAGCAAAACTGTTATGTCAATGGTGATATTGGGATTTGATTTCATTTCACTGTTGTTTCAATTCATTACAATATACGACTTATTCTTCGAATGTTATTGAAAGAAACACAGATGACTGACCGGAAGACAAAGATTTATTTCTTCAGGGAAAAGATGATTTCACCAGAAATTATAGTTATTTATAAACTCATTTCATATGACCAATAATTATAAGTTTAAAATGTGAAAACCATTTTTTCTGACTGAAAATCATGTACCACTTAAACTCCCATGGCATGACCTTTAATCTAGATTTAAATCGAGTGTCCAGTTTACACAATGCGTCAGAAATACTGACTCATGGTATATTTGTAATGACAGAAGACAAGAGTCAGGCAACAGATCATTTATTGAGGAAATCAAGAGATACTTATAGATTCTTATGTACATTATTATTCGTTATTATTAGTAGAGAAACAGCGTCTTCTGATTGGCTGTTTTCTCACTGAAAGTTATTCTGTCATCTCTTTGTGGCCATTTCTTTGAAGGTCAGACCATATATCTGCAAAGTCTGCTGTGATTGGTTGTTGGGTTAGTCTTTGTGCTTGTTTTTTTCTCATGATCAAGAATTGGGATGTAAACATTGACGTAAATTGCTGTCTACCACTTTTGGCTAACAGACAGCTCTCACTACATATTTCCTCCTGTTCTCAGATTAGCTAAGATAAATTTCACAATCTGGTGCCAGACAAAGGATAGTCCACCAGAATGAAAGGTGGTTGTTAGTGGATATTATTTCCGATAAATACTTAGTTGATTTTTAGTAAATGGGCTGCTCTAGTTCTCAGCTTTCTCAATAAAACAGTCCATGGATTCCGAATCTTGGTGTGATTCAATATGATATATATGTGGGATAATGGCGAAGTTAAACTTTAAGCACCACTGGCTACCGATGGAGTGCGACCGCACCAATGACCCTAGAAACGCTCACTGAGCAATTTAGTGAAACCCGGCAAATAATGTTGTCATCACCAATAAAATATGCTAATCGAAGTGTTATGCTATTAGATGGAATTTCTAGCAAGTTTCACCTTAGGTATGGGAAAGATTAAGTTAAGGTTTCGGCCAATGACAAATTAGGTTAACCTATTAAAGGCGACGTTAGCGTTAGTTCAAGTTGGATTAGGGTTAGTTTAGGCATATTTTCACGTTATGGCTAAGTTAAGGAAAGATAAGTGTTATTGTTAAGGTTAGAAGACCTAAATAATTACATACAAGAATGTGGTTAAGTTACTCTGTTGATATAAGAATAGAACTTGTGCACTGTGATAGAGTAGAATTCCATTGTGGGTAAAATTTATTTTGATAAATTCTCACAATATTATACAGTAACATTTACTGATGACGTTTCGAGCACAATTTTTTGTCCAGTAAATATTACTGTATAACACTATGAGACTTTATCAAAACAAATTTTACCCACAATGGGAATATACTCTGTTGATACTCTAACCTAAAAAACCGGGAGCTATTTTTATCAAATGTGAGAGAAGGGTATCCTCCGTAATACTTTTCTAACGTTTTTATATATGTTTTTCGTAAATATATGTATTCCATACACAGAAATGCCTCCTTCATGTGATTGATGCTTTCGAGGTCATTTCCTGATCGGTAGTTGGGGGTGCTTAAGGCTTAACTTTGCCGGGATAATAATTAACTTTATTCGCTTTATCCAACTCCACTTCCTCAAATTGTTTTGTTCGAATTAATGGAGAATGGTTGCATTTTTAAATACATGTGCAATGTTTTAAAAACAAAACCCTTGAAGAAGCATTAACTAAAGAAAAATAAAGTTTGATTAGCATTAATTCTAAAAAATTTTCTCATTATGTAATACTTACGCAACATGAAGTCATCATAAGAATCTGAAGAGTATGGAGTACTTCGATCGGAAACTTTTCGGACGAATGCATTTGTAACTCCCCTAGGAATACGAACAGCTGTGATTAAGCCTAGATAAAATATTTAAAAAGATTTACAGTACAATTTTTTAAAACTGAGTTCAGCTGACTTAATGAATCGAGATAAACTAGTAGCAAAACTTACCACGTAGATGAACACCAGGTGAAGTCATTGCATTCCCATTGAAAACACCTTTAACTTCTTCACAGGTACTGTTATCACCACCACAAACTCGACAACGATCAAAACGTAGTCGAGATCCAAGGATACCATCACAACCTGTTTCCTGAAAAACATAGAAGGTATAGAAAAGGTTTTTAAGAGTAGCCCATAGTGATGAATGCAAGTCGCCAGCCTTTTGGGGAAGATGTACTCATAATAACGGTGATTTACACTAGAGTTTCGTGTCCTTTACTTATGGACATCCATATAAAAATATCCTTTCAATGAAATACATATTAAAACATGAGCGTGGACTACTCAAATTAACATTGATTAGGTGAAAAAACTACTCAGTACCTTCAGGATATTGTCTTGATTTGCCAGGGAACACTTTTCAGCATGGTTTTGTAAACGAGAACAGATCAATTCTCCAGCACATTACTACGTCTAGTCATGCAGCATCAGCGAGGACTGCCTTCAGAGTCATCTATGTTAACTACGACCAGGTCTTTCGAAAGGATTTCGCCTAAATCTTACTCATGCAGCCGAAGGCTAATCAATCCTCAAGAAGAAACCTGAACTTTCTGTTCAAAAACACTGTCTTCCACCCCCTTTTATTACAATGGCTTTAGCATTAGTTTTTTTTCCTTCTATGTTTTCCTGGATAACTGTATGACAAGCTCTGTTTCTAACACGTATTTTCGATCTCTTGCTCCCTTGTCTCTTATCAACTGCTTCCAAACCATTATTCATCCTTCAACCAATTAGTTGTCAACCCTCTTGATTACGTAAGACTATTCCTAATTTTTCAAACATACTTATTACTCATGAAACTTTAATTTGACTTGTTGCTAACTGACAGAGACCTTGGACCTGCGTTATCAGTCTGCTGAAAGAGATCTCTTTGCTGAATCATGTGCTGTCAGCTGGAATGTTAGGTATAATCTTCCTACCTTAAGTAACGCCTATTTCTTTCGATTTCCGTGCACAAAATGTCATAGTTGTAACCCCCTGGGGTGAAAGTGAAATCAGATCCCCTCCTTATCTGCAAGAATAAAACGGTTATGCACAAGTGACACAGTCGTTTGTGGACTGGAGTGACTTAGACAAATCCTTATTGAAAATAGATACCCTGCAAAATTCATAGGGAAAAATCCTGAAAGAATAGAAATGTTCAGAGGAAATTGGTATTAATGAATGTGGAATTAAAAAGTGACGCCGGAGTCGCTATTCTGAAGAACCGCTTATCTATATTACTGAGAAAAGCTTTCTTTTCGATTGAGCTACGGATCAGTTTTTACAGTCGACAAATGATCATTCGATATGTGAATGAGGAACTGCTGCTTGGGACCACTTTGGTGTGTTTATAAATTCCCTTGCTCCTGTGGGGCTAGTTATATTGGTTGCATGAGGGGCACACTTTCCAAATGCGTCTCCGAACATTATCCAGCATGATTAGCAAGAGGACAATGTTAGACAACCACTAGCTCAAATCTCGAGTTCCCGGTAAATCCAAGCCACGCAGCTCCACGAGAGCCATCTTTTGAAAACACCTATAAGCTGAGACTGAATGTTATAAGGGGTGTTATTTCTGCCATATGAATATATTGGAAGCGCTGGCTATACCTCAACATAATCCCGAACTTTGCGAACAGAAAAAGTTTGTTTATTCTCTAATTCTACCGTTGTTCGAATCCTTTCCCTAATGTTTGGCTTTTATTTTAAGTAATTAATTCACTGTTATCATCCTTACAAGCTGCTTTTGTACATTTTCTCATCCTCTTCACACTTGTCAAATGAATACTCAACCCACTTAGTGATAATTTTAACCTCATGCCCTTGCTCCTATTGTGCTGTTGATTATTACGTAATTTTTTTAATTTTAGAGACCAATTCAACTATTTCACTCCCTATTACTCATCAGTAGATTACATTACGTTTTGGTCAGTATAAATACGATTGTAAAGACTCTGAAGACGACTTTGTCAATCGTGAAAATTTTTTTCGCTGAACCGTCTTTTGTTCCGTCATGACTTAGTGGATATTTAAGGTCTTTCAAGTTAAGATATTTATCCGATTTGTTTTCCATCGTGACACACTGTCTAATCTATAAATTTATGATAGTTTCTTTAGATTCGGGTATTTATACAAGTTCAAATTGTTTAGGTATTGGTTTTTGTAGGGATTTTTCTTTGTTTGATTGGTTGGAGGATTTCATCATGAGCTGGTATCAATTAGAGAACCATTAGAAAACCAGCTGAGAGTACTGTACAACTGTTTCATCAGTCTAGTTTGGGACTCTTCATCGGTACGCACCCACCACAAGGGTTCGAGCTCGCCTTGTGACCAGAAGGTCCTGGGTTCGAACCCCAGTGAGTGCGTACCTACGAAGAGCCCCAAACTACGCTGACGAAACAGCTGTTCAGTATTAATGCCTAGTTTTCCAATGGTCCTCTAACTGATTTCAGCTCATGATGAAATCCTCCAACCAATCAAATTGTTTAGTAAAAACAGCATATAAACCAGATTACCGTTATAAGAAAACTTACTAGGTTATAAGGTAGTTTTCATTATTTTATTTTATTCCCTTACATTCTGGGTGGAACATAGGGTTTTGAGCTAGGAATTTGAATTTTCCGGTAGCAAAGGTTCAGTTTTACTGGGTGTGGTTGCTAGCCTCACACACCCAACCTTCTCTCTTTAGCCACCGTACTACTGGCTTGGCGAGATATAAGAATGAGTCCACCAGGTATCGAACACCAGACCGCGTGAGGCATGATTGGCAAGCGTTCTGTCGCTGAACTACCGACTTACACATCATAAGGTATAAGGTCATCTTTTTTTGACAAAATGTGTATTGACTGATCGACATATCATTAATAATCATTAAACGAAGGAGCTGCTTATCGTAGTAAAATGTCAGATGATAAAGTTCAACGATAAAAGAGATAGTAACGTTACCGCAGATTATAGATAAGAGTTGTACTATTTTCTGCAGCTGTATTTTCAGTTGTTTATTTAACTGAAAATATGTGCTCAGACTGTGTTGAGATATGAGTCTCCAGAACAGTTGCTTCTATGAACTTATTTCTATCTTCTTTGTTAGACAACGATTCCCAGTTTAATCCAGTGTGTGTTTCTCCTTAACTGGGACTCTTCAGTTGATGGATGTCCTTGCGTCTCCATGATTGACTGTGTTTTCAATGAAACTTAAAATAAGCAACTACCGTTCCAAAAGCCTTCGTATATTATCCACTCGCTCACTGAGATTCAAGTTCCATTTCTGGATTCTCAAAAGCAGACAGTCATTAATATAGAGGTTAATTGGTGGATGGTGGCAAGCAGTGGAATCCAGGATGCTCATTTCGTCCTATCCGGGACTCGTCACTGGATGTACCTGCATTCCCCAGTGAGCGAGGATGTTTCCACTTAGTGCCCATAGTTTCAAACGCCAAAGCGTTATCCACTAGACCACTTGGGCCACGAGATCCACCTGTTGTGAAACGGGTCATATTAATTACTTAATCAATTATGTAATTATTTAACTCAGGGCCTCGGTGGGAACATCATCACTCACTGCGGAATGCAGGTACATCCAGATGACGAGTCCCAAATAGGACGAAATGCGCATCCTGGATTCCACTGCTAGTCACCATCCACCAATTAACTTCTAATTACATGCCCAGACATCGTCGAAGCATCTGCACAAGAAGCCGACATATCAACCTGAGACCGAGCACTTCGGTCCAATCAATCGACGGGAAAATCCAGAATTCAATTCAATAAAAAGTCATTAATCTAGTTTCATATATAGTCACATACTGAAATTAAACGTCATGTTGCTAGGTTATTCAAATGTATTAGAATAAATGTATTCAAATGCTTGTTCACCAATATTCCTAACTCTTTTCAATAACTTAGAAACACGCTGTTTAATTTCAATTATAGTCAAATCATGAATGTGTTTTCTTAACTAAGGCGAAGATAGAAAGCTCGATACCTCTTTAGTCAAGCATGAAGTTGGTATAAATTATTGGGTGGTCGGTCTAACAGTTTGGATCAATTTTCCCTGGTTCAGTAGAAGAAAGCCATCAACGGCTCAATGAAACCTGTAGACGAAAGGGATACCCAATTTTCACCTTTTCCACATTACACAAGAATTTCCTAATGGTATGGTGTAATTTATAAATGAAAGTGTGATGATGAAAGTGTGATTACGTCTAATCTTAATCTGTGGGAGTAGCCAGTAGCTTTTATTTCAGAGTCATTATTTAACAACTTAAGTCTCCATACTCCTTGTTTCCCATGGATAGATGAAATTGATTGTCAGTATATCCTGCTGAAACTACTGTACAGTTTACTGCATCTCTTACTTAGCACTTTACATTTCATAGGAAGTCCATTTTACACTTTAGGCATGAGTTTTATTCATTAAACAATTAACTAAGAAAAATGTTTCTGTCAAACTAATTTAATGGCTCCACTGGCTCCATTGAAACACTTAATTTCACTTCCCAACAGAATTATGAATTGAAGTTTGTTTTAAATTCTGCATTGTTACTGAGCTGTAGTCAGCACTAAAAAAATAAATCCAATGTTAGAATCATCTATTTTAGGGTAAGTCTGATGTAGAGAAAAATACCTGTAAAATAGACTAGATAGAATTATTCACCAGTATGAAACCGTCAGTTCTCACAGAGACGATTTCGCTGAATATGGATTATTCTTTATGCAAATGTTTTCAGTATCATCAATTACTGAAAGTTTACAAAAAATATACAATGCTCCGTCCTATGCTTGACATGTCAGTATCCGTTTACTACCAAACTGCCCAGTAACTCCGTCATTTTATTGATTCTGCTGGCTGCCCTGATAATATTAATCGTTCAAATAGGATTATTTTCTCCCTTGATGTAATCCCACTATCTACGAATATCTCATTGACTGAGATAGTAGGTCACGTAAGCGAATATGTTGATAGTAACGGATTGTTTATTGCAACATCTATTCATAATTTATAGGATCAAACTTTGGCGCACTCTGAGTATCTGTTTCTCCTTCAACAATGGCATAGCGATGGGAAAACACATTTGCCCAAAAGAATCAGTCATCTTTCACTTTGCAGAAGATATGCAGATGAAATGTTCATAATTTCTAGGGATGCAAAAAGCCTAGAAGAGGTTGAGCACATGTTATTCTGGATTTATAAATCGGAAATGAAGTCTTTCTGCAGCTTCACCTAGGAATATCTGGTTGATCCAGCCCATCAAGCGACCCCACAAACTAATTTTGCAGTGAGACTTAGTTACAAGCCAAAATTGTAGGCAAAAATTAACGTCAGTGTTCACATCGCGAATCAGGGTCATGAGAAAAACAGTAAGAAGGTTTAACCTTGAGAAAATCACAGCGGAGTTAACGTGTGGAAATATGATTCGCAGATATATGGCTTGACTGTCTAAGAAACGACCGCAAAGAGATAACAGAATGACCTTCAGCAAAAAAACAACCAATCAGAAGAGGTTGCTTCTCCACTAACAATTATGTACATAAAAATCTATAAATACCTCTCAATTTTCTAAATAAACAATCTGTTGCCTGGCCCTTGTCTTCTGTCGTTACAATTTTCATGTTATCTACAGGTTAGGCGAGAATCTTCTGTCAATGAAACCACTTCAAACTACAGCAGGATATGGCAGTTGGCATCTTAAACCCTGAACACTACCCACCGATGAGATTTATAGTTAAGTCAACCTGTGAAACATTTGGCTGTTGAAGTTTCTCTGTTTAACTGTGTCGCTACTTTATAATTCAAAATTTTCTCTGGTGAGCTCTACTCAAAACTTTTAACCAGACAGCGTCATCAAACTTAGTTGTTTAACCAAACTTTGGTCCTGACAGATATTTATGTGATGATTGCCCCGACCTTAAATCAAAACGGAATTTCGATATTAAATCTCTAAAACATTTTTAGTACGAGGTGGCCTTTTCGCTGAATGTCTTTTATTTGATTAAATAGTCAGAATGTTTGATCAAGTTGAAACAGTTTTCAAAATCATCATAACGCCAACATCAGGATCCCGGTAAATTGATATGCAAAACATAAGAAGTCGGGAGCTGGCTGTGGAGGTACTTAACAGTTGTACCATAAACATAATTATGATGACAAATAACAACAGCCTTCAGCTACGATGTTGTTGGACAGGTAATCGCTCAGTGAGTTATTAAGAATGGTAGAGTACGGTAGGTAATAGCGAAATAGTTCTAAAACATGTACAACTAGGATTAGGATCTCATTCCATAAGCTCGATAACTAACTAACAAAGAGATCAAGAAAGACAAGCAGTGGATCAAGAAAGCCAAAAATATCCCCTCATAACAATGTTTAGGATGTTCAGAAATCGGGTTATTGCAGGAACCTGCATTATTTTCAGCTTAAATTGAGTCACTAACCAACATCAAATAGAGATCAGTGAAAACTAAGGAGCGCTGGACAGCTGTTCCGTCCTGGTCTGGAACTCTTGAGAAGTACACACTCGCGACCTCACCGAACATCGAACCTGCGGCTTTTGGATTGCGAAACAAAACCTGTTGACAATTCATCTATCTAGGCCAGAATTCCATGAAGTCAATGATGTTAGTGGTTAAGTGGTATCGCAAAACATTTCGTAAAAGTGACGTAATCAAGACAACTCAAAAACGCGTGTAATTTCCAAGTTCGTCGACAGTGAGTGAATATTTAATTAACTGTGGAACGCTGCACCTATATGAAGTAAATATTTATTCAGAATTGGCGGGATTCATAATTCGTGTTCCACTGGATTCCAGTGCAGGGGCTGAATGCTCAACGGGCAGTGGGTTCTATCCCCAATGTGGTCATAGACCAGTATTGCTAAACCGTCCCAAACAAGCATGAGGCGGCTGTCCAGTACCCTTTGATTTGCAATATTTCTCCGGCTTATATGAAATCCCTGCAAGCCAATACCTGAAAAATGGAAATAAGTTATCCACGTACCTATATACATATATACATAAAGAAATCAAACACTTCAACTCACCCAACATTTCCCCTGAATGCAAATATCATCTCTTTGAGAATAACATGGGGTACCGTCGGGCAAAGTAAAACTATGCGGAACAGAATGTGAATTGTACAGACAGATTAGATTGCATGATGTAGGCTCACCGACTGTATTGAAAAAAAATCAAGAAAAGTAAACGCGATATGTTCAGTTAGATAATTCATAGAGACCATAATGATACTATTACCTTTTTATTAGTGGCTCAATTAATAATAATAATAATGATTTACTTTATTCCAAAAACAGTACTTGTGATACAGAATGGAATTTTCAGCATTAATCACAATAATGCATCTAGTTTCCTCAAATTATAAATAAAATTAATCACACAGAAAATTTTTCTACATTTACAATAGGGTTAATATAAAAAAAATAAAAAATAAAAAAACATGCAGCATATAAAATGGTAATAATAATAATGATAGCAGCTAAGGTAATGATAATAATACAAGTGGAAATTGCCGTGGGCTTGTTTCACACAGTACTGTCGATGCGGTATACAAATCCTTGCATGATTAAAAATATTGAATATGATGTTCTCTTTACATGATATGGTGAGGGAAAAAAGAAAGATTACAGCAGTCATAGAGATTAGTTGGTGTTTGCAGTTATGAAAGTGAAAACAAAGAATCAACAGGACCATAAGTATAATATTAATAATAAAAGTAAAACTTGAAGGTATATAAAGATGGATGGAGGAGATTGTTTATTTACTAGATGAAAAAAGGTTAGTCAATTCTTATCTGACACTATTTTCATCACATAAAATACGTGCCAAGTATGGTATCATAGAATTTTTATACTTAGACGTGCGAGCATACAGTTTTCTGAAGTTACTTCTTGTTCTACCTGAGGAGATGCAAGGTGAAAGCTGAGGGTGAAGTGGATGCTCCAAGTCAGACAAAATCCCTTTAGCAAATTTACTGCACGAAGTCAAATGCCTATCGACAACGACGTTGTAGTACAAATGAACTAAATAAAACTGTACTCTTATGTTAAAAAGGTAATTTTATTTGCATGTTTTGAAATGAGTGAAATGCACTGCCTATGATGTGTAACTGTTACTACTGAGAAACCGAGATAATATTAATGAAAATATGCAGAATAATCTGAGAAATGCCTGTTTCTTCTTAAGTATGTATGAGTTATTCACCATTAAGATTGGCATAACATAGATTTTTCAAGATGTTCCACTGTATATATGTCCAAACCAAGTTCACTTTTAACAGTTTGAACAACTTTGGGTATTGAGTATATGATATTCATTCAAATAAAGATTTTTTGTATTTTCCAGTGAATGAGAAACAAAACGATATTGTTGCTTTTACAGACGTTTCGCTGTTTAATGCTGCTGCTAATAGCTTTATCAAATCAGTATTATTAAACCAGAATTTACAAAATCCACTCAGCTTATATCACATGACAACTTAATCATCGTTCCTGAGTATGGGGGATTTTCGCGTTGTCAAGTTGGTCAATTGGTAAAGATAACAAAACCAGGTGTAGATTGATGGATTTGATATGTGAGTAAAATCATAAAAGCAGCGTGTGTTTACATGATGAAATTGCTTATCATATTCGTGTTGGTATTGTCATTTCACGGAGGAGGGGGCTATTGTAACCAGGTCAAATTCTGTCTTAGTCCATCATTCCTATTCAAACAATTTGGATTCCATTTGATATGAAGTGCTTTTGGTGATATTAGACGTCCTTTGTGATTTCTGAAATTTTCCTGGATGATTTCAATATTGTCAGAATCAATTTTGTGGCCTGATTCTATAGCGTGTAGACCACCACCACCTATGGCTGATGATTTTTAAAGGTTTTCTAGTTCACAAACTGGATTTCTCGGTGGTCGAACAGATGCTCTGCTCTACGGTGTTCATTTCTTCTGACCTTGATTTCTCTCTGGTGACGTTTGTCCGATGTACATCAAATCACGTTCGCAGTGTGTTTGATGTTTTGAAGAGAACTCTGATGTCAAGCCTACTGAGTACTGTTATGATATCGTCTGATGTTTCTGATCTGTATGGAATGACAACTGTTGAGGTCCATGTCTTTTGAATACTTTTTCAACCATATTTGATGCTGGTGTTGATTTTGTTGATGAAGTTCTTTGGGTGATTGTTTTGCTTGAAAGTCTCAGTAATTTTTGATATTTCCTCTTCTTTTTCTTTCTCATCCGTTTTTGATTCATTGGGAAATACAAAAAAGGCTTTTTCTTATAATGAATGTTCCACTATAGTTGTGTGTATAGTCAATAAAATTGAAAGTAGAATCTTCAGTCTTCCTGGTAATATTTCGTTGTTAAATCCATCGGAACGAACCACCTCTTTATGCTTAATTTTACTGCCGCCTACCCTTCCATTAACTGATGAATTTCTCACATCCAATGCAAAAATAGACTATAAATGATCTAAAACAGACACGCTCTTTATATTCACAATTTGCATAAAGATTTATGAAGAAGTAGGTAAAAGTGGATAGAAATCACTTTTCTAAGTGTCCAGTATCTAGTGGTTTGCAGACTGCATATTTAACAAAAAAGAAGATGTTTATATAAGTGTTAAGGACAATTAAATCCCGCTAGAAAATTTGTTTTGTTAAACTCGAGTTGCTTCATTTAACTAAACTTATGTTAATTTAGTAGGCAAGATACGAACGCAATTGCGAACAATCTCACTGAAATGATAGCACATAATTCTGTTATTACGTCACTAATATTTTTGTAGATGTGGGTCTTGTTTAGGCATATTGTCATGTCTAGGGTAAGTGTGTGTGTGTGTGTGCGCCTGTTTGTGGGTTACTTTATAGCTTCGCTTTGATCTCCACAATGGTGTGTGAACACATACATTTATATTACTTTAAGTGGTATTATAAATGCTAGAAATTTAATTCGAAAATTACGTCAGCAATTCCCCTAGAAAGTAGGAAAGAATTCTTCTTTATTACGTAACAAAAAGCCTCTATTTATATGCGAATACAATTCAAAGGTGATATACCAAATGAAATAATAAACAACAAGTTGAGAAAAGCGATTCAAAGAACGTTTAATGGTTTTTGATGTGGTTGTGTTCTCTGAGCTGGATATTAAATTTGCGAAGCTTTCATTGCCCTGCTTACTAGGCAACATTTTCAGCGCACTCTTCAATTTGAAGAAAGCTTTTAGATTTCTCCACGAGTTTATGAGTCTTCTCTACTGGTGGGTGACATTGAATATGACTGGTTGTTTTGTGTGTTTTCACACCTTCTAGGCTACTTGTATTGATACTGATTGTTTCCTTGACTTGAACTTTGACTCTTTGTGTGTGAGGTTTCTTTCTTATCGATTGATAAATTTTATCTATGTCGATGTGTCTATTGATTGAAGATTCACTGGAATACCAGGCTTCTAAAGATTCTCCAGCATTCATGGTGTTTCTTCTGTCTAATATTTGAATGCTGCTTGTCCCAGTCGAATTGATGTCCGATTAATATATGTGTAAAACTTGGGCACTGTGGTAGTAAGTAATTCCATATTAGTTTGTTTATTAGATGTATCACACAGTGAGTGAAACAGTATTATTTACTGGATGACAAAGTTTCGAACAAAATTTATTGTTCATAATCATATCAATTACAATCACACGACTTCGAAAATTGAGTTTTATAGTTCTTTTTGTCCTCTCCTGTTTGTCAAAGGAGTGGTAGAATTTTCCAGATATCTGGGACAGGTGTTAACTCATTCCTATTACATGTATTTGCAGTTGGTTCGATAAACAAAGCTTCCGTTATCAATCTCTCCCTCCACCCTGCTGTTACATTAGATTTTAAAACTATTATCCTATCCCATCCTATTGTATGGTTGTGTGTAACTGCATGTAGTGCTTGCAATAGCCAAACTATTTTCTAGATTTCTTATCTTATTCGGGTTAATCTAGATTTTGCTAAGTTTTTATGTTCGGCTAGTCTGACTGCCCTGTTCTACTAGTTTGACCTATGTATTTGACCTGACAGTCATTGCAAGTAGGGTATTAGATAAACTAAATTGTTTTGTTTTAAAGGCTCCACAGGATCCACCATTTAACCGACAAAGCTTGTTTCTAATTGGGTTTATGGGTTTAAATGCCAGCTACTTGTTAAAAATTGTGCGTAAGGTTTCCAAGGTTCTTTCCTTGTATGGAATTACTACTGATGATTTAGATTCCTTATTGTTGGTGTTGTCATTATCTTGCGCATGTATGGCATACATATCGTCATTACTATTATTATTGTCACTATCACTACTATCATTATTTATTTTATTTTTACATTTCCCTACATATTTCCTGACTAATTTATCCGGGTAATTATTAGGTTTCAAGGCTTCTCTTATATGTATCACTTCCTGTCTTAGATTTTCCTTGATGTCCGTGGTTGTCTGTGTGCAGTGAGGCGATATGAGGGAGTGGATGAGGCGACATCCACTTTGGGCGATGTAGTGTTTTTCGCAGTCGATTCAGTTTATTTTGTAGATGATGATGTTGGTTTTATCTTCTTTCGTTGTTGAGTCTTTTGGTTGATACAGACCCAGCTGAGTGAAGTGCATTTTTTGGTTAATGTGTGACCTTAATTCCTAAATGTTTGAAGAGTCTTGCAATGATTTCTTAGACGTTCTTTATATATGTGGTGTGATTTTCTTTGTGCTTTCCTTGGGGTCGTTGGATTTGACAGGTTGTCTTGGGGGTAAATGTCTTTTGATGCTGATAAGTTGCGCCTTATATTTTCCGCACAATCGGCTGTGATTCCGAAACTGAAAGATTAAACGCCTAGACTAGCTGCCTATAATTACATCTGTTTTTGACAGTCATAAAGGAAGGGGAATTTGTTTATCGACGATTCCTAATAACTTGTTTTGACAAGGTATGAATACAGAACCCTAGTGTCTCGATGAGACTGAATTCTCTGTAAAAATTTAATTGTTCACCGTATGATATCATTAAGGGTAAACATTGTCTTCATTCTTATATTCATCTATAGGCAACAAAAAGGTTCCACAGAGGTAGTTTTAATTTACAGGTAACTGAACTTTAGAAGGATTTTTGAATTAAGTGATAGAGCCGATCTCTCTAGATTTACAGGATTTATCATCCAGCCATTAGCAAACTACCTTATCAGTGGGAGAGTTTATTCATAGGTAAAGTAGGAAAGCTTCAAGGTGTTGGACAAATGAGGATTTTCAAGTATTGGTTTTTGTAGGGATTTTTGTTTGTTTGACTGGTTGGAGAATTTCATCGTGAGCTGACATCAGTTGAGAACCACTGAAAAAACTGCAGGGAGTACTGGACAGCTGTTTCGTCAGCCTAGTTTTGGACTCAAATGTAGTGCGCACCCACCGCAGGGGTTCGGACCCAGGATCTTCTGATTATTGGGCGAGCTCGTAGACCATTAAGCCACTGGGACCCGATCGAATGGTGAGCCCATGGATTCCAACTTTGGCTAAGCATAACAGACAAATTCAATTCCTTGGATGATGGGATTGTTCTAAACCTTTGAAGCATTTAAAACTGACTCAAACCTTTTTTCTTCTCATTGTATTTGCAGCGTTGTAGATTAACAGAAATGTGAAAATTACGTTGAAGGTTAAAAGAAACAATTAGGTGAGAGCAGCACTAAATCCGATAAAATAAAGAGAAAACACTGCGTTACCTACGGTCATTCTGTAGTTAGTGAATTACTTGAAATGAACGGAAATTATTTCTTTCATTAGACACTAGGTTATAAGTAACTAGGGCCATGCGTCTAGTCCTTTCTCTGGTGCAAACTGAATTCTATCAGTTATGAATGCAATGTGGCTACCGCCCTAAGTGGCTCGCCATCACAACACACTCTAAATCGTTGTTATTAAATGGTTGGAGGCAATCTTCAAGAAGCCTTGGACCTAGGTTTCGTGCTAGTTGGCACTAACTAGTCACCAAGGCGTACCTACAACCTTGAAGGAATTCATGTCTCTTCTGAGATTGGAACTGGTGTCATCCAATTCTGCAGTTAGAGATGTTAATACTGACAAACATTTTGAAGAATTTGATTAGCATACTTTTTTGTGTATAGATTTGCTGGGATTACTACCTCATTAGATGCTTACTTTACTCCGGAGATTTCAAACACTGCAGTCAAAACTGAGTAATGACACTGACTACTTGATGACCATCATCTTCTCATCAGCTGAGTACAGCTCAAGAAAAGCTATCACGCAGTTTATGTACACAACAATTTTAACATACTTGGAATTGTTACATGATATCAAATAACAGGAAACTTTTGGCTTAAACAGTGATCAGAAATGGCACTTATATATCTTATGCCCCAGAAAATTCAAGTTTAAGTAAAAAAATGTTTGGATACATTGGTGAATGAGTTACATAATAAAGACTCTATGATTTGAGTTGAACTTACTACAGTGTTACTCAATTTATTTTTTATTCATTAAGTTATCCATCCCCTGTCTTTATTACATAACTCCTTAACCACTCCATACAAGCACCCATTTATTGTTTAAACTTGAATTTTTTGGGCAAAAGCTATACATTTTTGATATCTGAGCAGTTTTTATTAAGTCTGGAGTCGATGATATTAGATGGTTGTAGGCAATCTGCAAGAATGCTTGTCTAGACCTAGGTTTCATGTTGGTTGGCACTCGTTAACGAGACGTTTCCGCAGCCCTGAAGGAATTCATGTCCCTTCTTAGATTTGAACCTGCGTCACCCAGTGCTACAGTCAGAGACGTTACCACATAGCTATTTGGCCTAGCGATTGACCTCCTGTAGGACTGTATTGGATACTTCGATTGGACACTATTTAGTAACCAGTGTAATGCGTGTCTAGTTGTCTGTTTTTGGTGCAGACTGAATTCTATCAGTCGAGTCTGCATTGTGACAACTGTTGTAGATGGATCGCCATCATGGTGCACATTGATCTGATGATATTGGATGGTTGGTGGTAGTCAGCAAGTAGTCTTGGAATTACCACGAAATCTAAGTCGAATTCAATCTACATCGAAAAAAGGGCCAGATATATTACACTAGATACTGGTATGCAATATAGTCTTCCAGGAGGTCAATCGAGAGCCCGAGTAGCTCAGTGGTAACGTCTCTGACTGCAGAACTCACTGGGTGACGTGGGCTCGCATCTATCAAAGGAGATGAATTCCTTCAATATTACAGGTATACCTTGCTGACGCGTGCCATCTAGCACGAAACCTGGGTGCAGACAAGGTTTCCTGTAGCCGATTACCATTCAACCATCTAATATTATCAAATCAATGTGCACCGTGATGGTGAGCTACTTAGAATGGTGGCCACATTGCAAACATGACTGAGAGAATTCAGTCTGCACTAAACAAAGGGCTAGACACATCACACTAGTTACTACTGTCCAGTCAAAGTCTGGAGTCTCCTTTCGTGAAACAATCCCAAGTTTGTTAAAACTGTTTCTGTAAATGAACTAACTGATAATTTATTTGGGTTTTATAAGCCGCTGATGAGAAGCCAACGAAATAAAAATGACAATACCGTCTTATTCTAAACAGACTCTTGCTCTTGCTTTATTTACAGTCATAAAGGACAATAAATGTATGAAGTTTTTGAAAAATCGCCTCCCCATAAAATTATTAGTTTACTTTACGATCTCACTGGGGTATTATGTTTAAACTAAATATTATTTTCATGGCAAGTGTTAAAAACTTGAGGTTTGATAGATGTTTTCAGTTTGTGATGAAATCTTCCACGGAATCAATAAATTCTTCTCAAACTATGGAAATGAGTATTTTTGTAAAATTAATAATAGAATCTATTCTTATAGGTAAACTCACGTTTAGGAAAATATGCTCTCAGTTGTCCTTTATATGGTCCATCGATTTGATCGCATAATGTCTGGCGAATATTCACTTCCTTCTCACACATCTTCATTAATCAAGAGAAATAAGGGGGAACAACGTTTAATATTCGAACATTGTATGATAAGATAGAAATTGTGATAGTTGGAAGGAGGGACTTGTACAAATAGTAACTTGTGAAGCCGTAAATTAACACCTAAAAACAACAAAGGTGGCTATCTATACTTCACAGGTAACTGAAACTGCTTATATCACTGCCATTCCACTCCTCATACCTTTTGCCAACACTTTTAACATCTGTCTGGATTCCACCGTGGGCAAAATTTATTTTGATAAAGTCTCACAGTGTTATACAGTAATATTTACTGATGTGATCACACTTAGGGCACAATTTATCACTGCTTATAATCATATCAAGTTACTCACACAACTTTTTAACTTCGTTTACATAATTCCACTATTTTTCATTTCTTGACTTGATTGGTTGTAGTATTTTCCATATTTCCGGTATGAGTGATTCCTAACACACGTGTTGGGTGGCATTTAAACCTACAAACACGCTCAGGGACAGGTTCTGTAGGTTAAAGGACGCTGTAGGTTGACCCAATTAGATAAAACATTTAATTTACAAAATGTCTTGTAATGACTGTGAGTTAGGTCAACTACGGAGGTCAAACTAGTAGATCGGGGGTAGTCAGATTGTTGGAACATAAGAATTCAGCTAAGGTTAGAATGTTTGACCCCGAGAAGATAAGGAATTTAGAAAAAGCTCAGCACTACATTGCACTGCATGCATTAATACACAACCACACAATAGGGCATGAGATGGTTAAAATTCTAAAGAGTAATATAGGTAGGTGGAGAGAGAGGTTGATTATTGAATTCCTGTTCATCGAGTCTACACCCATCACATGCAATAGGAATGAATCATCACTCATACCGGAAATATCGAAAATGTTACTACCAATCAAGTCAAGTGATGGAAAATAATGAAATTATATAAACGAAATCACAAAGTTGTGTGAGTAGTACCTTGATATGATGATGAGCAGTGATAAATTGTGCTCGGAATGTGGTCACATCAGTAAATATTACCGTATAACAAACACTGAGACTTTATCAAAATAAATTTTACCCATATTGGAATTATACTCTACTACAGTGCACAAGTTCTATTCTTATGTTTCAACTTCGTCTTATGGCATTATGATAATGAAATAAATTTCTTATAAGGGTACCCATAACAATTTTTTCTCTGTACTGAAGGGTGTGTCATTTACTGAATTAGGTTGATTTTGTCATATTGATTCCTTGATATGCTGTATGTGCGTCAGAACAACTGTGCCTTGAATTGAAAATATTTACCACAGTCAGCCGAACAAACTTTTTATGTCTCATTATGTAGCATGAAATGCAGACTGTACGGCAGTTCGTATTACATATATTACAATTTTCAAATATTGGTTTTGAAGGGAATTCTGTTTGATTGGTTGGGGGATTTCACCATGAGCTGACATCAATTAGAGGACCATTGGAAAATCAGCTGGGAGTACCGGATAGCTGTTTCGCCCTGGTCTGGGACTCTTCACAAGTATGCATATTGCAATTTAGACACAAGAAACATTACAGAGTCTTCAGCGAATAATAATACACTATTGAACAAATTTAGGTGTGCTTCAGATAACTGAAGCTAAAGAGATTTTCGTGTGACCTTCTTATTCGAGTTTCCACAAAGTTTAACAAAAGATCTACTCCCATGAATTCATCTGTTCTTAAATAAATACCTTGCGTTCATAACTGAACACGTAGCATGTTTAAGGTTACTGGACATTTCCCGATGTTTATTTTGGAGTGAAATGTGATTGGTCTTTGTTGACTCCTTGGCTCCTAGCACAGACTCTTCGATAATGTCTGAAGATTAACATAATGGTTTTTGGTTACAACATTTCATCATGAGGTGAAATCAATTAAAGAAGACTTGTAAAACCTGCAGGGAGTACTGGACAGCCATCTGTTTCGTCAGGCTAGTTTGAGACTCATCATAAGTACGCACCCACCCCGGGGGGTTCGAACCCAGGACCTTCTGGTTGCCAGGCGAGCTTTTAGACCATTAAGCCACTGGGACCCGATCCAAAGGCTGTCTAGTAATTCCAGGTCTTCCAATGATTTTCTAGGCGATGTCAGCTCATGATGAAATCGTGTAACCATTCATTGTAATCGCTACAGACCAACACTTTAGTAATGATCTTATTTGGTTGATGATAACTGCTAGTGGAATCCAAGAGGCTCATTTCATTCTCTTTGGCGTTTGAAGTTATGAGTATAGAGTTCAAGTGTCAGTAGGAAGGTTGTCTCTGTTTAGAGAGACAAATACATCCAGCTGACGAGTTCGAGATGGGACGAAAAGCACATCCTGGATTCCATCAACCAAACTGACATAAAGATATACTAGTGCTCAAAAATAGACTAATCATTCTCTTTAAATTACTTTTGATATATTCGCTGTATTAACAAGCTTTATAGATAGATTTTATGAGGTATGTTGCTCTAATCTACTCAGATACAGTCGAATAAACTTGTCCAAGTTTTAGTTCATTCACAGTCCTATTTATTTGTATGACTTACTAGCATGTTTTATACCATCAGTCGTTTTGTGAACTTTTATTTAAATTCTGGTTTATTCTTCAACATGAAAGTCCTAAAGCATGCTTTATTACTGTTTAATCAGTGTACACATGTTGTATTATCTTTGAAAGAACTTAAATATCGAGGAAAAAAACCTCTTCTAAACAAAACAGAGATTTTCCATTTTTTGGTAGAGTTTCACACAAACAAATATTAATGTCAACATAGATACTAGATGAAATCATACCTCAGTTCCACACGACCTCATTCTAGTCCTGGTTCCATGACAAAAGTCTCCTCCATGTTGTGGTCTATAGCAAGATATGAGACAAAACATATAGGAAATTTTTAAAAAAATGTCAAAATCTGAAAGTATTTTGTTTTAGGGATTTAATGTCGTAATTAAGAAAAAAAATAGAAAAGTGGACGCAGATTTCATTTTGTACACTATTTTCGTTTTTGTAGTTATCGTCTATACAAGGTGCTTGTTGGCACTGCATTTAGAAGGTTAACACGGTAGTTTAGGTTGTATTACGGAAACTATGGAAACGTTATAAAAATTCCTTAAGTTCAGATGTATTTTCAAACTCCTAAAAGCTTCATTTTCAACAGCAGATGCATATTTTGAATGAATCTAAAATGAAATTCTTTTCTGACATATTTGTCATACAGTATGTATAACCAAGAACCAATTGTGTAACAAATATGCAAGAAGAAATGGAGGTGGATTGGCCATACTCTGAGAAAACCATCAATTGACATCATACTGCTTGAGTGAAACCCGAACATGGAGGACGGGGTCATCTGAAGAGGAGATGAAAGCATGTTGGCAGACGTGGAGCCAGGTGAAAACGATGGCAGAGAACCGAACGCAATGGAGACGTGCGGCTGAAACCTTATCTTCCTCTAGGAATTAAAGGAAACAATAATAATAATGTACAGAAAACTATGCTTTGGCACCTAATTAACTTTTTTGAAGTACTTTTGTTAGCTTGTATCAATCAGTATTCTAGGCTGATGTTAACAAGAGAATGAGATGCTTGAAGTTACGAGAAAACCACATACTCACACAAGAACTAGGATCAACAAGGATTCAGATAAACATGTAATCTAAGTCAGCCTCCTAAATTCTATTTTGTTTGGTGACACTTTTGTGCATTTAATGATCACTTATGTTTAGAAAACAGATTAAATTAGGTTAAAGCAGAGGGACTAGAAATCTTTGAAATCAGTTAAACTTATGTTACCTTCGTACTTCATATGTTCACTATCCTACTGAGACAGAACATTAGGTGCTTGGAGAATCCTACTCAACAAGTTATCGCCAAATAGATACTGAGAAAAACAAAGTCTAACGAATAGGTGTCGTATTCACCTGAGGTTTTTGAAATTCCGCAAATAGAAGGCAGTTCATTATAAAAAATTATATGAGTTTGTGAAATTTTATGATTTTTTGGTTCCCTTGTTTCCAGCTTTATTCCCACCTATTCTGCTGAATAAGCATGAATGCTTGAGGAAAGTGGTGGATGGGCTTGCACAACAAATGCCTCCTCCTTTTCAGTTAACATGCGATGGTGATTTCAATAAGTGAAATGCCTTTAACGTAGCACAAAACCATGTGTGATAACGAAATTGCTGCGCCTGCCGTTCCCTTGCAGCTGGGTAAAGCTTCATGATTAGGTATTAACAACAGTTCGATATTAAACCATCTGGTCCAAAACGGCTGGCCACAAAGCCAGCATTGTAGAATCCTTCTCTATCATCTGCCGGGTACCTAATAAATTGCCAAAAATATCAAAGCACCGCGTGCTCCGAACAGCAGAGGATATCGCAACCAGTGGTTTGTTTGCAAAAGAAGCAAGTCCAGCCATTACTACTGTCTTGCCTTCAGCAGAGACAAAAAATTCATGAATTTTTTACTGTTACCTTTCCTAGTTTTTCTGACATTCAGTTTATTGTTATGTTGATGCCATCGAACCGTAATCCATTGATATTATTATTATAGATTCGATGTTATTTAAACAACAATAATGTTGTTAATAACACTAATTCATTCACTATAATGTATAAATATAACTGTAGAACCCGATGAAGAGTATTCTTTGTTCAGTACCCATTCTTTTGAAAATATTAACAAATTATTCAACCTTCACAATGACTTCTCCTTCTGCTGTCGAGTCTTGAATGAATAACAGTCCCACGCTATCTCACTTTTCGTATTTATCGATAAGCGGGAGTTCGTAATAACTAGTATTATTTAGCCAGCAAAGATTCTAAGAGAGATGCCGAAATCGATTTTAATCATACTTGTGACGCGTGAAAGGATTTTGGAAAAATAGGACATCGAGTTACTGGCTAAATGTCAAGCTGAAGGCAGTATAAAACAAGGAAATATGGAAGCGCATTAAGATCTAGCTTGACGCGTAGCTGATTCGGGATGCTGCATTT